GGATGCCAGGGTGAGTTCCGGCCTGCCCTATCCTGTCGGACCTGGCCTGTTGCCGAAAGCTTCTTGCTTCTGCCATGCGCTGTCATCCCAGTTTGGGCATGAATCCACGGATACAGACAGTATCGGCCAACAACAGAGGGATGTTATTTCTGCTGGCCGAGCGAGCGCCATGGATGCGTCCTCGTTAATACTGGCCGCTCATTGTCACGCATCGTATTCTCGCTGCGGGACAGGCCTTCTCGCAGTGGCCACGCGACCCTATCATCTGTCATCCGTCCCTCAAGACTCGCTACAGAATCCCCGGCGAGTGAAGAATGCGAAGCGCTTGTGCGTGTGGGGTTGACGTTGGCCATTGGGTGGCTGGCCGCTGGCCTACCCGTCTGGCATGCCATGCTCCCTTTGGTATTATTCACCAACACACCACTAACAAGCATGCCGCTGTCCCTGTGCCGCTGTCGGTTTGTTGGACCACTTTCCCAGGCTGATGTACGCAGGTCCAGTCTTGATAGCGCACGCCGCCCGAGTTTGGGTGCCTCATTGAGCCTTGGATCTTGGTCGTCGGTCTTGAGTCTTGGCCATGGATAAATGCCCAAAGCTGACAACTGCTGCAGAGGGACGGTTCCAGGTCAATTACTGAGCAGGTCGAGCAGATCTCCTCGAAAGCTCTCGTCAGATCTCTGGTAGCCGAACCCTGTTAAGCTCCCGTCTCTTGCACCACCACAACATCAACAAATAATAACTTCCCGTCCGCCGCTATTCCTTTTCGCCCTATGGTGTAGGCTTGGGCTGTCTAAGGGCTTTCTTACCCGCTTTGGCACCCCTCTTGGCCTTTTCATCAGCAGAGGGCGGATGCTGGTGAACGATGGTGAGCGGGCAGGCGAGTGAGCTTGTCCACACACACACACACTCTCGCTCTCTCTCCCTCTCCCTCTCTCCCGCGCACACCCCATCACGCAGACCCCATCGTGCCGAGACCCCCCCCCCCCCAGCCTCGGGGTCCGTTAGGTCCAATCCCACCCTCCATTAGACGCCGGCTGCTACTGTTGGGCCCCTACGAGGGTCTTTCGGGTCCGTCCCTCATATTCCCAAGTCAAGGCCTACCAATGTCCATCATGTTGCCCGCTGCACCTGGCCCTGGCTGGATGGTTGGTTCGGCGGGGTTTCACAATACCTCACCTCTCCCTGATTCCCTTGTCGGCACTCGGTGCGCCTGCGTGCGTCCTGCAGACGCAGACAGAGGTGCGTAGAGTGCATGCATGGCTGATATCGAGACCGATAGACTGATGAATGCCAGAGACTAGCACAGACACTGGCTGGCTTCTGGATATACACACTCACTCGCACGTATATACCTAGGCCAAGTCCACTCTACTAGTCTCAACAGCTGATCCCGGCCTGCCTTTGCTTTTCTCCTTGATCTTGGTTCTACATCCATGCGGCCTGATCCTCATCTTTGAAAGCAAAGGGGTCATCAGAAGTCGTTTTATTTCTGATACGTAACGATCTGCCGTATCTGAGCAGTCAGTTACTCGGTCAACCTACACAAATCGATTAGTCCGGCTTTTGGATGCCTAACTGACCAACCAAGCTACATTACCTTACTTATCTGCGGCTGATCAACGCGGACCGGCACGGATCCAACTCGTCTGTCTATCCGCTGCCTAGCCCGCCATAGTACTCTTTCCTTTTTGCCTCTCATTACGGAACAGTGCCCACACGGTTCCCGCTAGCAAGTTGGGGGTCTTGCTCTGTCAGCCATCCTTATTAGCCCTCCGACAAGCGCCGCTGCCGTCCCACTTCGTCCTTGTCGACATCTCCTCTTGTTGGAGCTCCGTCAAGGTGATACAGTGCTCCCTCACTCTTCCACCCGTGTCCTGCATCGCCATGCTCTGACACTCAAGCACAAGGAACAAAGCACGGTCACTGGGAGTGAAAACGTGGCTGTCCCGTTACTTTTCAAGCCACAAACGTCCTCCGTCCTCACCCACCGGACACGGAAAATTGGTACCTCTAGTCGACGCCTTTCCCCTCCAACACTGGACGAGAACCTGAAGTATACAGCATCTCTTGGCTGCCCGCCGCCAGAAAACACCTTTTGACACGTACCGACCGTCTTTCCGCCGTGGACGCCCGACTGCACACGACCAAGGAAGCATTCCTGTTCTTTTTTCCCCTGTCTCGTCCTCTCTTTCCTGCTATATGGTAGACCATGGGCGGCCTTCTGTCCACTGGTGTCCAGATTCCCTGCCAGCATTCACAAACGTGCCTGAGTCCAGCACGACACCCGCCAAACCTGGCCACGACTCAAAAGCACTAGCCTAGGGTTGACTGGGCCAGCAAGGTCCTGCTACTGGCCATCGCGACCTCGAGAACTACCAGCTTCAATGTCTACTCTACTTCAACGAGACAGCAACATGGACAACCACGACAATGCTGAGGGGCACAAGATGGATCCAGATGTGCCGCGGACCCATGGCAATGTGTACGGGGGCGAGACATGGGGCAACATCAGCCCTTACAACTCCAGCCCATACCAGTACAGTCCAATTAACGAGTACGGGCATTGGGGAAGCTACATTCCTCACGCGTCGCAGGCAGACTCGCATTATTTGCCCGCAGAATCCTACGACAGCATGTCGTCGGGTCCACCCTCCCAGCAGCCTCGCTACATCAAACCGGCGCCGACAACGCAAGCGATGCAACATCTGTCTCAGCTTCCCATGCTGAACACGGCATGGCCGAGCCAGCTCACCAACCCGATGCCCTCAGGGAGCTATTCAGCGCCCGCTCTGTCGACTGTGACGCCGGTGTCTAGTGCTCAGTCTGCCGAGACACCCAAGCCGACGACGCCCTTGGAAAAGGTCAGAAAGCTACTGACAACAGAACAAAAGAGGCAGATGTGCAAGTACAGCGAGGACAACCCGGGGACGCGACAAGCAGACATTGGTGCCAAGTTTGGGGTAGAGCGAAGGTATTCCATATCCAATCCTCGTTTGCTACACTCGGTGACTGACAAGCATCTCCTTCCAGTACAGTATCCAAGGTCCTGCGGCAAAAGGACATTTACCTGAAGAACACGTCCGAGACGGAGAACGTGCCCGCGAGGAAAAAGGGTCAAGACTTGGATCGTACACTCAGCAACCACTTTATGAAGATGCAGAACAGCGGGTTAGAGATCAAAGATAAGGACATCATGGAGCGAGCCAAGCAGTTTGCGTACGCAAGTGGGCATAACGAGAATTTTACGAGCAGCTGGCTTCTCAAATTCAAGCAAAAGCATGGCATTGGCAAGCACAAGGGGGCCAGGCTGATCAGGAGAGCGTCCGAGGCCAACATACCAGACAGCGCCAGGATGTCGACCAGTGTGAAGAAGAAGCGATCCATGTCCGGCATCACCTCACCGACCTCGGCAACAACACAGCTCTCGCCCCTTTCCGAAAGTCGAAGCGACGAGGAGGACTCCGCACCGCCAACGGGCCTTGGGCTGGATTTGGGCTTTGTTGCGGCATCCCGATCTTCAACTTCCTTGACCAACGGGATCATGGGCGAGGCGTCTTTCGCGGAAAGCAAGTCCTCTTCGTTCGGCTCGGGAGCTCTCAGCCCAGTGAATCGCTCAGAATGGGGTTCGTTTGCCGCGAGGATGGAGCAGAACGAAGTGCTGCAAGGAGGTGCCTCTGTGCAGGGACTTGGGCAGTACACACTGCATCAGCCCTACATGGAGCCCATCACGCCTCATCAACCCGTCCCCAGGGGCTCACCGACACTCGAGTCCCCGGAGCAAGAAATACGGGCCGCACCGTTTGCGATCGACACCAATTTCGCCTCGCCTCCAATGCTCCGTCGAACCAACAGCTCTTCCAGCATAGGCAACACTCGGTCCAACACCACGGCAGCCACGTCGATCGACTCTTCGCCCACCTCGCCTTCGCACGCCGAAGCGACGCGATCCGCGACCATTCTCGTGTACCACATGCAGGCCATGCAGGCCCAAAACAAGAGCATCTTCAACCAGAATGAGTTTGCGACTGTTTGCGAGATTGTGAGGAAGTTGCAGCTGCAAAGTGACAGCAAAGGCCAACCTGGAAAGGCGTCCGTGGGAGGCTCTCTTGACCGGATTCCCGAAGGCGACGGCGAAATCAACGGCGGTCCGGGAGACTCCGGCATGAAGATGGAGATGGACTGAGATGCATTCACCTCCCCCCTTCTCCAACATGGACGACGACCATAGTGCGCATGATCCCACGACAACGGCAATGCAAGCAACAGCGACCATGAATGAACCTCTGCTGGCCAAAATCCAAAAGCAACTCTTCTTCTTCTACCTCATCGAGAACATACCTTACATACCTTACACGACATTGAGGAGGCGACTCCGCAGGACACCACACATTAGTTACAGAGGATCACACGAATCCATTCGGCAACGAAAAGAAAAGCTATACCCTCACATGCTTTATTTGCTCACATACATCACAAAGACATACTCTCATATACCCCAGAAACACTTTCTTCTTCTTTCTGGTTGTTCTCCGATTCTTGGTCTTCCAGGACGCAACAATCTCGTTTCTTTCTCGCCCACGCGGGTCATGGACGAGGCACGAAAAGAACAGCAGATTCTCACTTTTTTCATCTTCATCATCTCTCTTGGTCCTCACGGCAGGAGGGCAAGGATATTGGTTGGACTGGCAGGGAGGCAGGCACATAAGATCGGAGGACTGAGCTTCACAGCTCACAGGGCAACCTACTTTGAATTCTTTACCCTTCAAATTTCTCGTTTGGCATATCCTAATTCATCTTCTTGTGTGCGACCTTTGCCCCCAGATTAGGACAGCAAAAAGAGGCGGGCGGGCGGGCGGGCGGGCACTTGATGCAGGACATTGGGACAGGATTTCTATCTCATTCATAGCGGGCGCCCTTGATGTGCGTATCGACTCAACGTCGTGTGCACACGCTGTCACTCTTCCCTCACGAATTTCATGGTACTTTGACTGTATCCTTGTCTAGTTCCCAAGACGCTCTTCCCAGAGCTCTTCGACCCCCTTGTCACGCAGCTCCGGCATCAGCCGCACCAGCACGAGCTCAAGTACCCCATAGACAAGGTGCTTGTTGCAGTACTCGTCGTCCAGCACCATGAGCAGCCCCTCCACCTCTTCAATCATCTTCTCCTCCTCGTCACCATCATCCTGACCGCCTTCTACCTGCATCTTCAGGCGGCCGCCAAGGTATACCTTCCCCACTGTGCGCGGCACGAGACCCCAGAGTGCGCTAGCGGCCCGACGACGAAGAGCGAGGAGCTCGGCGTGAGACTCGGGCGCCGCCAGTGTCGACTTACCAGGGACGTTGTTGGGGAACAGCACGCCTCGAATCATCCGGAGGAAGGTGGGCAGCTGAGAGGCGGAGAAGTGGGATCGAATGTGGTACGAGAGTAGCCTGGCAAGGATGTGTTATTAGCCATCAACCGTGAAAAAAAAAAAAAAAGTAAGACCTCCTGGATCTATGGGTGTGTGAGCAGGATTGTGGCCACTTGGCTGGTGTGTACGTTCACAAGACGGTCAAAGTCGGCAGGTTTTCGTCTGAACTTTGTGCTGGGTAGTGCACAAGCAGTTGGTTGACCCTTGCCTTCGAGCTTGGAGTAACACCGGGCATGAACCATGGGGATGCAGTGAGAAGAATTCCAGACACCTCAACACTGGCATCTCCTTGACTAGCGCCCGACGCCTCGCTTGAGACTTGCGCAAGCTCACCATGCCAAGAAGAGCGGAGGCAGCAAGCCAGCAACCGCAATGAGGGGCTTTTGTCCACGGGCAAGGCGATGAGAGGTCTTCGACAAGAACGATGCCGAGGATCATCGTCAATGACGCTAGTGCCCGCTCTGATCTGATCCTGGCAAGTGTCGCGACGGTTGGGGCGGCATCCTCTTTTCTGAAGCCGGTGAGAAGCGAGGGCGTGGGGGCGAGCGTCGAGAGTATGACCCTTGTCGACGTCGGCGCGTAATAGAGACGCGTTGCTGGACGATTGAGCCAACCCGGAGCCACATCGTCAAGCAATCAACGCCCAGAGCGGCTGCTGGGCTCTTCCATTGGCCAGGCGTGCCCAAGGCTAAGCGGATAACCGATGCCTGGGTTTCGTCGATTTGCACAATGGTGGAGGTGCTTAGAGCGACGCCCCCGTGTTGGACTATAAAGGGAAGAGAAGGATGAAAGGCTAGGCGAGACCCGTCCTCTAGGGACGGCGCGCGCAGGAGATCCGTCACTTTGTGGCTGCGCCGCTCTTGTCGATGTTCTGCTTCTTGATGCTCACTGGAGGCAGTCGAGGTCCGCTGACTCTACAGAGCTGCAAGGTGGTGTGACTTGCAGTGGTGCCCTCGGAGCGGCTGTGAAAGGACAGAGGAAGATGTTTGCTTACCTATCAAGAGGACCATCGAACCGTCCGACCTCACCGGGGCCTCTGATTGCTCCATACTGAGCCAGTGACAAGAAACCATTGAGCCATGGCATCCTCATAGGAAGCTGCAGAAGATTGCCTGCGCATGACCAGACGCTATAATCAAGAATCGGGATCCTCGTTGATGAATCTTGCGTTCCCTTCTTCCCCCGGGCAGTGGTCGGCGCTGACCGAGCTGGAAGAGACGATATCGAAGCGATCGTGCCCACGATTGAGCGAAAACTCGTGACAAAGAGGAGCGCTGCGTTCAGGAAGGCGAAGACGACCCCGTGAAGCGACCAACCACGGGCAGCCGTATCTACGCGATCAACTTCTGCACTTCCGCAGGTGTCTTGAGCTGTGCTGCCCTTCTTCCTCTCTTGGACGATCCGCGCCACGATGCAGATGGCTTCCCATAACATCCACGGCTGCGCTGCTTTCTTGGCAACAATATTACCGATGATGAGCTCCGAGAAAATTTGCCCGACTAGGGATGTCAAGCAGGGGTTCTCAAGGTCCTCCGTAGGCAGGAGCACTGTGAGCACGCCCTGTACGAGGAGCTGTCGGTATGCCGACTCGTTCTGTTCCTGCTCTGCGACGGTGGACTCGGGCTCGTTGTGCTGAGGGACGGGTTCCATGAATGGCAGCGGACAGAGCGAATGGTATACCTGCCGTGGCCTGGCTTCAATGGGCCCTGGCGACATTGGTGTGTGCGCAGTGCGGTAGGCTGGAGTATCAGTCAGTCAACCGACAGTCCCAACCTGAAGTCGAAGTCCTACCTGTGATATGCTTGTCCAGGAGATCCGGTAGTTCGTCCAGCAGCAGGCTCTCCAAGTCCACCTTTCGAAACCGTTGTTCCAGGGCCCTCGTGCAGTGTGCTACAGTGTGCACAATCTCCAAGATGAATGCTTCATCTGACGTGATGCGGCTGTACCATGTCTGCACAAAATCTCGTAGCATTATGGCCAGGAACGCGTACAGTTGTAGGTCGACATCGTTACGGCTCGTCAGAGGCGGGAGCAGCTCGTCGATAGGAGGCTGCGCATCACGGTTCTTGTCGCTGTGCTGGTGTGTGCAAAGCGTGCGACGGATCAGCGCTGCTGTCGCGCGATCCGAGAGAGGATCTGGCTGCGATTGACGAGAGCCATGCCGGTCCGTTGGCGGCGGGGCAGTCGATTTCGCCGTGTTGTTATTCGGACGTGGACCCTGGTTTGCTGGAGAGGGGGCGACGGCGACGGCGGCGGTCATGACCGGGTCGTGCGACGTGCCATGCGCAAGTTCATGGCCGTAGGAGAAGACACATGGGTTATCTGCCTAGTCTTAAGGGGGGAGGAGTGCCGTGGTCAGTCGTGAGATGCAAATGGTGAGGTTGTCGTGGAAAGGTTGACGTAGACAGAGGGAAGGAGGGTCTGGCTGCTGGCTGCACGTCTTGCAGCTGCCAACGCATCCATCCCGCGGTAGCCCCTGCCTGCCTGCCCCCAGCATACGTCAGGACGGGATCTATGAACGTACCTGCACATGCATTTTCTTTCACAGGCATCTTGCAACTCGCCCTGCTTCCTTTTCTGCTATTGTTTGAGTTGAGTTCTAGGGGAGGATGTAGCTTCATGGTACAAGTACTAACTAAGCTAGGTAAATACTACTACCCATGGAACGGTCCCACCGCAAAAGAGAAACTCGCTGCCACGAGACGTGTCTATACACTTTCTGCCCACAATGCAAATGATGGTACATATACTAGCAGTACATACAATACGGTTACATAGCATGAAATTTAAGCATCCTTGATCGTCGTCTCGTATCTACGCAGATTGTTAGCAAAGCTGTCAGCACATAACGTAGCATGGTACATACCTCTTGCCGCGGAATGCCCATACGCCCCAGTTACCACAGCTGACATCTTGGGGATCCATGTCGTTCAGATCCCAGCGTAGACTGCGGAAGATGTTCTCGCCCGGTTCCAGGAGCACGTCAAACTCGCCCTTGGACTTGTCGTTCACCCACTTGACATCTCTCTCGAGGTCGAACTGCGTGTAGCCAGTGCTGATGATGGGGACCTTGGTCTCCAACAACTGGGGGAGGGTATCTTCCCACTCGTGGCTACTGGCAGGATGCCCGAGGCCGGGGTGAAACAGGACAAAGCAATCAAAGTAGGGATCGTAGGGCGCGAAGTGACCCGTCTGGTGGATCGAGTGGTAGTAGTCGACAATCGTGCTGATCTTCATCTTGTGCGAGATGCGATCCTCGACAATGGCGCCAAAGGGATTGGACGCAGTCCGCTCCGGCAAGGGGAACTCGTCGTCACGGTTCGCCATACTCTCCGGTCCGATCATGATGAGGTGGATCTTTGCGTTGGGGAACAGATGCGCCAGCTGTACCCAAGCTGAGCGCGGAAGGGAAGACTCGGCGCGCGCGCCCAGGCAAAAGACACGCACCGCAGGCGGCTCTGGCTGCAACTGGTTCACACCTGGGCCTTTGCCGGACTTTGGTGGGTGGAGGTTGTACCTCAGGGCTGCAGTCAATGTTAGCAGTGCGACGAGTCTGTGTGTGCTGCTTCTACTCACCACTAAAGCTCTTGAGACCTTCTGTGGTCAGTCGCTCGCCTGCCTTGACCGTGTACGGGCTGAGCTCGTGCAAGATACTGCCGATGGTAATGGGATATGTCAGCAAGCGAGTGATCTGCCTCATGGAGCGGTCAGAGTTGACGGCATCAAATTCCCGAGTGTACATGAAGGTATCCCAGTTCGTCATGTTCACCATGGCCTCCTCCAGCTGGTTCTCGGGCAGCACGGCTTCGTGGAACACGCGGCCGGACCGAAGGTCATGGTCGTCCTCGTTGATTTGTCGGAGGGTGTCACAGATCTTCAAGTGGTTCTCATAATCATCCATCCAGTGCTCTTTGCTACAGTACATGGGGAAGCCGCAGTCGGGGCATTCGAAATCCACATGCGCCGGAGGGGCCGTACCGCCAGTCGCAACCTCATCTTCAGATTTGGGCGCCACAGTCGGGACCTTCGTATGCTGGTGGTCGGGATGCAGGCAGTACGCATTCTGTCTCATGAAAGCAGCCCGTTGGCGGAATTCGGGCACCGGCGAGTTCGAGAAGGGGTGGAAAAGATTGTCTTCCGTCAGCCTGGGATGCTGACCAGCATGCGGCGCTGATGCTGCAGCCTCGTTGTCTGCCTTTGAGGTCGACGTGAAAGCCCGTCTGGTCCCAGCAGACTCTTTATCACCGACACTGCCTCGGTTCGATTGGCACGCTGTCGACGAGTGCAGAGCTCGGATCGGAGAGTGAGTAGGCGAGATGAGCAATTTTGAGGCGCGGCGAGGGATCAATTGTTTGCGCATTGGCGCTGTGCAGCGGCCGCAGAGCGTTGAAGCTGCTTTGCGCAGGGAAGACTCCATGGTGACGGTATCTGGGAGGGTCGACGCAAGTCAAAGTCGTCGGAACCCAGAGCTCGCTTCGCACAGGCAAGACTCGAGAGAATCATGAATCAGTCTTGGAGATGCAAAAGCTCGACCCACACCACGCACTCCACCATGGACTGCGCTGGTTCAGGGTAGCCCAGACACGACCGCGTGGTCGGCCAAACCACCGCAACTTCGTTCCTCCGACGCCCGAAGACGATGCCAAAGATTTGAGCGCTGCCCTCGGTGCTTTCCAAGCTTCACGCGCAATTTTTCCCCAAGACCAACGAAAGTCTTCGCGACCCATTGCAACCCGCGTGGAACACAACTCGTGCCAGCTCGACGCCGCGCAGGCTCGACTGCGCCCATCAGTCAGCATGGCGACCACGTCGAATATGTTCCTGTATTCTCTCACGATCCAGCCTCCTTCCAATGTTGTCCACGCCGTACTGGGCCAGTTTGCGGGCACCAAGGAGCAGCTGATCATATCTGGCGCCGGGTCCAGACTCACATTATTGCGGCCGGACTCGTCCCAGGGCAAGGTTGTGACTGTCCTCTCGCACGATGTATTTGGCATCATTCGGTCGCTCGCGGCATTCAGGCTCGCGGGCAGCAACAAGGGTAAGTTTCATCCTCGCCGCGCATCTGAGAGTTCACTTAGTGATATTCAACAAGACCCGAACCAGTTGCGCGCGAAGAGCAGTCCGAGACTATGTGCTGACCTAGCGTCCCAGACTACCTGATCGTCGCCACCGACTCGGGCCGCATCACTATCATCGAGTATCAGCCGGGACCAAACCGCTTCCACCGCTTGCACCTGGAAACATATGGCAAGTCTGGCGTACGCAGGGTGATACCTGGCGAGTACCTGGCTTGCGACCCAAAGGGGCGCGCCTGTCTCGTCGCATCAGTGGAGAAGAACAAGCTTGTCTACGTGCTGAACCGCAACTCGCAGGCTGAGCTGACCATCTCCTCGCCCCTCGAGGCCCACAAACCCAATGTCCTCGTGATCGCCATGGTGGCTCTGGACGTGGGCTACGCCAATCCCGTATTTGCGGCTTTGGAGATTGACTATTCAGAAGTGGACCAGGATTCGACCGGTCAGGCGATGCAAGAGGTTGAGACGCAACTCGTGTACTACGAGCTCGACCTTGGGCTCAACCACGTCGTGCGAAAATGGTCGGAACCGGTCGATCCCACGGCGTCGCTTCTTTTCCAAGTGCCCGGCGGCAACGACGGCCCCAGCGGCGTGCTCGTCTGTGGCGAGGAGAACATCACATATCGTCACTCAAACCAAGAGGCCTTTCGCGTGCCGATACCTCGCCGCAAGGGTGCGACTGAGGACCCCTCGCGAAAACGTACAATTGTCTCGGGCGTCATGCACAAGCTGAAAGGCAGTGCGGGCGCATTCTTCTTCCTGCTCCAAACCGAAGATGGTGACTTGCTCAAGGTCACCATTGACATGGTGGAGGACGAGGATGGCAACCCGACAGGCGAAGTTCGCCGCCTCAAGGTCAAGTACTTTGACACCGTTCCTGTGGCGTCGAATCTGTGCATCTTGAAGAGTGGATTCCTCTACGTTGCAAGTCAATTCGGCAACTACGGCTTCTACCAGTTCGAGAAGCTAGGCGATGATGACGACGAGCTCGAATTCAGCAGCGATGATTATCCGACAGATCCTCATGCTTCGTACGAGCCAGCCTACTTTTACCCTCGGCCCGCGGAAAATCTGGCACTGGTTGAGAGCATACCGGCAATGAACCCTCTCACGGACTGCAAGGTCGCCAACGTGCTTGGCGAAGACGCGCCCCAAATTTTCACGGTGTGTGGCAGCGGTGCGCGCAGTACCTTCAGGATGCTCAAGCACGGTCTCGAAGTCAATGAGATTGTGGCCTCCGAGCTGCCCGGTGAACCGTCAGCGGTCTGGACATTAAAGCGCCATCGCGACGATCAGTACGATGCTTACATTGTGCTGTCGTTCTCCAACGGAACTCTAGTCTTAAGTATCGGTGAGACTGTCGAGGAGGTGAGCGACTCGGGCTTCCTGACGAGCGTCCCCACGCTCGCTGCACAGCTGCTCGGCGAAGATGGCCTTATCCAGGTGCATCCCAAGGGAATCCGCCACATTCGCAGCGGACACGTCAACGAGTGGGCAGCACCACAGCACCGCTCCATCGTGGCTGCGTCGACCAATGCAAATCAAGTGGCCATTGCACTCAGCTCGGGCGAGATTGTCTACTTTGAAATGGACTCTGACGGCTCGTTGGCCGAGTACGACGAAAAGAAGGAAATGTTTGGCACCGTCACCTGTCTGAGCTTGGGAGAGGTTCCCGAGGGCCGCCTGCGAAGTTCGTTCCTAGCCGTGGGTTGCGATGACTTAACAGTCCGTGTCCTCAGCCTCGATCCAGAGACGACCTTGGAGAACAAGTCGGTACAGGCCTTGACAGCAGCCCCAACGGCCTTGTCCATCATGGCCATGGAAGACTCGGCCTCGGGCGGCTCCACGCTCTACCTGCACATTGGCCTGCACTCGGGTGTCTACCTGCGGACTGTGCTAGACGAGGTCACCGGCGAGCTGACGGACACTCGACAGAAGTTCCTCGGTCCCAAGGGCGTCAAGCTTTTCCAAGTCACTGTGCAAGGGCAGACGTGCGTTCTGGCACTGAGTTCCCGGCCGTGGCTTGGATACTCTGATCCTATCACCAAGAACTTTGTGGTGACACCCCTCAACTACGTCGATCTCGGCTGGGGCTGGAACTTCAGCAGCGAGCAGTGCGAAGAGGGTGTCGTCGGCATCCAGGGTCAATCATTACGGTACGTTCTTCTTTGTTGTTTTGCTCTTGTTCATCGTGATGAGAAATGGGACCTACGCCTACGGGCAATGAGGCTTTACGCATATTACCAATTGTTCCTACTGAAGATGACCCTGTTTTTTTATTCTTACTGCATCCTCCTTAGGGGCAACTTGCTAACGAGTATTGCAGCATCTTCTCCATCGACCGACTAGGCGAGCCCCTAATACAGTCGTCCGTCCCTTTGACATACACACCCAAGAAGCTCGTAAAGCATCCCGAGCAGGCCTTTTTCTACACGATAGAGGCAGACAACAACATTCTCCCGCCTGATCTCAGAGCACAGCTCCTGGCAGATCCAGCTGCTGTGAACGGAGATGCCAAAGACCTGCCGCCAGAGGACTTTGGCTATCCGCGAGGCAACCGCCGGTGGGCGTCGTGTATCAGTGTCATCGATCCTGTGTCCGACACGCCGCAAGTTACGCAGACTATCCACCTCGAGAACAACGAGGCCGCAGTCAGCGTGGCCGTAGCGCCGTTTGCAAGTCAAGACGCGGAGCACTTTCTGATTGTCGGCACGGGCAAGGACATGGTCATGAACCCGCGCAGCTTTTCCGAGGGATATCTACACGTCTACCGGTTCGTGGAAGGCGGCAAGGAGCTCGAGTTCATCCACAAGACCAAGATGGACGAGCCCCCGCAAGTGCTATTACCGTTCCAGGGCAAGATCCTTGCTGGCGTGGGCAAGACGCTCAGGCTGTACGACCTTGGTCTGCGGCAGATGCTGCGCAAGGCCCAGGCCGAGGTTGTCCCTCAGCAAGTCGTGTCACTCAACACACAAGGTAATCGCATCATTGTCGGCGATGTTCAGCAAGGTATCACGTATGTGGTGTACAAGCCTGCCACTAATAAGCTCATCCCCTATGTCGACGACACGCTGTCCCGTTGGACCACGTGTTCGACAATGGTGGATTACGAGTCGGTGGCCGGCGGAGACAAATTCGGCAACATGTTCATTGTTCGCAGCCCACAAAAGGCCAGTGAGGAGGCGGACGAGGAGCAGACCGGTCTGCACCTCACCAACGCCCGCGAGTACTTGCACGGCACGTCCCACCGCCTGAACCTCATGTGTCATTTTTACACACAAGACATCCCCACCAGCATCACCAAGACAAGCCTTGTGGTCGGTGGGCAAGACATACTGCTGTGGAGTGGTATCATGGGGACCATTGGCGTCTTCATCCCGTTCGTCAGCCGCGAAGACACGGACTTCTTCCAGAGCCTCGAGCAGCACCTGCGAACAGAGGATCCGCCCCTGGCGGGACGCGACCACCTCATGTACAGAGGCTACTACGCGCCTGTCAAAGGCGTGATCGACGGCGACCTCTGTGAGAGATACACCCTGCTGCCCAACGACAAGAAGCAAATGATTGCCGGAGAGCTCGATCGCTCCGTCCGCGAGATTGAGCGTAAAATTTCGGTATGTACACCTCGTCCCAGTTTGAGGATGACTTTGACTGACGTTCGCCAGGACATCCGCACGAGGTCTGCCTTTTAATGATTGCTCTGTGAATGATGACTTTATCTGTACACTACTCGGACCTATATATCCAGGGGTGTTGGCGTCGAGCGTGGGGATCTATTTGTATGTACGACACGACACGACCCAGCCATCTAGGGCAGACGGCTGCTGTTCCAAGATTTTGTTCCATCTCTCTGTTTCCCCTTTTTTGCCGTCTTGCCGTGACCGGGGAACTGATGTTCCTTCTCCCACGCCTCGTCGACAAAGTAGGTCTCCATCGCCGCGGCGAGATTGTAGTCGGCTTGCTCCAGGTAGAGCAGCGCGACCTCGTACTTGGACACCTTGGTCGAGGTCATGAACCTCCGGATCTTGGCCTTCCTCCGCTCTTCGTCCTCGCCCTCAACCGGCCTCGGCGATAGGCTGACGCCGCCCTTGTAGTACGCGCCTGGGATGAGGACGGTCCGTCGGCCGAGGAGAAGATGATCTGAAGTCAAGTTGTTCGCGCGGCGGAGCGCGGACGCTGGGACGCCGTAGCGAAGAGACAGCGAGGAGACGGTGTCGTGGTTGTGGTTGAGGAAATGCAGCGTGTCTTCCGCGTCATCGGCATCCTTTTGCACCGCGGCGGCAGCGAGCGCGCCCTTCTCATCGTTCACATGGGCGGCCGTCGAGGGTGGTGCGTATGGTGGTGGCGCTGTGTCGTGTGATGACGCCTTGGGTGCTGAGGCTGCCTCATACGCAGGCGGATCCCTCAGGCCCTGGGGCAGCGCTGAGGGGCCGGATGATATTTGGCAATAAGGGCAGTACTCTGCAAATCTGCGATTCGACTGTATCTAGAGTCAGTTTCCGTAGTTCTCTCTCTGGCTTTGCGAGGTAGTAGAGGCGCGCGCACCTGGATACACTTGCCACAGATGACCCGCGCGCAGCAGGCTACCCTGCGGTCATCGGGTAGGGGCTTCTCAGAGTAGGCGGGAGCTGCGGATAGGAGACTGGCGCACGTTGAGCACGCCTCCATGGATTCAAGGTGGCCCATGGTCTGGTGGTGATTTCAAGGTGTTCGGGTTTCTGTGTTGTAGGAAGACGCTTATAGCGACAAAGCGACTGTTGTTGAGCATGTGAGGATGTACCTTATTCGTCGTGATGATTGATTGGACAGAGCGGACCCATGACGCCACCACCCCGATGGATAATGTTGTCGTCTCATTGAGTTGAAGCTGCACACAGCCAGACAAACATGAATCGGAATCTTTTCGCACAAGGAACGGGTGGCATGATACCCAGCTAGGTTGTTGGGGTCTTATCAGAGACTCGAACCATGGTCTGAGATCCTCTTCACGATGGCCTCCCTCAGCCCTTCGACAGAGTCCACCATCTCGACGGCATACTTTGCGCACACAACCTGCATGTTGGCCCTTTTCCAGAACCCCTCGGGACAGACGACAATCGCCTTGCCCGGGTTACAAGCGCAGAGCCCAAACTCTATCAGACTGATGGGCGCCTGGGCGCCTGGGTGGAAGTGGACGACGACAATGTTGGCCTTATCCTGCTTCTCCAGCTCCCATTCGACCTGCTCGCGGAACGGCGCAAAGTTCACGTCTTCACGCCAGGTGCTGTCCCAGTCGGCGCGGTAGGGATTGTAGATGGTGACAGGCAGATCGGAGAGGGAGTTCGAGAGGTCTTCCCGCCAGTCGGTCTCGTCGACCTTACTCGTGGTGCCGGCAAGGAAGATGGACTTGACGCCGCGAGGTGCTTCGCTCGAGGGAGCGTAGATGACCTGATGCTGCGACGCAGCCATAATCGTAGACGAGAGCGGACGTTTCGCGAAGGTTTGTAAGAAATGAGACGCGCAGAAAAGGGTGAGCAAGTCGAGTTTGGAGCATGGGCAGTTCAGATATCTGGCTCGGTGAGAGCTAGTGGTTTGGCCCAACCTTGGTGTTGAGAACATCACTTCAGGCTCCAGTCCGTGGCCCAGCTGCCTGAGCTCAAGCTCAGGCTCACAACTCCGCACCCACACCATCATCACGGTAAGTCGAGGCGTGTCTCAAGGCCGGATTGGACCAGCAGCAGCAAAGTGCAAAAACACACCATCCTTGCTGCATTCGCAGATGCCTTGTCACCTCCTCAGCGAGACTTGTACTTCCACAATCGCGACCATCAGCTGAAGTACTCCCAGGATGTTGGCGAATCCTCCAACCAGAACCACAGCCCAGAATGTGTATCATTGCAAGGGATTCCGCCTGTCGCGCCATAGATCGGTCAGCTTGCTGGGCCTCTGCCGTATGTTGAACTGCTGCAGCCTGATGAGTCGCCTCCCGAACCGAGGGAAGTCGTCTCGGGCGCTGGACACATCGCTCTGCTGCAGATACCCTTCCATCGTACAGCACGTCATTGGCCACACCTCTGGCGGATAGCCCTGAAGGACGCCGTCGTACGACTTCCACCAGAGCCTGCCGTGCTCGTAGTGGCGCTCGCAGAGGTCCGAGAGCATTGTGTCGACAGTTTTGGTCGGTGAAAGCCCTGCCTACTAAGACAGTCCATCGTGCACGGAGGAGGACCTCTTCGCCAAGCAATAGACGACGGCGACCAAGTCTATCTTGCAGCGCATGGAACCCCATGATCGCAGAACGATTAGAAGCTTCCGGACATATCAGGACGTGCGTGAGGACTTCATCGTCGCACAAGATGAAGAGCCACCAGAGGCTGCCCTCCAGGAACTGGCTATGCTAGAACCACGACTCGGCGACATGAACAATTTCAGCGACTTCTTCGCCGCCCAACTCTGTGCGATGCTAGATCCAAGCATGTTTTGGGGCTTGCTCAGCTTGCTGATCTCGGTAAGAGCCAGTAATTTATGGCGGCAAGCACGTTGACTAAATGGACGCAGCTAGTCGTGCAACATGGTGAGCCCATGCGGAACGTGTCCAAGATGCTCAGGAAGTTCGCCAGAGATTGCCATGACTTCCTGCTCCATTACTAGCAGAGCTCAAATGCTACTAGGGAAGACAAGAAATCATGTTTTGATATGTTCCTGAACATGACGACCTTCTTCGCCGACCTTGTGCAGCTTGTATGCCGGTGTGACGATGACCTATCGGAAACTGATTCCGCTCATGGTGAAATTCGACTTTCGAGACGAGGCATGAGTCGCCGCTCTCGCCAGGATCGATTGATTGATTTGTCGCTTAAGGCCGCCAGCACCCCGTATGGTCCGAAATCAATGACAAGTTCAACACAGCTGTGCGCGATATCGAGGATACGCTGGTCCGCATGGATAGGTCGCAGCCATATACCAGAGGCAGTATCAGGGTGATATGGCCTCCTGGCTGTCTTACCTCTCTTTCTCGCCTCGCGCGTCCCAGGATACAGCCCAGCTCCCTTGCTTCGTGCTTCCTACAAGACAGACAACCCGATTCTTTAATCGAGATGAGGTGATTGAGAAGATCGAGCAACACCTCGGCAACCGAGAATCTACCTCTTCGCTACGCGCGCTGGCTCTCTACGGTATGGGCGGTGTCGGCAAAAGTCATGTCGCCATGAAGTATCTAGAGAATAGAAGAGCGGCAAAAGACATTGATGCCATCTTCTGAGTCAACGCTGAAACCCCAATCTCGATTCAGCAGAGCGCAACAGACATTGCCCTCCGGCTGAAGCTGCCTGACACCGGGCCAGCGACGCACGATGAGAATCGAATGATTCTCAAAGGATGGCTGTAACAGACTTGTACGTTCCAGGTAAACGAGCCACGATAGCTCATGTCTGACAACTACCCCGTGGCAGAGTGCAGATGGCTGATTATCTACTACAATGTGAAAGCCGCCGAACTTCTTCGAAACTACTGGCCGTTGTCTGGCAGTAAAGGCCAAGTCCTCATCACCACGAGGAATCACTCCCTCAGTTTTGACCCTGCAGACATTGGCATCGAGATCCTCCCGTGGGACACAGACACTTGCTCCAAGTTTCTTCTACATCTCCTGGCAGGACAAATCAGTGCTAGATTCCTGGCAAATGAGACCAAGTCGGCATGCAGCCTCGCAGAGAGACTGAGCGGGCATGCGTTGGCGCTCTCCAACATGTGCGGCCTCATTCATCGTCGCTCCTGGTCCATCTCGGAGCTTGTAGAGAGATCTACGATCGATCGAGAGACTTCAAAGATGGCCTCGAAGTTGGTTGGCAGCTATCTTTCGAAGGCCTTCGGCCCGAGTGCGTCGCGCTGCTATCGACTCTCTCGTTTTGCGCGCCAAACAATATTCCACAGTCGCTGTTCGAGTTTGACGAAGACACAGAGGGCCTCACAGGTGACACGGCCTGGTATCTTGACGTCGATCGTGAAGGCGCCTCTCTACCTTTCGGGTACCCCATGCTTACCGTGAGAAGCCCTAGGCTGAGCTCGAGCACGGGGGAGCTCTTGACGCTTGCCTTGATCAAGAAAGGCAGATATGCCCGCGAGTTCTCCGTCCACAGCCTCATCGTTTCCCAGTTTCACCGCTTCCTGAAGCCGGAGGATCGCCAGAAGGCATTCTTCGAAGCTTCTATTTTAATGTACAACGTCTTCCCCAAGAAACCCAAGCAAGCAGGCGCTACCCGGGCGAATTTCTACAACGTCTGGGACAAGTGCCAGCTCCTGCTTCAGCATCTGTTACAGCTCAGGACGAGCTTCGTCAAAGAGCGCAAGTGGAACTCTTCATTCTCTGCTTGCAGAGAGACTTGCGAGCTATGGGTTCAGTGTCAACGGTGAGTCGATCCCAGCATCCTTGGATGTTGCCGTGTTCTCTGGTACGCGAATAATTAATGTCACAACTAGCTTTCTCCTCGAAACCCAGAACTGGCGAGAACTCGAAGAACTCGTATCCGTCAATAAGATCGCCATGTCAACCCTTCCAGACCCAAGCAAGGAGATATAATATTTGCTGTCCTCGACCGAGATCCACGTGGCGACCATGTGGGCGTTCCGAGCTCGATTCAAACTGGCCCTCGAGAGCCTGCAGACGGCACATGGTCTCAAGCTGCCCGAGTCTCCCATCGAGCTCCAGAACCTTTGCTGGATGGAAGATAAAATGGCTTCCATCTATGGGTATCTGGGGGATCACAAGATGGGGCTAGAGTGGATCGAGCGTAGCCTCGAGACGTGGAGGCGATGGTCAGAGTCCACGGGCGCTGCACTCGCCTGTCCTCCGCTTCTCAAGCTGACACACGGGCGGATTCTAGCCCACGGTGGATGGCTCGACGAGGCCAGGTTTCAGCTGACTGAGGCAATAGACGGGCTGCTGTCCGCGAAGCCGTTGGTCTGGGCACCAACAGCAAGGTGCGTCTAGTCATGCATAGAGCATATTGGAGACTAATTGCCCACAGTTGCAAGTTCGCCTTGGGGAGACTGCTCATGTTCGAGAAGAAGTATGATGCGGCGGCAAGGATGATGCTGCTCGAGAGCCAGTCCATGTGGCTACAAGGAGATAAGTCTCGCGCATTGGATGTTAACGGCATAGTCGTGTACCAGCTGGGCTGCTGCGCCCTGCTCAGGGGAGACGTTGATTCTGCAGTATGAGTTGTGAAAGCTTCGTCAAACTACATCGCTTGCTGACTGCGTGCAGCAACCATCTCCGAGAGGCTGTAGTGATCAGCTCTGTCCACAAAGATACGCATCCTGAAAAATATGCACGGTGCCTCTTAAGGTCTTCGAGGCACTGCGTGCGAGCCCTGGGACAGAGGCAGAAGCGGACCAGAAGCTTGCAGAAGCGAGAGAGCTATATTTCAACATTGTTGGCGGGATAGCGACCACTGCAGTTGCGTTGACTGAGAATGATTTCAAGAGTCTCGTGCATTTGAGGCAACGTTGGTAACTTTTTCTCAGTATGTCAGGGCCATCCGCGCTGGCATATGTGAGTAACACTTCCATGTGGTCACAAGTAAGTCCTTTGCTCGTCCATGACGGGACAATATTCGTCTTTCACACAAGGGACACGCAATTTTGCAACAGCAGAACGTACCGTTCGTATTAAAAAGAATCCCAGTGCTGTTGTAGTGAAGAGACAAAAAGATTCAATCGTGGAAGCAAAAGAGATGGTCCGTAGCGGGGTCGAACCGCTGACCTTCGCATTACTTAACACATTGATCATGTATTAGTACGACGCTCTAACCAACTGAGCTAACAGACCAGTTGCTATGAGAATAATCCATAATAATTATTATTATATTCCTGATACAGTAGCTGGTTCCTTAACAGACTGCCGTAGCCGCTGTTTTGTGTCTACTACTACTGCACTCCTACCCCTTACAGGCTGCTCGTTGCCATATGTGGACAGAAGAATACGCCCGGGTCCAATTTTTCACTTGACTTTGAGGCCGGAGTGTTTTATTGTCGCTGTCACATGGCACTTTGTCAAGGACGTGACACACATGCTGCCCTAATAAGCTGGATGTTGACATCAGGGGCTTCATGCATGTTCGACTCGAGCTGCAACCGAACGTTCAGCACCAACTACGGCACTACCATTGAGGATCAGGTACGTTTTCGGTCTCACTTCAGAGCTTCGCAACAGCTCCCAAGCTGGGCACTGCTCGCTTGTCCAAAGATACAAGTTGAATTATCTCGAGAGACCCTATGCACCTACAGTCGTATGCTTGACCAAGATATGCAAGTCTTCCTAGTTCAATTCAAGTATTCCGTGACTTGGGTCCGCTCAAATCTTGATCAATTGAGCCCACCCGACCACCGTTAGGTGAACGCGTCACTGTAGCCCTGAACGAGACTGTGGAAGTAGCCGTAGCAAATGCATAAGGTATTGTTGATGCTACAAGCCATGGCGTATGGGGGTTCATACATATTGTATAAAAGATTTAAATATGCAACCAATTGATGATTGTTTTCTTCAGTGAGCTGACTCTGAGTGTGTGCAGTGAAGCTTGCAGATTAGCACGTGTGTCGTGTGGCGCAACTAAGAAGAGCTTCAGGGTCTTCGTTGTGTTGCGGTCAACAAAACATTACTTTGGTTAGATTCGTCTTCAGGGAGCACAACTGCCTCTTTTCGTTTATACAGTAGATATGATTTGACAATGTAGGACAGGAACTGAGGCAAAAACTGCTGTAGTGTCTGATGCTCAACTATGCGAACTGGCAGCATGAGGAGCCGGGTGCTCTTCAACACAGTAATTCCGTAATCTTGCGAAAATGTCGTTACCAGTGGCCACAGCGCGCAAAAAAAAACAAAAAAAGGAGTCTCCTAGTCAGTCAAACTCGAAGACGAGCCAAGAGCACTTTCATGCCTACTGAGGTTGTCCCTCTTTTCGAGGCACTACTGATTCAGGCTGCCGCAGACTCCCTAAGCTTGTCGGTGCGACGAAGTGAGAATTGCATCAACAACCAACCTCAGACCATCTAACAGAAATTCACATCAGCTGAAACTACTCAAAAGGAACCCAGAAGACATATCGTGTGGCAGAATCGCTTCCGGGCGTGGCTGGAGTCACAGACAGACACCTTCATTGCGATAGAAATTAGGGCTCTGCAAAATTACCGATCTTATTGTTCTTTACGAGAGCGGATTCACAATCACCTGGGTCTGTTAGCTCAGTTGGTTAGAGCGTCGTACTAATACGTTATCAACGTATCAAGTAATGCGAAGGTCAGCGGTTCGACCCCGCTACGGACCATTCTTTTTGCGTGCATCTCGATACTCACTCCTTCATTTAGACCAGTTAAGGACACATATCATCCTTTTGCCTGCTCCTACGTTCACGGTGTCGTCGCGCCGGTAGATGTCACGCGACACCTGGAATCATGGGATTGGGTAGAGAGTTGCAGAGCGAGCCCTCAGCTGCCCTCGAGTCTTTGCAACACCAACTGCTTTCTGGCGAACATTTATTATTATAGGTCGAAGTGTCACACTTCTGGGGAGCTAGTGTCCGTAATTGTCTGCGTGTCCCAATCAGCCCAATTGAATTACCCTGGGTTGTTCTGGGATAGACTGTTCGTCAACCAGGTGAATGATTTCAGATGTTCCATACGATCAACTAAGCACAGTCATCGCTGCAACGAGATGACGCACAAAACTCGGAGAACAGCGTAGAGAAAATCCGATAGTGGTGCCCGTGGACGGCTCTCCTTGGGTGAGGGTTCTAGGTAAGCCTAAACCGCTACCATCGATCAATGGTACGATCCTGATTTTCTGGTTGTGGTCTTCCAACTTGACAGAAAACAATAGAAGCGAAATAGACGGGAATAAACCAGGATGCGAGTGTAAAAACAATAGTCACCAGACGCATCGTCTCAGGATTTGCTGATCATTTCGCGCGCGTCGATTCCTGCATGTCGAGGCTCAAGCAGCACGTGCCAGCGCGTGGAGGGATGCGCGGCGTTGTCCATCGCCGAACCGATTCTACTTCACGCCGTAAACTCAATTACATGTTGCCCAAAAGACCTTACATCGCAACCGACTAATAATCTCTATTGTGCATTTCTCGACACCCCGCATCGCTGCCATGAGTAAGCCTCTAGCATTCGGCTTCAATGCCGCGAAAAAGACGTCTTCAAAGGCTGCGCCCCCCAAGCGAAAACCCATGTTTGGCGGCGACGATGATTCGGACAATGAACTACAATCTGCGGGCGGCGTCACAACACAAGCTCTAGACGGAGACCTTGACGACTTTGTGACCACCAGTCGCGAAGATGTCACTCAAGATGCGCGCAAATCGGCCAAGGGCAAAAAAGGACCACCGTCGCAACCGCCGAAATTCAAGTCAAAGACTCAACAACCCAGCACCATGTTCGGCGATCTGTCGAGCAGTCTGACGTCGCGCAAAAATGCCGAGGCAGCAGCCGACCTCGACTCCAGCGTCTACGAATACGACAAAGTCTACGAATCTCTCAAACCGAAGAAGCACACCACCAAAGAAGATAAGGAAAGGAAGCCAAAGTACATGCGCGGGCTCATGGAGGCGGCCGACGTGCGCAAGAGAGACCAGCTGATTGCGGAGGAGAAGAAGATTGCGCGCGAACGAGAAGAAGAAGGCGACGAATATGCCGACAAGGAGAAATTTGTGACGGAGGCCTACAAGCGCCAGCAAGAGGAGAACAAGAAGTTGCAGGAGGAGGAGAAACGGAAGGAAGAAGAGGAGGCCAAGAAGAACCAGGCTGGCGGAATGTCGGGCTTCTACAAGAATCTCCTGAACAAGACTGAGGAAAGGCACTCGGAAGCAGTCAAAGCCGCAGAAGAAATGGGTAAGGATGGCTCCGCAGCGGTCCAGGACGACGAGGACACGGAGGACGCTCGGGAAGAAGCCAAACGCCTTGAAGCACTTAAGGAGAAAGGCGCTGATATCGCCGTGAACGAGGATGGCCAGGTGGTCGACAAGCGACAACTGCTCAAGGGAGGCCTGAACCTGGGTGCCAAGAAGACATCAGCACCGTCCAAGGAGGATCTCCCAGCAGAGAGGCAACGGCCAGCCATGACAGAGCACCAGATAGGCAACCGGCAGGCGAGGCGAGAGCGGCAGTCACGGATGCTGGCTGAACAATTGGAAGCGTCGATGAAGCGCTCCCGAGCAGAAGCCGAGGCGCAACAGGAAGAAGTCGAAAGGGCAGCGAAGAGTCGCAAGACCGAGGGCGACATCTCCAGCGCAAAGGAGAGGTACCTCGCCAGAAAGCGCGCAGCCGAAGAGGCCAAGAAGTCAGGGGATAGCACTGCATAGATATGATACCCAACGGATGAATAATGACAAGATAACTTCCATCTTGATTAGCTGTTTGCGAAGCGCCTTGTTTTGAGACTGCGCTTGTCTATAAATATGTATGTGTACAACAGTCCGATCGGACGCGGCCGGTCGTTGGTTCGTTACAGTAAGTGTTGTACAGTCCTTCGCATCGTTCGTACAATCCGTGTGTCGCATTTACATCTGCACGCCCTGCTCTTGACGTAGGCGGTCGATGTAGGAGGAGTTGACCTTGTTCCAGGCGGCCATGTATTTTTCCATGCACGAGGTGGCGCATGACTGCTCGCTGCTGGAGAGAGAGCTACCCGGCTTGGGGACGCACTTCTGGAAGCAGTTTTCCTGCAATTTCTGTGTCACGCGTCAGTCGGTCGGTTTGGCAAGTTTGCGAGCTGTCGGCGAGCCTACCTCAATGAGAAGGCGCACGTTGGCCATGTTGGCCTCGCTGCTGACCTGCTGCATGACAGCTTGCTTTACCGAGGCGGAGTCCATGATGGCAAGATGTTGTGGTATTATGAGAGGTGGAAAGGTCGGGGAGAACGTTGCGGACTCGTTGACGCTTGGGAATCTGTTCGAGGCTCGCGAACAAGTCTTGCATGGACTGTGGCTGGTGCATGTGGCGCAGACAGACGGTAGTACGTACTTGTAGAGTCCAAGGGGGACTGGACCCCAGATTGTGGCGCACATCGTGTGGCCCCCATGGCGGCGGCGGAAAGAGGACAGCTAGCTTGTGACTCTGGGACTTAAGATCGACCTCCCTGCCCACGCAAGAACCCGACAGCGGCCCCTCCACGATTCGAATCTCCCAGATCGCCCTTGATTGACTGTAGGGCAGGGACTTTGCTTCGTCCCCGATACCGTTCAGCGCTTCAAATTCAGCGTGCTGTGCACGTAGCGAGTCGCATCCATGCGTTGGTCTTCGTTTCCCGCCGCGCTCGTCGCGGCGCTCGCCTGGACGACAAATGCTCAGAGCAATGGTAACGAGAACATCAAGAGCGTCTCGGTGAGTGCCTTCGCGATATGAGAGCTTCTGACAGTACTGACGACGCAGTAGTTGCGCACACACACCCTGGTTCAGGTCAGTTGATACGGACGGCACGCGACTTGGAGACGACGACGCTGACCATGATAGCCCTACCTTGATTCTGACATGGCGAGTCGCTGGTTCGACTTTGGAGGGGATACAGTGATCCGCACAGACTCGTACGAGACATCTCTGTCAATGGAGTCTAGACGCGTGTGCTAACGCCTGTGTAGTCACGTCCGCCTCACATCCGACCGTCCTTCGCAATCCGGCTGGGTGTTCTCCCGCGTCCCATTGACGGCGACCAACTGGGAGGTCGAGGTCGAGTTCAAGGTCTCGGGCCGCAACCAATTGTACGGCGATGGCTTCGCCATGTGGGTGACCCGCCAGCGCGGCGTGCAGGGTAATGTGTTTGGCCATACGGACAACTTTGAGGGTCTCGGTGTGTTTGTCGACACGTACAAGAACAACCGCCCGGGCGTTGTTTTTCCTTATGTGATGGCCATGTTTGGCGATGGGCAGACCAGCTACGACAAGAACAATGACGGCAAGGCGTCCGAGTTCGCGGGCTGCTCGGCGCGCGGCATCCGCAACGCTAACCAGCCCACGAAGCTGCGCCTGACCTACTTCCAGGATAAGCAGCTCAAGCTGGAGCTCCAGTACAAGAACGAGAACGACTGGCAGCTGTGCTTCGACGCGGACTCGCCCCCTGCCATTCCCAACATTGCGTACCTGGGTTTCAGCGCCGAGACGGGCGAGCTCAGCGACAACCACGACATCGTCTCTGTGCGCGCCAAGAACCTCTACAACAGCCCTGTTGTGGGTGGCAGCAACAGCAAATCGACGCCCGGCAACAAGACCAAGTCAACATCGCGCGCCAAGCAGGGCGGCGGGGGCTGGATGTGGTTCTTGGCCAAGATTGTCCTTTTCTGCATGGTTGTCGGCGGTGCGTACGCTGGATGGGTGGCGTATCGTTCGAGGAGCAAGTCGCACCGTTTCTAGGTCGTGGTACAGTGGCGTCAACGGATGGATCTAGGGTGCACGGCGGCATATGGAAAAGTTTGCCTGGGATGCATGGGTTTGGGTAGCGTGGCTTACGGCTGTGCGAGGTTGTGTCTGGGGTTTGCTACTCGGCGACTGTAGTGTATGACATAGGGGCACAATGATTTAGCAAGCAGACCTTCACCTTCAACTGACAGACAGTCTATGTACAGCTAATCCTCGTGCAGCCGTGCATGTGCAATTGTTTCACAATCAATAACAAGGAAACGGAAATAATCCCGTGACTGCTATACCACGGAGTGAATCTACCGACGCCCTGATGAACTGAATACTGATGCTTGTCCCTTCACGATGTGAGGTATTAGATGCTCCCTTGACAAGGCGCCATAACTGGACTAGCCCATTCATCTAGGTACGTAGTAGGCACGACAAGCCGGACTGAATCAGCCTCATCCAGAGCGACGGCTCTCACAGCTGTTAGTGGCGGGCTCTATCATTCAATCACCAATACCAGGTAAGTAAGGTTCACAGATGAGGAGTTCCAGTCAGCTCCAGTCTGCTGCTGGCTAGCGCTGTCCGAGACTAACAGAAACCGCGAGCATCCTTCAGGTCCAATCCTCCCGTTCCCCTCCATCCTCCATGATCACTGACGTATCTGCGCTTCAATTGCCCGCCTAGTTTACCTTGGTTGGCCCGGGTCCATTTCAGCCCCCAGAGCTCGAACACTCGAGGCTTTCCCGTCGGGTCCTGCTCCTCGCTGCTTGCATGTAAACTTGTGACTACATGTAGTTTCTCTTGCCTTGCCGAACCGTTTACTCGACGCTTGCCGTTCTCGACCGGAATACGTCCCTCACAACCAATAGAACTTATTCGTTTTTGCCCACCTACTTACGTGCCTCCGCGCACAAGCCAAGGCCTGTTTGCGTCCGCCTCATCCAACGCAATCACGCTGCCGACCTGGACTGACCCAGCGCGGAGCTTGCGACTGTATCCGTCTGCAGACCATCCAAAGTACATTGCACGAGATTGCGTCGCATCCAGTCAATTGACGCAGCATTGAGGCGACGCCGTGACAATGCCCGGGCTCAATTTCTTGAAGAAGATCCGCAGCAAAGAAGGCCATCACGAGCACTCGAATGGCCCGACCAGCCCGACCGCAACAAAGCAGGCACAGCAGCACCAGCAGCCACAGGCTGGAGGCGCCGGGAACACTGGCGCAGCTCAAGTTTTCGGTCCAGGAGGTCAAGGGCAGCAGCAGCATGGCGGGGAAAGCGCGACGGTGACGGCAGGCGCACCACCCCACGTCGACAACCGCCGCGCCAACGACGGCGCCTTGCTGAACTCTGAACAGCCTCAACCCTCACCATCCAACATCTCGCCTGGCGCTGCCCCTCCTCCTCCACTCTACGACTCGCGCCAGAACCAGAACCAGAACCAACAGCAGAATAGTCCCAGCATCCACAACCTAGTCAAGGATGAAGGGGCCCCCAGTTCCAATCAGCACTCCTCACCCTTCAGCAAGAGCGCATTGAACTTGGGCCCATCCCTCGTCCCGACCGTCAGCGCCAGTCCCGGCACGGATCCCGCCGCCCTGCAGAAGCAGCAGCAGACTGCGCTCCCCCCACCGCGCAACCCACCACCGTCGCAACAACAGCCGCCGCAGCAACAGGGCGAGCAGCCCACCGACGCCAGCCGCGACCCCGACGCCATGCAGACCGACCAACCCGAGCAACAATCGCAGCCGGCGCAGCAAGTACAGCAGAATGAACAGCCGCAGCCAACTCAGGCGATGCCGCAACAGGAGCACCAGCACCAGCAACACCAACAGCAGCAGCACCAGCAGCACGCGGCCCAGTCCGTGTCTGGACACCAGCACCAAGGCAGCACCAGCTCGACGCCCCGCATCACAAAGGGCAAATACACACTCAATGACTTTGACATGCTGAGGACGCTCGGCACGGGCAGCTTCGGCCGGGTCCACCTGGTCCAGTCCAAGCACAACCAGCGCTTCTACGCAATCAAGGTGCTAAAGAAGGCGCAGGTTGTCAAGATGAAGCAGGTCGAGCACACCAACGACGAGCGCCGTATGCTGAGCGATGTCAAGCATCCGTTCCTGGTCACTCTGTGGGGCACCTTTACGGATGTCAAGAACCTGTACATGGTGATGGATTTTGTGGAGGGTGGTGAGCTCTTTTCCCTGTTGCGGAAATCCGGCGTGAGTAATAGCCAGGCCCGTGCAACCGCACGCACCGATGCGTGTCTTGCCCAGCTGACTGAGCATGTGTCCATAGCGTTTCCCCAATCCCGTCGCCAAGTTCTACGCGGCAGAGGTCACCCTGGCGCTAGAGTACATGCATTCCAAGCATATCATATACCGCGACCTCAAGCCCGAGAACTTGCTCCTCGACCGGCATGGGCATCTCAAAATCACCGACTTTGGCTTCGCCAAGCGGGTACCTGACAAGACATGGACGCTTTGCGGTACGCCTGACTACTTGGCACCAGAGGTCGTGTCCAACAAGGGCTACAACAAGTCAGTGGACTGGTGGTCTCTTGGTATCCTGATATACGAGATGCTGTGCGGCTACACGCCCTTCTGGGACAGCGGATCGCCCATGCGCATCTATGAGAATATTCTCAAGGGCAAGGTGAAGTATCCCTCGTACATAGCACCCGAGGCGCAAGACCTGCTCCAGAAACTCATCACCGCGGACCTCTCCAAGAGACTGGGGAATCTTTATGGGGGATCCAACGACGTGAAGAACCACCCTTGGTTCCACGAAGTCACCTGGGACCGCTTGGCGCGCAAGGACATTGATGCGCCGTACACGCCGCCCGTCAAGGCTGGTGCCGGAGACGCGAGTCAATTCGACAAGTACCCCGAGGAGCACGAGAAGTACGGCCAGTTAACGGGCACTGATGAGTACGTCTGATCGGGGAATGTTATCCTAGAAGCCCACTTGCTAACAAGCTCAGATACGGCCACCTGTTCTCCGAGTTCTGAACGATACTCGTTTCGTTTCGTGTCGCTTGCGCGCGCAATGCTTGTCATCAATTCATTCACACACATAGTTGGAAAATCCTGGGACGGGCGTAATGCTTTGGCGGGTGCTGGGGAACGGTTTGCGCTACGTACAGCAGGCGGGGGATTCACGCAAAGACCTAAAGCCACATGCAAGAGCCGGGTTCGGTCGCCCTTGATCGTCGCGGCAGTGAAAAGAATCGGTGTATTGTTATTTGCAAAGTGCGTGATGAAACTGTTGAATACGCGGCGGGAAGAGTGTGTGAAGCCCACATGGCTGACTGACAAAGGTCCCTGCCGATAATCGGCGTCTCCGCTCTTTGCGGTGCTGTCAAGGGAGCAGTCGACATGGATGGACACTTTTTATTACGCACTGCTCGTCAGGTGCTTTCCCTACGATGATGCTGGCCTAGCCAAAGCTGAAGCAAATGCCAATATGCATTGTCACGTCACTCAGTCACTCCAGCCCGCTTGAGACCCTGCGCACTGCCCAGCAGGGTGTTCACCAAGTTAGACCTCGGCCGGATCTGCGCCATCACCTGCGACCATGAGCTTCGGCATTGACCTTCCATCGGACCTAGATTGGTCCCAACTGCTGTCCAGCCTAGATGTTGACGTGGGAGTCGAGGCCAATGCCAACACCTGTGAGCCCGAGCACGACGTGCGCGGCCAGACCAGAGTTGGCCACGCGCACGCCCCGACGCCTCCCAAGGTCGGAACGCGCTTCTCGACGGCTTCTCTCAAGATCCTCAAGGCCTGGCTGCGTGACCATGAGGACCACCCGTACCCGTCCTCCAAGGACATTAGTCGCCTGGAGGCGCAGACGGGGCTGGAGAAGCAGCAGATCACGAATTGGTACGCCAATGTTCGACGACGCACGCGAGCCCGGCACGTGCCGAGACCGACGTCTCCCAGTCTGGCGAGTGTGAAACCTCAGAGGCAGCCTCCTGGGCAGGATGCGGGACGCAGCATACCGGGAAAGCCTGGTCCATCACCGTTCTCGGACATGGACCCCATGCAACGATGGCAGAACTCGCCTCCAGAGTACGAACCCTCGGAAGCTGCAGATATCCTCGCTGCCGTGTCGGCGTCCGACTACCGCGACCACGACGGGCATGACGCGAAAAGGGCGGATGCTGGCTACACGGACCGGGCGACGTCTGATGATGCCTCGTCAGCCACATCCGCTCGTCGCTCCAACTCGAGCACGGGGAGCTCGGTGGGGTCGGCGTACTCGTACGCCTCGCAGACGTCGCGCAAGTCCATCGACGTGCTCGCCACGCAGAAGCCCCGGCGTCGAAAGCGCAAGGTCGCCACGAGGAGACAGGCCGACAGCCGGAACGGCCTCCTGATAGCGACGCGGACGTACCAGTGCACCTTTTGCGCAGAGACCTTTGCCACGAAGCACAACTGGCAGAGGCACGAAAAGTCGCTGCATATTTCTCTCGAGGGGTGGGAGTGCTCGCCGGATGGACCGACCCTTGTCGACGCGGACAGCAACAAGGCGACGTGTGTGTATTGTGGACTGGTCAATCCCGACGCGACGCACATTGCTGGGCACGACTACGGGGAATGTGAGAGGCGCGCGCCCGAGGAGCGCATATTCTACCGCAAAGACCATCTGCAGCAGCACCTGACGCTGGTCCACGGAGCTGCCTTTCAGAGGACGTCCATGGAGACGTGGAAGCGGCAGAACCAGCTGATCCGGTCCCGCTGCGGCTTCTGCAACCTCGCCATGGAGTCGTGGGACGAGCGGGTGGATCACATTGCTGAGCACTTCAAGACGGGCAGATCCATGGCGGACTGGGAGGGAGGCTGGGGGTTTGAGCCGCATGTTGCCGACAAGATCGAGAGTGCGATCCCTCCATGTACGTTTTCATGTCCCGTTCAAGATAGCTAGCTACTTGGGCCAAAGCCTTGCGGGCTAACGGTAAGATGCAGATCTGATTCACTACGAGCGGTACTCCCCATGGCCTTTTACGGGCTACCATGAGCCCTCGGGCACGCCATCTAGCGCCTTTGAGCTGATCAGCGCCGAGATGGAGTACTACTCGAACGAGTTCATGGCGGCCCACCAGCGGCGGCCCACGCTGGCGGAGATGCAGTACGAATGTTGCAGCCGCGTCCTGGGGGCCGAGCAGCTCACGGCGGCGCACAACAGGCAGAACAACAGGCCGACGCGCGCGGACGGGAACGGGAACGTGGGCAACACGTCGTCGGCCTCGTGGCTGCGCGACCTGGTCATGTCGGACGAGTCCATTGCGCGCGAGGCGCGCCTTCGGCCCCTCCGGGAGGCGGCCAAGGTGAGCATCACACCGCTGCGCGTCAATGGCAAGTCGACCGTCTTTGAGTCGTGCGCGCTCGAGGGCGAGCTGCAGCAGCGGGTGCAGGCTTCCCACGCGGTGGGACTGGCCGTCACGAACCAAGACATCCGGGTCATGGCGTGTCAGGTTGTGGCCGAAATGACAGCAAAGGCCCCTTGGCCGTCCAAATCGGCGCAAGATTTCCTGATTGAGTTGATCTATACCACCTGCGGCACGTGGTTCACCAAGTTTCGCCAACGTGCGGGTCTGCCCGTCGACGAGGCGTGCCCGTCAGAGCTGCATGGCCCTGGGCATGGCGGCGCTGGGAACAGCTGGCACGCCGGGAGCGTGATGGAGGCGACACTTCAGGCGGGTGGTCCTGAAGCGAGTCTGGGCTCCTTGACCACGGTCGACGACGTCTCCTCCTACAGCCCCAACTTGCAGAGCGCGCACGGGGCGGCGGGGGGCTTGCGGGAACACCGGCTGGGCGACGACAGCTGCTACCGCCGGCTGATGAAGGAGCTGGTGCGGTACACGCGAAGTGCCATGTCGCCCTACAACCCGAACCAACACGTGCCGACGGATGAGGAGCTGCAGCACCACGCGCGCTGGATCATGTTTGACGAGTGCGTATCCTCCTTGCCTTGAGGGGCTCGTTGCGTCCTTTACTGACTTGACTCCCCTAGCGATGACCCGTGGAACCAGACGCCCGCGGACAATGCCGAATGGCTACGGCATTTCAAGAAGGACCAGGGTCTTGACGTGGATGATCCTGATCTGGGTGTGTCGTGAGGCCAGAGTTTGTCAAGTCAGCCCGGGATCTTCAGAGGATGAGCAATGCGATGAATAGAGGACTGATTGGAGGCAGGTGTTCGAAGAGAGCATGAAGAGAGTTCAGTTCTATTCTGAGTCCCGACGCGTCCGTCGGGAAGTGACTGTCGGGGAAACGGCGCCATTCCTCTTGGGGACTAGCCCGCGGGTAGCTGTCGGTCACGATCAGGGGATGGATCAGATCACACCACACCACACCACATCACATCACATCACATCACATCACGGGCACAGCCGACGTTGGGAGCATGAAGAGCACCCGAATCTGTCTCTCGCAGGAGCTCAAGGCGAGAGGGTTTGGAGTTGGAATCGAAGCGTCGGTTTACGGTTAGTAATGTAATTAACCAGAGGCGTTGAATACGGGCATAAACTGTTTAATTGGCGTGCAACGGTTGCTGGGGCGAGCTTGAAGCCTGGGTGAGACCAGACTCATGTCGAAGGCCAAAGTGGTGGAGGGAGCGGACCGCACGTGGCTTCGTCCATGTCCCCATGCAAGACTCAAGGGCCACGTGTGCACGCTTGCGCAGGCCAAAAGACGAAAGTGAAATATGAGAAATCGACAGCAAAGTATCCGTAAAATCCAATGTGATTGATCGTTGCTTGTTGCCTCGGTGTCGAGCGTGGAATGGCGTGTCACGGTTTGCAGAGTGTGGGGCGCGAGCCACTGAATCCGTGGCTGCTCCGACCCCTGCAGGAGGTTCGAAGTACCCCAGGACAGGGCCCTCCTTTCCAGTCAGTGGCCGCCTCCCCGATGGAATTCAAGACATGCAACCTCATAGCAACAGTCCGTCGACGACCTTGAGCCTCACTCACCTCGACACTACCCGCCAGCCCTTCGTCTGCTTCCCATCTCTTTCTCTAACCACATCACTGCGAGCTCGCCTACTGCTTGTTTACCTTCGTTTCTGGCTTCTCACATCTTCCATTCATGTTCCTTGGCCGGTCTAACGTTAGTTTGTAATCAACATTCACCTCCCTGCTCGAGCAACCACCCGCCTTCGTCAAGCCCATTCGTTGTAACTTTACCCTGCGCGCGAACCCTCGACTACACAGGCACATCCTGCCTCCGTCATCTCTACCGTACCGCGGGTCACCCCCCCTTCCTTACCCGACGCACTATCCCATGGCCGCCACGAACAACCGCCCGTCCCTTTCCTCGACACGAAGCGGCTCGCCCTCGCCCGACACCCTCCCTACGCCAGCCATCGGGGCCGTCTCCGATCTCTCTCGCTACTCGTCCACAACCTCCTCTCTCTCCAACACCTCCAGCGCCGCGGATGCGACGTCGCGCGGCTCGTCCATGCACAGCAGTGATCTCGCTACCCCGCGCAACGGCTCTCGACCGCCACCGCGCCAAAACTCCCACGGACACGATGTGAAGCGACGGAGAGGGTACATGCGCCCGCAGGCCACCGACTTTGCGGCCAGTGCCAAGTCGAGGGAGAGCGTCATGAGTCTCGGCAGCATTGCGCATCTACAGTACTACTTTGCGCGCACAGGGTTGCTGGACGGCAAGGGGGGCCAGCTGGCACGCAAAAAGTCAAAGCACCCTGCCACGCTCGATCTCTCGGCCCTCGAAGCATCGGGGAGCGAAAATGGAGGCCCGGGTACGGACCCTGACTCGTCGTATGGCTCTGTCGACAGCAGCAGCCCCGACGTGGGCGCGCACCCGTACGGGAGCGGGTCCTTGACGGAGTCGCCGACGGACGAGGACGACGATGCCTTTTCGGATAGTTTTGCCGACTCCGAGTCGGGGATGCTGCCACCGACGGTGAGCACGTACAACCACAAGGAGAAGGTCGTCCCCAAACCACCCACAATCGTGGAACTCAAGGCCGAGCTGGACACCACACTGGCAGAGGCGGCCAAGGCGATCAAGGAAGTCCAACATAGAAAGGAGGGCACCTACGTCGAGCCGGCCGACGCGCCCCGGCTGCCCAACATGCCCGACGAGAACACTCAGGGTTGGTTCGAGCTGCAGGGGATGCAGATCCTCGACGTCGTCACCCTCGCCATCCGCGCGGCCAAAATGTACTACACCGCCCACGAGATGCCCGACCGACTCGACGCCATCAAGTCGGAGAAGCAGGTGCGCGCCGACCTGCTCGCCGTAATGGAGGTCCTCAAGCAGCAGGCGACCCGCCACTTCAAGGGCGGCATGAAGGACGACGAGGTCAAGACCATCAACGGCTGGATCGAGAGTGTCTACGAAATCCTCCGCAAGGAGGCCGCGATCGAGGCGGCAGAGGAGGCGGAGCGCGCGAGCTGGACGTGGCTGGAGGGTGACTGGACCGGTCGGGAGCACGAGCGCGAGAGGGCCTTTCTCGGCTCCATGGACCCCGAGGCCGCATCGCTCCCCGCGTGGACACCCGTGTCCGAGGCAGCGCAGGTGCCGACGCCCTTTCTCGCATCCTTCCAGAACGGCCTGCGCCTGGTGAAGCTCCACAACGCGGCGGTGCACAAGTCGAGGCGGCGCTTCGGCGCCATCCCCACGTTCCACACGGACACACAGAAACCCTACCGCTGCGCCGACAACCTACGGTACTGGGTCAAGGCGGCGGAGCTGCGGTTCGAGATACACCTGAGGGTCGACGTCATGGGCATCGTCAACAACAGCGGGCCCGAGGCGTGGGAGGCGTTTGAGGCCGCCATCCTCCAATGGTGCCGTCATGTCCGAGAGGAGCTGGCCAGGGAGCTGGCGCGGTGATCTCGTCACGAAGACTTGACGAGCGACGCAGACCATGGTATTTTACATATCTTCCATTCTTTGGCTTTGGTGGGTTGGGTCCGGGCATCATCAGCTGTACGCTCGCGTTTTTACGCCCACGTTTCCTTTTTTTTTTTTTTTTTTTTTCAAAAGCGACTCCAGATCTACTTCGACCTTCTCGCATATACCCCCATTGGCATTAGATATCAGGCGTATTCATGATTCATTTCCCCCCTGGCAGTAGAATATTATGTAAAGTCTATTTGAGTTCATGGAATCATATTGCGGCTACCTTGGCACAGGTAGGATGCAGCTTCATACGTAGAGTGGTAGCAAGCAAGCGAGCAGACATGTGTGTTCGTATCCCCGTCCCTCCTTCACAGCGGCATCAGGCCTATGCCCCCTCCTGGCCGCTTCACGATCTGTCCGTCTCGCGGGGGTCCAGACGATGTTGCCCGAGAGGCGGTCGATGAGCCGCTAGCTTTCCGAGATCCGGCTCCTCCTCCTCCACCACCACCACCAGCACCTCCCACTCCACGACGACGACCGCCGCCGCCGCCGGCAGCGGCTGGCCCACTACCACTAGCCGACCGCTTAGCCCCCTTATTGGACTTGCCGTACTTCTTGCCGCCCCCTCCTCCTCGGGACGTTGATCTCGGGCGGCTGCTGCTGCTGCTACCACCACCACGACGGGCGGTGCCGCTTTGTGCCGATAGGCCTGCGAGTTCATTGTGCCAGTTCTGCGCTTGCTGTGCAAAGTAGGGCGAATCGGCCGTCTCTCCGTCCTCTTGCTCCTCCTCCAAATAATCCTCCTCAGCCTCGGAGCTGATGAGGTCTACTATGTCCCCATGGCTCCGTGTCGAGGTCGACGGCTCGCCGTTCCCGGATGCCTGCTCGCTCGCTTTGAACAGGTCATGATGCTCCTTCAAAAGGGGCAGGATCTTGGCGCCATGCTGCTGCACCTTTTCTGCGTCAATGCCGGGGATTCGTTTCATCTGGTCCAATGTCACGGTCCACCTGGCCACCATCTCACGCAGGTCGCGTTCCGTAAAGAGCGGTTTTCTAAGCCCAAGTCTGTTGCGGATCTGCTCCTCCAAGTCTCGCGCCTCTCTGACAAAGCTGGCGATGAGGTCCTGGTGGAGAGCACCGAGGTCGTCGATATTTGAGTCGACGGAGACCGACGACGTCTTCTTGGGCGGCTTCGCCCGTGTCGCCTTGGTTGCCTTGGGTGCTTTTGCGGCTGGTGCAGGGTCAAAGGCATCGTCCTCGCAGTCGTCGTCGATGAAGCCGTCCAGGTTACCGTTTTCATCTTCATCGTCCTCGCGGCTGCCACGTCCACGTACAATGGGGGACGAGACGTACGTGGACTGCACAGCCCCCGCGTCTTTGCTCTTAGCCTTCTTAGACGCGGGCTTCTTTGCCTTGGATTTTGATTTGGACTGCTTGTCCTCAGTGACCTGGATCGTCAGCATGAGCCTCCGGTTGCCCTGCAGAAAGTCCCTAAATGCAGGTCCCAGCTGCAAGTACTCCACGGCCATGCTGTGTCTGTTCACCTGGTTGTGCTCTTGGAACGCCTTCTCTGCACAGAGCTTGTCGATGATGCGGATGACCTCGTGTTTCTTCAGCCCCGTCGCCGCTCCGTACCATTGATCAGATTCGTGCATCTCCGAGTCTGGGTATTTCTTGCCCAGTAAGATGTCAGCACACTGACTCGGCGTCAGCCGTCTCTGTCGCTTCACGACATTGAGGGCGGCAACCGCATATTCCGAAAAGTCCTGTTCCTCAAAGACGAGTGCAGCCTTGCAGTTGTCACACGTGTCCCCGCAGTCATCCCGGTGGAAGTCCTCGCCAAAGTATCGCAGGATCTCCGTGCGTCGGCAGGTCGCCTTGTCGTCACAGAAGGCCGTAACTCTGTTTAACATGGCCATCTGCCTCTCCTTTTGCTCCGGGCTACCCCCATCTCCATCCAATATCATTCTTTTGAGAGTTCTTATATCTCCCTTGCCATAATAGAGGATGCAATCTGAAGGTTTGCCATCTCGACCCGCACGCCCAGTCTCCTGATAATACCCCTCGAGGCTTTTCGGGAGGCCATGATGAAAGACAAACCGGACGTCCGGCTTGTCAATCCCCATGCCGAACGCGATGGTTGCAACAACCACCTTGATTTGCCCCTTCTGCCATGCTGACTGCACAGACCATTTCTTTGCTGGTTCCAGCTTCGCGTGGTAGTGACTCGCCTTGATGCCATGCGCCGACAACTTGGCTGCGACGTCCTCGGTCAGCTTTCGAGAGATGGTGTACACGATGCCACTCATCCCAGAATAAGATTCCTTGATGCGTTCCGCAATGTTCTCGAGGCAGTTGGCGTTGGTTCCCTTGGGCCGCACCTCATAGTAGAGGTTGGGTCGGTTGAAACTTTGCGAGAAGACCTTGCATCGTGCCATTCCAAGGTTGTGCTTAATGTCAAGAATGACATTCTGCGTGGCCGTGGCCGTCAAAGCCATTACCGGGACAGTCGGAAACCTCTTGCGAATTTGGCCGATCGTTTTGTAGTCCGGTCGGAAATCGTGCCCCCACTGACTCACGCAATGGGCTTCATCAATGACCAGTCGAGCAAACTTCCCTTTGCGATACAGAGTATCCATCGCATTGCTGAACTGCGTGCTCTTGCTGACCATCTCTGGCGTGACATAGAGAAGCTCGACAAAGTTCTCGGGGCATCTCTCATCGAAGGCGCTCAGGACTTTTCGCTTGTACTCAGCCGAGCTCTCACTGTTGAACGACACGGCTTGAATGCCTAACGCTTTCATGTGGTCGACTTGGTCTTGCATCAGACTGAGCAATGGCGATACGACAATCGTCATGCCGCGCGTTTTGCCTGAGCGGACGACCGCTGGCAACTGATAGCACAGGGACTTGCCACCACCTGTGGGCATGAGGACAAACGCGTCCTCCCCAGCCAAGGTTGCGTTGATCGCTTCAAGCTGGTTCTGGCGGAAGCCCCTCATCCGGAATCGATCCTTGAGTTTTTTCTGCACCTCGGGAGACCACGGGTGCCGCATGAGCTCGGCTGGGATGGAGGCTTCGGGGAGACAGTTCTTTTTCTTCGCTGATGCTGCCTTTGAGCCTGATGAACCCCCGGCATTACCAGACGTCTCCTTGAACGGCCTTCTGGTCGAAGCTGGGGCGTCGATGCCTTGTGCCAGAGCAAGCATCTCTTCATCGTCGCTAAAGTCGCTAAACTCATCGCCTGTCCGACGCTGATGCTGAGTTGCCATGGCGGACCATGATTGCGCTGGCGGTTTTCGCGAAGACCAGGCCAAGGGCTCCACATCCTCAAAGTCGTCATCCATCATGTCCAGGTCGATGTCCATCGGGGTGGGCTCGTCAACCAAGGTAGCAGACGGACGCTGCATTTGATGTGCCCGTGGGAAGGGGGCCTGCATCAAGTCATCGTCATCCTGTGACAGTACGCCACTCTTGCCATGTATCCTCGAGGCTGGGATCGGCTGGTTCCAAAGCCTGCTCTCCACGGGGGCTTGGGTTTGTTGAACAATATCCGCACCCGTTTCCTGGACGAGGGAGGTCCGCGAAATGTCTTGCGACATGTCGGCGCTGAAGTGGCTCAGTGGTTGGGTGTCGGGCACAACTACGTGCTTGGGCACGGGTGGCGTATGTTCCGGTGGTGATGACCCCAAAAAGTCCTCCTCTTCGAGCTCAGCGTTTGCGAGGTCTCTCAGCATCGAATCCTCTACATCTTGCACTCGGTCGGTGATTTCGTCGAGCAATGCCTCGTCTTCTTCCGTATCGAGACCCTCAGCATAGCCCACCGATACCTTCTCTGCCAGTGCTTCCCGCTCATCACACAGCGTGCGATACTGTTTCAGCATCTCGGGCAGCTCGTCGAGCGCCTTCTGTTGCTTTTGCAGGCGTTCTTTGGCAGACTTGATCACGGCCCGTCTTTCCTTGGGAGCACGCTCTTGCAGCGCTCGCTTAAAGTCCTCTCCATTCTGGCGCAATTGCCGCTCAAGACTCCTCTTTAGGTTATCAACAACGTCTGATCCCTTCTCAAGGCGCGACAACAACTGGCGCTGTTCTTTTGAACTTGAAGAGCTCATGTTAGGAGGGGCCCTGTCCGACGACGTGGCTGACGTTGGTTCTGATGGACATGGAACGTCGTCTAGTTGAGATTCCTGGGGTGCTGGCGACATTGACTTTTGTGCTTGGAATGACACATGGCTCGTACCGACACCAGCCTTGGATCCTTTGACATCTCGTTGGGGAACAGCAGAGGCGTTGTATGATGGAGGTGTCTGAAATTCCTCATCCCCATCGTCGGAATCCGGAATCACGAGATCATCGTCAAACCCGTCAAAAGTTTCTTCTTCTTGGATACGAGACCGGCCCGGGCTCCCGGGGGCGCGTCTCGGGGGAGCGCTCTTAACGGTCGAGTGAGCAGCAGGAGGCGCAATTGAATTGTCTTTGATTGGGCTTTGCTTGACGATGGCCTCGGCCATTCTGGATTGCTTTTGCCGGAGCGGTGACGAGCTTCCTGCCTCGTACTTGCCGCATTTCTCACTGGGGCTCTTTCTTCGTTTCGTCGTGGTTCCCGTCAGGGCAGAATGTCCTGTGCGCTCTACTTTGGGCCTCCGAGGCGTTGTTGCGGGAGGCTGTGTGTTGAGTAAGGCGTAAATGTCGGGAAACTCGTCGTCTTCGATCTCGTCTTTGACGGTAGCTCTGCTGATATCAGCGCTTTTCCTCTTCTTGCCGCTGGACAGAGGCTCGCCACGTGCGGCATGATCCTCGTTCCATATGGTCACGTTGTTGCCAAAAATTGAATCTGAAGATGCACTATTTTCCTCGGTGAGATCCATCGCCTCGGCCCAGTCGTCAATATCGAGGTCGGTCAAGTCGGAGGGCAACTTCGGCTCCGCTGGTTGCAGTGCCGCGGGCCCTCGTTTTGGCGAGACATGTTGCTTAGCTCGACGAGGCGTCGCCACTTCTCAATGATTAATACGGAAACGTGACATTGCTGGACCGGTCTGCTCGTACCTGGGGCTCCTCCAAGCCGACCACCTTTGGATGGAGTTGGCTCAGGCTGTTCTAGGAGTGGGAGCTGATCCACCCTCGATAGCAGCGAGGGTTTCTTGGATTTGGACGCCGATTTCAAGCGACCCATGTTCCAATCGTCTGCTGTGATTTCGGCAAGGTCCTCCTCTATGTCGCTGTCCGCTATAGTAGGTCCATGGGAGGGCTCAGCAGGAGCACGGATGTCGGGGCGGCTAGGCTGTCCCACGTTCGAGCTGGGCAGCGAACGCGTCTCGATAGCATTGACATGTGGTTCGGCATGTGTACTTGTCGTTTGTGACAATGTCGAACTGCCAGCGCTTGGGTATGCGGGGATCGAAAACTTTGAGGCGGACGCGTTGTGTAACAACCAGGGCAAGTGGTCGTTGAGGTTGTTACGCGTCATGAAGTCAGCGTCAGGGTGCCGGACAGACGGTAATGACGGGCGACATTTGATGGCCAGGTCCAGTCGTTCGCGAGATCCAAAGTGAGCTGGGGTATTTGGCTGGTGGCCGGTCAATGTTGTTCACCACGCACCACCCTGATCCGCCAGGCAGCTTCGAAGTGGAGTAGCAGGCGCTCGACAGCACCGCGCCTACCCGCGAAGCGCGTTTCTGAGTCAGCAAGCTGGCGTCTCCACAAGATGCGGTATCACGTGCACTGTCTTACGCGGATCTCGGTCGTCGGCCGGCCACAAGTGGGCCACTTTTCACGGACGGGAAGCGGCAAGTCGCCGGCATATCTGGGGGCCACGCACTGATGATTTCATTTTTACACCAAGCTATCTGTGCTTGTACGAGAGAAGCGCAGATCGTGAGTTTGTCTGCTTTCATCCAGTGGTAACATAGACTTCAGCCCACATCGTACTGTTGAGGACGTGCGATTGTGGGGATGAACGATTGACAGGCTGTGCATTCAAAAACGCCCCTGATGTGACTGACTGTATGAAGTACAGCTTTCCGTCTGCTAGCTGCCCCAAGTTGCCGGTCTTTTGTTGCTGATTCATTCAGGGCGACCAGAGGCGGGTGGGAATAGGGAATCGGGCGGACGCGAGAGTCTCAGTGCCGTGCGGCCAAACTTTAGCCATCCCAACCCAGCCGATGACGGACATTATTTCAAGATTTCCGCAAGCTTTTCACGGTTGTCGGATAGAAATGCCCTACTATATAATGTTGGAGACCGTCATGCCTGATATTTCCAAAACATCTTGGGTACTCGCTCCTATTTTCTGTCAACCTCATCATCACAACCTACCTATTCCAGGGTAGTTCAGATGTCCACTTCACCTGACCGCGAGCCGACGGCCGCACCAACGGCTGCCCGTACTGGGTCAACAACAGCAAAAACAACAATAGAACACGTTGGGCATCACCTCACAGAGAATGTTCGGAGTACTGTGTTTTGCGAGCTCCAGCTCTTGCTGCTGACGTTTTGCACGGGTATCCAAGGTATGCAGGCAATCTGAGGGACGAGGCGGACACGCACTGACTGGCTCAGATGCAACAACATTTCCAGACTACCACTGCTTCGCATCCAACCAAACTGGCAATACAATCTTCCTCTGCGTTGCGCTAGTGCTTCCGCAACTCAACGGCGAAATGTTTGTGACGTCCAACATTGGCATAGCCCTGGGCCTGTTCCTAGGCGGCGGGTGGCTGACTGGTCAGCTAGGCCATGCCATCGGCCCCCGTAAGAGGTGGTGGCTGGTTCTCTGCAACTTTGTGCAGAGTGGTCTCGTACTGGGCGCCGCCGGGATACAATATCGGCACGGGATAGAAATCCAGGGTCCAACGGCGCTTTCAGTCGTGGGGCTGCTGGCCCTCGCATCCGGCAGCCAGGTCGTGCAGTCGCGCAGCCTTGCCATGACGGAGATCAGTACTGCCATGGCCACGGCAGCGTGGGTTGACCTGATGATAGACAAGAAGCTTCTGGTCTTTGACAACCGACCTAGGACGCGTCGGGTAGCTTTTCTGGCGTCGTTGATCCTGGGAGCATTCGCAGGGGCTTTTATCTACCGCGAGGTCGGATCAGCAACGGCAATAGCCGTCTCTGGCGCTGGCAAGTTGCTGGTGACGGTCATGTTCATTTTTGCAGGTGCGGAGCGGGAGCCAAAGACTAGTTCGATTGTCTGAGAGGATCCCTTTAGGCAGTTCAGGTTACACTGACGGAGCATGAGAAGAGAATAGAACTATTTAGCTGAAGCGACCGAGTGTGAGCCGTGGTTGAGTGAGGGCTTGCTGCCTAGCCTTGCGCGTGAAGAGGCGCTGTGGGATCCAGTGGTTGAAGTCACGGGATCTCGCGTGGGTGATGGATTCCCAGGCAGCAGGCTCCACCTTCTACCCGCCACCCTCCACCCTCCACTCCAGTCAGGGACGGACGCCTTTCCGTTTCACCAGCGCAAATGGACCCCGAGCTGACAACTGCGGCTCCAAGGCTCAAGCTATTACGCACCGATCCACTTGTGCATTCGACGCACCACTCCAGCGCGAGCTAATTCACGCCATGCTCCTCCACGGCTTCAGCTGCCAATCCCTAGCAACGCGAACCCCGCGTGTGCCTGGAGCTGGAACGGTGCTGCGGGTATCCGTACAGCCAGACAGCTTGACCGAGTAAGTGAGATCGAGCGAGCGAGCGGGCTTTTGCCATTGAGGACCAGCCGCTCAGCAAGTTCAGCCAAGCAGACGGACAGATACTCTGCCTGTTTGCACGGAGATCCCGTGCGTGTATATAACGACAGTCCTTCCCTCGACAGTAGTCTACAATACTGCCTCCTCCTCCTTTTCTCCTTTCCACTCGTCCCTACACACACCGATTGTGCTTCTTGTCCTGCATCAGTGATCTTCACGCGTCGTCTCTCCTGCTTTCCCCTTCATCAGCTTCTTCGCTATGGTATCGGACATGGCTATGCCTGACCTCCCTGCGCTGCCCGCGCACCACGAGGATCTAGCCAAGTACATTGCCGCCAACCCCAGCCGCAATGTCAACGACCTCATTCAACCCTACCGGCAGTATGAGAACGAGCTTAGGGCCGTCTTCGCCCAAGATCGCAACAACCCCGTCCTTGAAGACCCTTATATCAACGTGCTCCCTCTCTTCAACGAGCACACCGAGCACATCAAGGTACGCGCCAGGAACCTCGAGGCCGAGTCCGAGGAGGAAAAGTCCAAGTACATCATGCCCCTGTCCAAAGACGAGAGACGTCCGAACGGCTCTCCAGCGACTGTGCGGAATCTCGCCGAGTTCCAGAACAATTTCAACATCTTCTCCGAGTCGTCCCTGGTGGACATGGACTGGAGCAATGTCGTCGCGGCTGGATCGTCCGTGATCAACACTCTCTTGCCAGTTCCCAAGGAGTACATTTCCACGAAGCGCAAGCTTCGCGAGTACTACCACGAGAAGTTCTGTCCAGCCTCGGACGTCGACCTGTTCCTGTACGGGCTGAACCACGAGCAAGCCATTGAGAAGATCAAGCAGATTGAGCAGTCCATCCGCGACGCCCTGCTGAACGAAGTCACTGTCGTCCGCACCAAGTACGCCATCACTATTGCGAGCCAATACCCTGTCAGGCACGTGCAGATTGTCCTCCGAGTCTACAAGTCAATCAGTGAAATCCTCACGGGATTTGACATTGACGCAGCTGGCGGTGCTTTCGACGGCAAGCAGGTTTGGGTGACGCCCCGTGCTCTGGCTAGTTTCATCACGCAGACCAACCACATTGACCTCAGCCGACGCAGTCCTTCGTATGAGAATCGACTCTCCAAGTACTCGCACAGAGGTTTCGAGGTGTACTGGGCCGATCTCGATCGCACCCGCATCGACCCAACCATCTTCGAGAGAAGCTTTGCGCGAACACTTGGCCTGGCGCGGCTGTTGATCCTCGAGCGTCTGCCTACCAGCTCGGCTCGCGAGGCCTATCTCAACAGAAGGCGACAAGAGCGTGGCCGTCCTAGTGCATACCGGCAGAAATTCCACCTCGGAGGCAACATCAAGGACTTCTACGAAGACGAGGTGGCTGACTGGCTTTCTGAAGAGGAAATATCCAACTACCACACCTTCACCGTGCCGTATGGCGAAAGGTTCAACGCCAAGCGCATCGAGAAGCTTTGCTACACGCGAGATCTGCTGCTCAACGCGGAGTGGAATCAGCCCAAGGAGCGAGAAGTGTACTTGCATCGGCACCCAGCGTTCTTTGGGCGCGTCGAGGATGTCATCGAGGACTGCTGCGGCACCTGTCCGGTGCCCAAGACCGAGGAGGAGGTTGAGGTCGCCGAGAAGGAGGCTGAAATCTACATCTCGGGCAAGGTGTCCTTTCTCATCGACGACCCTGGCCGCCAGCAGATTGGATCCTTCAACCCCCTGACTGAGCAGGATTGGACGGACATGGCGTATGTTGGGAACACGGCAAGGCTGTGCCAGTCCATCGTCAATGCGGACCTTGATGATGTGCTCAACTGGCTGGCCCAGCCGGACGCGGATGCCAACACCCGCGACTACACAGGCCGCACGCCGCTTCACTTGGCCGTCATGGCCTCGACTCCCGATGTTGTCAAAGCTTTCATTGATCACCGCGCCCGCATCACGGCCCGGCTGGCAGATGGCAGGACTGCGCTCCATCTGGCGGCCTCACGCGGCGATACGGAGATGATCAAACTACTGATGGACAAGAGCATTGAGAATGAGGAGATGGAGGAAGAGCGCAAGGATCGACGACGGGCGGCCTCCAAAGCCGCCAAACCTGCAGCGGATCCGCAGGATGGGGAAGACTCGCAGATGCGCTCAGACGACGAGGATGATGCTGAGAACGAATCAGATGACGAGATGACCGACTATGCGCAGACCGAGACAGACGTGCATTCGGCCACTACCGGCTCCTTTATCAAGATCAAGGACAGCAACAACGATGAGGATAAGCGGGTCGACATTGTGCCCGATGAATCTGATGACGACCCCGACTACTACCAGATTGACATCCTCGCATGGGATGTCCCATCTTCCCCCCTGCATCTCGCGATTGTAGGCGGGCACGAAAATGCCGTCAAGAAGCTCTGCGACTATGGCGCCGACTCTATCCTGCCTGTCAAGTTCTCCGACAACGACTCTGGAAGTGCGGCGGCGATCCTGACCTTGGTCCTCGCTCTCTCACTCCCGCCTAACAAGGCGAAGTCAATGGCACGTCTACTCCTTAGTCTGGGCGCCATCAGCTCGCAGGCGGAGACCAACGGTGTCACGGCCTTCCAAAGATATGTTGAATCTGACAAGTTGGAAATGGTCGACACGCTTCTTGAGCATGACAAGGCGGGCGTCAAGAGCGCTATCAATCACCTTGCGTTCGGAGGCCACAGCTGGTCCCCTCAAGCAGCGGCGCCTCTCCACACCGCGATCGAAACGGGCAACCCGTTACTTGTCCTGAAGCTGTTGGCCGCCGGCGCTTGGGTGCAAATTGACTACGAGACCTGGCTCAAGTCTGCCAAGGTGTCACCGACTCAATCCAGCCAGTTGAGAGATTTAGACAGAAACAAGAGACAGTGGCGCCAAATGGTGCAGCCTTTGGCTCTTGCGATCAATCACGGCCACTTTGAGATGGCCCTGGCTCTTCTGGAGAACGGCGCGGATCCAAACACCCTCACCGGAGAGTCGGAGTTGCTCTTGATAGACACCCACCGGAGATCGTGGAATACAGGTAGCTCCGTCCTGGACGATGTTAACGAGATCATCAAGCAACTTGAGAAGGGAACCTCGGAGGAACGAAAGGCTCTGGAGAAACCCCAAAAGCGACCTGGGCTCGACGAATACATGCAGAACTTCCAGGGGGGTTCCTACGCCCGATGGGTGGCGGGCAGGGCTGTCGCGGATGCGCAGAAGAAGTTTGAAGCCTCCATGGCATCGTACGAAAATGAGGTCACGAAGAGGGAGAAGGGCGAGGGCGAAACGGCAGAGCAAGCCAAGTTTGATGCCTTGAGGGAGTTGACCCAGGAGTTCGTCAAGCTCCGCGACGCGCTCATCGCCAAGGGAGCAAAGGCATTCAAGGAGCTGCACCCGGAAATCGCCAAGGAGACGAGCAACAACCGTAACCGGACCTATGGCAATCTGTCCCATTATATCCATCGCACGGGCGCTGACAGTGAACTGAGCAAAAAGCCGTTTGAGGTCAGCTTCCAGTTCCAAGGTGTGTCAGACATGACCGATGCGCGTCGAGATGCCTATATCGAACTGTGAGTCCGGCCATGCATGCTGAATCAAAGAAAGTTTCTTCTAACAAAATCTAGCTTCGACGCAGCGTGGGATGGCGACCTCGACAAGATCAAGGCACTTACTTTGCAGGCTTGGGGTCCCAACCAAGACGAGCCACCGCTCAAGATGGCTGTTGATGATACTTTGAACCAGACGCCCTTCTCCATCGCATTCCTGTGCGGACATCACGATGTGGCCACTGCCATCCTCGAAATCATCCAAGCGCAGTGGTCGCCCCATCAAGAAGACAAGCTGCGCTACAAGATGAAGACTAAGGATGACGACAGCGAGGCGGAGTACAGCGACGAAGATGCTGGCTCGGAGGACTCGGATGATCAACCACAGCTCGTTGCTGAAAAGGCGGAGCACAAGTACACCATCGACGACGTCGGGCAAGTCTCCATGAGCGTTGAGTCGCATGTGACGCCTCTCGAGACCCTGAGATACCGCAGACGCTGTTTCAAGAAGGGCGCAGAGCTCGAAGACGAGGGCGTCAAGACTCTTTTCGCCCATTGCGTGGACGTGGAAGATGCAAAGGGCCTCAGGTACCTGATTGGATTGGGCCAGTACTGGACGAGAAACGACAAGGCGCAAAACCTCACGGAAGAAGAAGAGGTGGGAGACCAGAAGCGATTCACGGTGGATCACGACGAATTGCTTCACGCAGTGAAAGCGGGTAAGACCGATATGCTTGGAATCCTCATCAAGCAAACCGGCGCCGGTATCCCGCTGGACCACCTCGTGAAAAAGAGTGGCGCGACTATCACGAAGAAGCCCCGGTTCTACCAGGGCCTGACGGTGTACGGCAAGAAGCGGAAGGACTGGGCGAATGCAGGGAGGAACATGGTGACGAGGGCTACCGGTATCAGGACGCCCCCGCTCCTGCACGCCGCGCTCGCCGGCAGCATCGAGAGCACCGAGTTCTTCCTGAGCGATGCGCCGCACCGACTGTACAGCGAGTTTGGCAAGTCCAAGGCTGCCAAGGAGGACGTCCGCCTCAAGGTCCTGAGGGACCGTCCTGGCGGCTTTGACAGAGCCATCGCCACCTGGCTTGGGGCCGACAACGAGCTCGTGATTCACTGCGCCGTCCGGGCAGACATTGGCGAACGGAGCAATGAGCTGCTCGACTACCTGATCCAGACGTGCCCGACCGCCATTGACAAGAAGACACCGAACGGCGACACGCCCTTGATGGTGGCATGCCGCCTCGGGCGCCGCGCCTTCGCGCGCCTCCTGATCGCTGGCAACGCTGATCAGAGTACCCGCAACTCGTCTGGAGAGAACCTGGTGCATGCCGTGCTTGCCCTGAAGCCCTCCCCGCACAGGTTGCGCACCATAATGTCCGAGCTCGACTTGGAGCTGGCGGCGGACCTGTGCACGCAGCGCAATAACCTGGCTGTGGGCGGACAGAATCCCCTCCAGGCGTGGGTGGCCACGATAACTGGTGCCGCGCGCGACGACAAGGTCGAGATGCTGCGTCTCATCCTGGAGTACGCGCGCGGCCAAGGTGTTGACGCTCTCGACGCAAAAGGCGATACGGCCCTCCACGCCGTCGTCATGGCCAAAGATTTCGCCTTGATCAAGGCTCTGGTGGACTTCAACCCGGCCCTCCTGCAGCGAGAGAACGCAGTCGGCCGCACGCCGGCCGAAATTGCCGAGGACAACCTCAAGGCCAAGCCACTGAAGCGACCAGGCGGGTTCGTCTATACCACCAACACCCGCAATTATGGTCATCAGATGGTCACACAGTCGCCGAACATGTTCAAGCTGAACAAGGCTCTCGCCGAGGCGCGCAAGACGCCCGCCGACCGAGCCCATGTCGAGAACCTCGGTCTTCGCGGCGACTACACCGTGGCGGTGCTCAACACCATCCGCCATGAGCTTGGCCTGCGCACGCCGGACGAGCCGTACGAGGCCAACATGCGCGACGGGAGCGACAAACTTCAAGCCATCTGGGATCTCTGCTCCACAGCGATGGAGCGCTGCCCTACCCATCGCCGTCTCGTGAGCTTGAACGAGGCGAACGACGTGGCGCGCCGGCTGGGCGAGCAGGAGAAGGATAGTGGGAAACGCGGGTGGTTCGGCGTCAACTCGCGTAAAAGAGACGATGACGACGAGGAAGATGAGGGAGAGGAGAAGGAAGAAGATACCAACAACCTGGCATCCAGGATGGTCACTAATCACATGCCTGCGGGCTGGGCTGCTTTTGGCAGGGAGAACGGCGAGTTGAAGGGTCTGGATCGTTGCGCGGTATGCGAGTATTGGCATGAATGATTCTTGTTCTTGTATAAGTCCATAGGGGCGGGAGTTTACAAGCCACATTGATGGAGAATTACGGCCGTTTCCTTCATGAACAAAATCCAAGCAGAATTACCGTCGACGTTTACTGTTACAGTGATACTTTACAGGCGGATCTTGCAAATTCCATCCATCAATTCGACCAAATGGCATATAAAGCACGCAACTGCATTGTTTGTTTGTAGAACCAACAGAAGAATCCCGGTATGAATCGCCATGTTGATCGCCGCGCGGAGGCTTGCCATCACAAGCGGCAAGGAGTGCACCGGACAAGGTCAGAAAAAAGAAGAAAAAAAGCCGTTCACTCTTACGACACGAGGACCACAGCCTGTGGCGCGCCGTCCCCCCAAATGCCCACAACGGCCATGGCAAAGCCCAGAGCCGCAACGCCTGTTCGTACCATGAAACCTCGCGCCGTGCCCGCGGCCTCGGCCCTGACCTCCTCGCCGTTGATGGCAAAGTCGTCAATCTCCTCCTCGCTAGGCGCTTCGCTGGCTGCATCGCCGAGGACCTCGTAGCTCTGCTCCATGGCGCGGGGGGCGCTCTTGGGCTTCTTCGCGGGGGGCGTGGAACGAGTAGGGACGGGAACGAGAGCTGGTGCGCCCACGGAGAGCGCGGCGATGAGCGATGTGTAGATGAGGTATGGGTGGCGCGAGGAGCGAGGGCTCAGGGCGAAGGAGAGCAGGAGAGGCAAGCTGGAGAGGGCCGACAAGGCGAGCACGGGCAGGCGGACGTAGGATGTGAATGTTGTGAGGGCATGCGAAGCGGACGCCGCCGAGGGCAGGTTCATAATCGTCGGGAGGACGAGGGTCGAGGCGGAGTACGAGACGCCCTGTGTTTGGCGTTAGCGACCATGTTCCCAGATGTCGGTAGGCATCGCAAGGGCAAGGGTCCATTCTCGTCATCATCATTCGATGCGGGGAGAGCTATCGGTCAGGCGGACGGCATGGCAGGGAGAGACATACCGTCAACAGGCCCAGGGATACTGTCCCGACAAACTTGCCAGCTGAGACGGCTGAGGAAGACATGGTGGATGACTTTCGCCCGTGGGTTGAATAACCAGAACTTGTCGATGATGTGTGGAGGACAAAGAGCAGTCAGTGGAGGGAGCTTCACGAATGCCGTTGGAGGCTCCAGACTCCAGACGTCACGGCGGTTAGGCTAGAATCTAGATGCCAATGATTGGCTGCCAGTGGAGCGTGATGTGGGGTGCCTCAGTGAGTCAGCCCCCCTCTGGCCGCCAAAACCTCGGCCTGATTAAGCTCTATCGATAGCACGGACACGCCCAAATACCCACCTACATAATTTCTAGCGTTCGGTTTTTCCCACTGCCGACCTGACCTTCAACCTCGCCACGTAGCTTCAAGCATGTGGCTTTTGAGCTGAGCGGCCGTCACGTTCTGCGCAGAACAAGGGACGCTCTAGCAAGGTACTGCTTGACACCTGCCCTTCTTGCTGCTCTCGCGACACAGGTAAGCTCAAATCTTCCGGGTTTCAGTCAACTGTCCAATTGGACACCTCGAATGATGAGTTCATCGACCCTCAAAACATCTACAGGAAGAGCCGTCTTAGACGTCCCTCGAGCTGCCGTGTCGGTCCTTCAAGCTGGCGCCCAGCTCCTTGGCCGCCCCAGCATCTAGCTCCCTCTTGTCCGTCCGATCCTCACGCTATCTGTGGTCGTCTGTATCGTCATATGCAGCAGACTATGTGGGCTTTGTGAAAGGAGGAAGAGGGGGCGTGTTGGTGGTGGTGAGGGTTCGTGGTGCTTATAAAATGGGTTTCTGAAATCGAAGTCCTTTCGCATTTGCTCTTGCTCCAGATTGTAACGAACAAGAACTGACTTTGGAATCATAGGACATCTTTCCGGTGTGCGGCACATCGTTCGTAGTTTAGATCGCAATAGCAAATGTGTATCAATCGTCCTCATCACTGTCAATCACCCGCCGCGACCGCCCATTGCGCTTCGCTACCGCCGCTTCTTTTGCCACTGGGCTCACCAATTCCTCCAAATCTGGTACGTCACTGTCTGGGCTCGTGACTCTTGTTGCCCGACCACGTTTCGTAGCTGCTAGCAACGATGGCTCTGGCTCAGGATGACTTGAAGGCACCTCGTTGTCAGACACGACGAAGTCTTCGAGGTCCTCACCCTTGTCAGAACCATCCGTATCTATCATATCACTCTCTCGCTCGCAATCGTCGCCAATTTCGTCACTGTTGATCCCAGCGCAGTCTGACACAGCCTTCTTCTTTCCCTTTGGTTTGGGTTTCCGAATTCGCCGTGTCAATCCTTCGTTCTCGCTGTCCTCATCCTTGTCTTGAGCGCGAGACCCCGAACCCAAGACGGCCGGTTGTCTTTTCTTTCTCGCGTTGGCCGGTGTCTTCCTCCTCTTTGCCTGGAGGCCAGAGACTTCGGAAGCTGTCCGCTTTGGAGCCCGCGTAGCACCAGCGGCTCGACACACAGATGTGGCTGACACAATCTCGAGGAGTTCCTCGTCGCTCGAATCGACAAAGTCTTTCACGGGGAGATCCCTAAAGTTGCTTGTATCGTGCCCGTCCCGCCACCTCGCGAGATTCTCTGAGTCGGCCATCTTCTGAAGTAGACGCACACATGCCTTCGTTAGATGACCATGCTCCAGCCTGCAAGTTGGTCTTAGTTCTCGCTGCAACTGCGGATGGCTCGTCATGCTCGGCAACGACGCTTCCTCCACTGCGTCTTGATGGAAAGGTAGATCTCTGTAGGTACGGTTCAGCTCTTTGAGCTGACCATCCGTGAGTACCACTCGAGACAAGTCTGGATTGCTCGCAAGGTCCTCGAGCTCCAGATTTTGTTTCTTGGCCGTCTTCTTAACTGTCGACCCGTTAGGTCGTACGAAGTCGGATAGCTTCTTGAAGCCGGTCTCGACTCCATCCGGCATGTGAAATTTCTTGGGGGGCTTTTTCTTGCCCAAGGGCACCTTGCGCTTCTTGGGTTCAGGGAGTGAGGGATCTTGCGTGTTCTCAACGGGAATGTCAACGTGTCGTTTGTCGACCTCTGGTCGAATGTCTCTGGGGACAAATCTTGTCGACAAGTCGAATCGAAAATTGAACCGACTGCCCTCGCAGATGAGAGTCTGCATCTTTTCGTAGTTGTCCTTTGACTTGGCAAACTGCTCCTCCTCTTTCCCTCTCATCAGTAGGAGCACAATATTGCCCGCGCGTTTACGGCCTGTACGACCCATCCTCTGCAGCATGCGGATAGGCGATGCCGACGAATCGTAACAGACAATCAAATCCACCTGGCCGATATCCAACCCTTCCTCGCCGATGGATGTTGCAACCAGAACATTGAACTCGCCGTCCTTGAACTTTCTGATGGCGTTGATCTGCTCTGCCTGCTTCATCCCCTCTCCCCTTTTCCCGTCTGCTTGACCGACGAATACTCTCGCCCGTATCAAAGGCCTGTGCTTGTTCAATGTCCGGACCACATCTTCCGCAGAGTCGCGATACTCGCTGAACACGATGACACGTGTGGTCTCACCATTGTCCATGAAGTGGTTGAGAACATGCTCGGACAGTGCAGTGAGCTTGGGATGACTGACAAAGCCATCGGTGCGCAGCCATTTCTCAATGGTGCCCATCATCTCTTGGAAGTTCTTATCCTCTACGAGCTGGCGCTTGTATTTTGAGCCTTTCTCCCCCTTGTCCTCCTGCTCGCTCCGCAGGTCTTTGAGGTTGTCGTAGAAGGGCCTGATGCCATGAAAGTTGAATAGTTTGATCGAATGCGCGATCCCAGTCAGGACACTAAAGACAGCTCTCATCATGAACTGAACTCCTTGGTTTGCGGACCTGCCTCGTGTCGCAAACCATTCTTTCTGCGCCTGCATAAGACCGAAAGAAGTGAGCGCCATTGGATTTCGCCCGTACCAAATGTTCTGGGCGGTGAGCTTTTCCGTTAGAGGCTTCAAAGCTTTCACAAAGAGCTCAGACACGTGGGTCATTTCGTAAGAGGGATCGAGGACAACTTGCTCAATGTTGCGCGAATGAACATACTGCCGAATGTCGATGGAGTTCTCGGTACGAATTTCGCAATGTGATATTCCCAGATTGTCAATCACCTCTTGGACTGTTTCGACTTTGGATCCAGGTGTGGCGGTCAGAGCTAGAACACGCATGCTTTTGGAGAAGCATCGGATCTTTTTGGTGACCTTGGCATATGCGTACTCTCCTGTCGCACGATGCGCTTCGTCAATGACTAGCAGGACGATGCTTTTCGGGTCTGCATATCCATGTGAAATATCGTTCAGAAGTGTCTGTGGAGTCATGAAGAAAACACGTTTTTCTTTCCACTCATCGACCCGTAAGACTGGTGGGATATCACCGGTGAGTAAAGTCGTTTCAGATCGAGGAATTCCTGCTATGTTGTAGCAAGCATCAACTTGCTGGGCAACGAGAGGCTTTGTCGGCGCCACGAAGACGATTTTGGCGTCCTTGGTCCAACGGTAATAGTTGAGCATGACTGTTGCTGCAATAAAAGTCTTGCCTAAACCTGTCGGCAAAGCGACTAGCGTGTTGTTGAACAGGCTGTTCTTAACAATGCTGAACTGGTAGTCGCGAATGGCACCGAGATTGGTCGGATACACCCAGTTCTTCATGGCTTCTCTGTTGATTGCATGATGGGTGGGTTCCTCGCGAGGGAGGTCGGCTCTGAATACCCTGCTTGCTGGTTGAGATGGGGCAGCACGGTGGCCCTCAGAGCTGGCTCCTGAACCGAACAAGGTTGTCTGGCGGAATTTGCCTGAACTGCTCCTCGAGAACACACTTCGAAATGTTGTCGATGCCTTCTCTTGCTGCGCTTGGACCTCATACACACGTGGTGAAGAGTCTGGCGAAGAGAAGGCGTCCGATGGAAGGTCATGAAAATAGTCGCGGTATTCTTTCTGGGGTCGCTGATGGATGATTTTGGTCAGATTTTTTACTTTTGTGCCAGATGATATCGCTGTACGGGGTTGCGATGAGCATTCAAGCGCAGCAACAAGATCCTCGTCCGCTAGGCCATCATCGAACTCATCACTATCCATGATGGCAATAGTACGTGCTTATTCGAAACAGCGGTCAAACCAATGTTGCATGCATGATCCTGTAGTCATATCGGGAGTTTTCTGAAAGTCATCAAGTCATAAGTAGTCGTGTGCGAAAGCGTGGTGAGAAGACGTCTTGGAGCTGAGCGTGTGGTTGCAGCAACGCATGAAGTGCTTGCCCAGTCGCGACTGCCGACGCACCTGCCCCTATCGCTCGGCCGGAGCCAAAACGCGATCGCACGTGATCTGCATTGTCTGGAACTTGAGCCATCTTCTGCGTGCAGACAGACCAGTGCAGTTGCCAATGCCTAACACTCTGGGGGAGTAAATTTGCAATCACGGGACGGAGGCGCATTCATTTTTTTTGGGGGACCAGGCTGTTTTCGAGGCTCTTTGATTCTGCTTCTAATCTAAGGCACAGGTGTCTGAGTGTTATGAGAAAGGCGTCCAGGCTCAGGCTGCGTCATAATAGGTGGGACATCGACGCCAAGGATGACTCATCAGACAGCCAGCAGCCTTTTGCATCGTCAAGGTAAGGTACGTACCATACGTTGCTTCACTGCCCAGAAATCAAAGTTCAACGCTCCCACACGCAAACCACCTAGCCGATTTTCAACTACAACTTTTACCCCCAACACACCTCCCTCCCCCCAGGCATCCTTTAAAGGCACCTGGAATCGGTCGTAATTTGACCTGCCATTCTCTACGTACAACGACAATAGTCGCGGTCTTCTGGGCCCGCAAGTACCAATCGACAACGCCCAAGTTCAACGCCGCACCCCAGACTCTGTCTCGGACAAAGGGTGCAACCCATCCTGGACCGCCGCTTGTAGCGGGTCTTCTCGGTACAGCTCTTGAGTTTCTCTCCAGCACGACTCTTCGTACGGCTCCTCTCCACGTTCCACGAGTGACCGAGCAAGAAGCCAAGCGCCTGCCTTCAAAAGACTTCCACGCCAACGAGCGACCATGGCACCACGTGGCGCAAAGGCCAAGACGGCCACAGCCGGACGCGAAACGAGAAGTACGACCCTGAACTCGAAATCGAGTTCGAGAGGCGGCATCTCGAAGCGTCGTGGACAAGGGCGCGTCGACAATGACGGTGACCTGGACATGGGCGCTGGGGCCACTCGTACACAACATGGCGGTGATGGCAATGCTCGCGGCAGGGGCGACGGCAAAAACGGTCGCGGTGCATCGAAAACAGCCCAAACGATACTGAAGCACCTGACAAGCGGCGATGCCGATCGCATTAGCTCCCGTGTCAAAAACCCAGAGGCAGCGAAACAAGCCAGGTCCAAGGCCAACGCCGCCCCCGTGGTGTACCTGCGAGTTCACGGTCACAAAGCATCCAAGGCCTCGAGCTCGAAAGACGGCGGCCTCTCTCAACTTCTTGCTTTCCTCGAGCGCAAGTCTACCGAACGAGTTCGATCCAAATCCCGCAACGTAATCATCAGAAAGGTATGTTGACGAACACCGTCCCTGGAAGACAAGGCGCCATCAACGCAGAGAAAATGTCTCTACTCACGACGCGCGCAAAGCGCCAAGAACGAGACGGCCAATTCTGTGACGAAGCGATTACCAGCTGGCCTGCCAGAAGGTCTAGCCTCGACTATCTTGGACTAACGTCTAGTTTCTTGCGATCTAGCTAACATGAAACAGTCTCATTCTGTGGGCGATTACGTCTTTGTGGGTGTCAGCAAAATAGACGCAGAAGAGATTCTGAAATTGAATAACTTCTCGTTCGCCGGCAGTAAACTGGAAATCATCGAAACGGAAGATGGGCTTGGTCATCACGGCAGTGCAACCGAGTCAAAGGAAACTCAGGAGCTTCGGGCCAAGCTTCAGGAGATACTCAGTCAACGATACACCAGCGAAGTCAAGCTATTGAAGCTCGACGCACTGACCACCGACGCCAGCCTCGTCGCGCTCGGAATGTTCGACAATCGGGAGCGAGCGCTGAAGACCTTTAAGGGACTCATGGCAATTTGCGATGGTCTGTTCAAAACGGCCAAAGCGAAGCAAGAGGCCATTGAAAGTATCAGCCTCGCGAATAACAACATCGACAATGTCAGTCAGGTTGAGTCTGTTGCCTTGACATTCCCACAACTGAAAAACCTGGACATGAGCGGGAACCAAATCACAAATATGCAGGCTGTAGAGCAGTGGAAGGGCAAATTCAAGGAGCTCGAAGCTCTCTACATGACTGGCAATCCTATTGAGGCCAACGATCCAAATTATCCAGCCACACTCCTCGAGTGGTTCCCCAAGCTACAGAGCATCAATGGCAACATCTTGCGGACACCCGAACAAATTGCGGCCCAGATCGCAGCTACGCAACCTCGCCCTATACCACAGCACGGCCCTGACTTTCGCGACGTCAATGGCATCGCAGAGACCTTCCTCCTCGAATTCTTCGCGGCTTTCGACGCCGACCGTCCCAAACTGTTGCAGGATCTCTACGACGATAGAAGTAAATTCTCGCTGGCCGTCGACACAACCTCTGTTAGAGACCCAGACGCCCCCCCGCCACCTCGCTGGAGCCCGTATCTACCAGATTCACGAAATCTCATCAAGATTACCAGCTTCAATGCACGAAAGCAGCGGCTCCGGATTGGCACCACATCGATTGCTGAATGTTGGAACGCCTTTCCTTTCACTAGGCATCCGAGCATCAAAGACCATATTGACAAGTACATTATGGACTGCAAACCGATACAGGGCCTAGAAGATCCCAGTGGTGCAACCCCCGGTGGTGTGGATGGACTAATGATCACGGTCCATGGCGAATTCGAGGAATCGGACAAGAAGACCAGCACTATGGGCATGCGCAGCTTTTCGCGTACATTCATTCTCGGTCCTGGCCAGCCCGGACAAGCCGCCATCCGCGTGGCGAGCGATATGCTGTCATTGCGTGCGTCGAGTGCTTTGCCAAACGTCCACCAGGCGACGGGGGCACCTCCAGCCACAGCATCTCCCCAACAGGCCGCTTCAGGCCCCCCTGGTATCGATGCAATACAGAAGCAAGCTATGCTAGCGGAGCTTGCCAGGCAGACTGGCATGACTGCAGAGTACGCGGAGATGTGTCTAGATCAGGTCAACTGGAATTTCGACCAAGCTCTTGTTATCTTCAACGAGAAGAAGGTGCGTGTATGATCCATTTTCTTAGTGATGGCGACTAACGTCAACGAACCAGAGTGCACTGCCACCGGAGGCTTTTGCAACAAACCCTCAATGATAGGGAGCGGGTAGCTAGAGTGGGTGGGCGTGAACAGCGGACCAGAATGCAGATGTGATCGGTCCAACTGTATACGGAGTTGATTGACATTGGGTATGATATTTTGGGATCACGGACTATCCGGACAGGTGTACGTACTCCATTCAGTTTTCACTATGGCATCAGACGACAACAGCGATTTTTGGTTTACTGCACGATCGTAACGCAATCTCTCTTTGCGAGCTTCATGTGCGCCTATAATTTGATGTAATCATTCGACAGCTCTATTCCAAGACTGGAGAATGTTCACGTGGTTAGCAGACACCGGAAGTGGTACTACATACTCCGTAGACGGACATCCTAAGCTGACTGATACTGCTGGAGGCTGACAGCTGCAACAGCGTGCAGCTTTCAAGTGCTGTCGGTCGCTTTCCATGAAAAAGACAAGAGTGGGATAGCCATGCTCACACATTGTACGCAAATATGAATAAGTCATTAATATGTCGGATGATGGCTTGCAATATTCTATACGGATACCAAATGCTGCTAAGAAAATATGGGGTTTTAGGGTACTTATGCTGTTCAAGATAAGTACGTACCTGCTGATTTCCTGCGCCGCCAGCCGCCCACACGTCGAATCGCCCATGTGAAGCGAATATTCACTAATTGGACTTGAGACCATTTTACGAGTATTTGATACATCACAAAACAATCTCATCAGCTCGGAGGCGAAGAACAGAAGTACACGTAGGATTCGCCGACCCTCCTTCAACAAGTTGATTAACTTATATAGAGCCAAGGTCGGCAAACGGGGGGCATGCAAGAGGTGTGGTGGCGCGTTTCAGGAGAGACGGGGGTCTTGGCTCGAATGGCGCAGCGAGGTGCATGCGCTGGTTGATAGGTACGAGAGAGACTGGACTTGAGGAAGAGGCGCCCTCTGGTCGAGTCCCAAGAGCACGGCGATGAGAGAAGCTGGAGAGGCTTCTTTAAAAGTGAGGAATTCTGGCCCGATTGCTTGATCCAGTGAGAAGTCTGTGAGACGAGGATCGAGATGACGAAGCGCAGACAGATGCTTGGCGCACGTCGGTGATAGTGCAACGTGCAGCCAGAGCTCTGATGCGACCCTGGGGTCCTTTCATCCCCCAATCCAAATCCATCATCACGGACCAGGCCCAATGGCGCATGACGCCAGAAGCATGAAGTTGCAATTTCCTATTCCGTGCGGCGCGCCATGATGCGAGATTTGTACAACAACTGTTCGGGCAGTTCAGTGTGCAGTGTACGGATGGACAGATGGAATCTAATCGTTGGCCTCGTTTCTTGTCTTGGCCATCATGTCGCCAGACAACGTCTTGATCGTGACGGATAGTGGACCTCGTATAAATTACACTCTGTAATACTACGGCGGTTAGACGACTCAGGTACAACCGCCATCAAGTGGTTTGGGTGAATGCAAGGTACACCAATGCCAAGAGCTACACCTGTCAGGAACACGAATAACGGCGAGAGAAACATGGCTCAGTGTGTGGGACGCGTCTCATTGGTCAGACACATGCAAGTGCTTGGGCAGCAGCCAGGGGCAATGTTGACAGGGCTTGGACGCCCGGACCCCAGCCTCCTTCCTTCCTAAGTTCCTCCGTTCTGGCGCTCGCAGGCCATGCCAGTCGGGGGAGGCCACTATCGAGCCGCTGCAACCTGAGACCGGCCACTGTCTCGTTCCCTCCTGTCTGTTACGCCGCCTCCAGTCTCTCCCATCACTCGTCCTCTTCATCCCGTCCTTGTTTTCTGAGACTACGACTCGACCTCGCTTTGACTCCGTCTGGCTACGAGAACATCAACACAGCGAGGGTTTCTGTTCGTCGTGTATAGTGCCTTTGTTGAGCTATCATTACCTAGCTAGGTAGCAGAGTATTGCTTTCGTCGCGCTGCCAGGGGCACCGTTTGAATTTCCGACGCTCTCTATCGCTCCTGAAGCACCATATCCCAGCAACCCGACTCAAACCTGCGACACGCACCAGGTCAGGAGATTAGGCCACCATCGCGCTTCGATCATTCACCTCAAGCCTTTCTTTCCGTCCGCGCAGTCCCCCGTCCACGGGAGTTGATCATTCTTGACGCCTCTGCGAGACACGGTCGAGCCGTGCTCTCACACACTCCTTCACTTCACGACGCGACAGTGGCAGTCGTACGGTCGACTGCACCCTGCAAATTGGCTGGGCCACGACCAACACTCGCACCTCTCGAGTCAATCATCATCTACCAGTATCACTCCGACCGCTACTCTTGAGAAATCCGAGAGCTGCTGGTACCGAGCAACCTCTGCGTTACGTGCTACACAGCAGAGCCATATTATCCTAAAGAGATCCACGCGACCTTACGCCGACAACGAATCGGGCTGTTCCTGGAATCATTTGTCCCCTCTTTTGGAGGACGAGCGGCAAAGATGGGTCAACCTGAGCCGCCGTCGTCCCTCGACAATTCGTGCTCTGTCATTCATGACAACACTCTCTACGTCTACACGCCTGAGGCGTTTCTTTCGATTCGCTTGGAGGAAGGAGCTGAATGGGAAGAGTTGAGCTACGGTGAATCCGTAGAGGGCGCCACATGCGTTGGCGCATCGCCGCCGGACCCCAATGCTGCTGGTTTTTGGGTAGTGGGGGGCGCAGGTGGCTCAACAGGTCTGCAAAAGTACACATTCTCCTCCAGAGAATGGTCTTCACCAACTCCACGCGATGATGTCGTCAAAGATCGCCAGCACCATAGCTCTGTATACATCAAAGCCAATGATGAGATCTTGGTTTTCGCCGGAACAAGGGATGGCTCAGCTTCCGCCACACTCGAGACGTTCTCGATTGACGCGTCAGAGCCCTTTGGCGTGTCGAGTCACGATCCCAACGGCGCTCCCAACGCCGTGCGCCCCTATCTCCTCAGGTGGACCGATGCGGATGCCGTAATGGTTGGCGGTGGAGCCGAGAACACCAAGGTCTTCCTGTTCAATCCTACTGCTGGGTGGAGAGACTTTGGGGCCAGTCTCGCAGACCCTATCACCAAGGACGCCAGTCAGGTCGGGGCCGCCATCGCCCATGGCTCCGATGGCTCGCAAAACTTTTACCTGTTCGATATGTCTGAATCGCCCAACAAGGTCACGCGTGCCGTCCTGCAGGACGGCTCTGGCACACCAATTCTCAACTCGCCAACACTACTCGAGCGAAGCCTAGAAACACGTCAGGATGGCAGCGCGTGGCCTTCCTATAATGATACCCTGGCGCCTGAGGCAACTCGTCAGAACTTTGGCATGGCTCAAGGCTCCGATGGCATGATTGTCTTCACTGGGGGTAATGACCAGGAGCCTCTAGGCATGTTCAATGGCCTTGAGAACAAATGGATGAACGCAACTGACCTCCTTGTCGAGGAGAAGGTCAAGGCGCTGAGTCTGAGCAGTAGCAGTACCCGCACGTCCACGTCCTCTGCCTCGACCTCCACCTCCACCTCCAACGAATCCTCGTTCCTGTCCACGACCATGTCGACGACCACGTCTACTTCGGCAGACATTTCCTCCACAGTCTCTGAGACCGCGGCCGCTTCGACGACGGACGCTGCTGCAAGCGGCTCTAATGACCAAGGTAGCGATGATGGTGGCTTGGGCACTGGCGTTGTCTTGGGCATCACATTGGGTTCGATTTTCGCCTTCCTAGTTATCCTTGCTTTGGCACTCTTTTGCTTGCGCCGCAGGAGGCTCAATCACCACAAGGCTGCTGCCGCTACAGGTGACGACGGCGACCAAGATCGGAGCGTCGTTTCAGAAAAGAACCCTGCCATGTTCACCGACATTCCACAAAAGCCCCCGCCATCGCCTGGCCACTACCGTGGACACAATCCCCAGGGCTCGGCAGATTCTTACTCATCCATGGCCATCCTAATGGGTCGCGTGAACCCAGCAAAGGGTCCGGCCAGGAAAGATAGTAGCGAATTCGGACGACACTCTGTTGCATCTATCCACAAGTATTTCAAGAGCACCATCAGCAAGCCCATTCCCCAGGATGACAGCAATCCCATACTACATGATGAACACAATGGCACCTCTGATCCTGCCGCAGCTGAGCCTCAGTCTAGAAACCGGAACCTGGCGCCGACAAATGCCGATGGCACACGGCGGAGTTCTGGTTGGAATCGTTACTGGTCAGGGGGGAGCTCTCTACAAATCCTCGGATTTGGCGGTAAGCGCAACACCTCGGCTTCAGACCAGAGTTCGCAGTACTCCCAAAGCTCTGCTCAGAACCCCAGCAGAAAGACTCAGGATTCCGCGACAGTGCCGCCTCTGAACTTTGAGGGGAGGACGGCAATGCAACGTGTCAACTCGGGAAGCCCCGTCGTTACTGGCCATGGGCACAAACTCCCATTTGGCGAGGGGATTCCTGTCAAAATCGAACGACCCTCGTCACGAGCCTCTTCAGGGGGCTACTCCAGCGGCATTCCCGAGAGCGTGAACGAGGCTTGGGATCCTCCCGGCTCCGACGCTCGCGAGAAGTCATGGGGTCACGATCGAGCCCCCAGTAGCGTCTACAACTCTGGTTTCAATTTTGGCACCGCTCTGGGGCCTACCGATGCACAGCGACCCTCGCCACCCTCGGGTGTGAGCCAGCAGCCACAGCTGTCGATGGCGTCCAAGTCATCGGACATGAGCTGGCTGAATCTTGGTAGCCAAAATCGCGATCAAAACCGGTACACGCAGTGGCCAGCTACCGGTCCGAGTCAAGCGTAATGTGTGACCATCACTGGTTGCGCATTCTGTTCGGACACATCTTACATTGGTCTCGGCGGGCATGCAACCACCATATAGATGTTTGGCATGAAGAGCCTCACGTCTTACATACAAGCCAATCACTCCTTGACTCCCTTTCACTCTGCGCTACGGGGTCAAGCGCCCCTCATGAATGGACAACACGACGTCCTTTCTTTTTTTCTTCTTTTTCCCTCCGATTCCCTGGGCATGTCTTTTATCGCAGCACCGGATTTGCTGTCGATCTCAGCTACTCGTTCTGCCACAAACAACACCTTCGTTCACACACAACCTGCACAAGAAGCGCCTGTTGCACGTTCGCCCCCCCCCCAATCTCATACTAATTCCGGGTGTAATTGCTGCGACTAGAGAGGCGCAACATCTCTCGAATCTATGAATCTTTATTCATCTGCAATGCATGCCTTGACGGCGTCTTGGGAGCATTTCTTTTCATGTCATCTCGGTCAGGAACTCGCCGCTTCCTTGCTTTTCTTGTCTGTATCTAGGGCCAGCATCAGTCTTTCGGACGCGGAGACGTGAGGAAGGAGTAGTAAAATAAATTCAATGCCGCGCATAGCCAACACGCTTCTCGATGCACCAAAGTCTCGAACGCCCAATGTGCAGTGGCATACCTTATGGGGTGTTCCCTGGGCCGTGTCCTGTCCTTGTAACAGTACGTACCATATGCTGCGTTGCTGAAGCTATATTAGATTGACGCGAAAGGTAAGCCTTGCAACTCGAAGCGCAAGCGTCTCATAGAGTTGTCCAGACTCAGTTGGCAATCGGCGATTGGCGCGATGTGTGTGTTCATCGCTGGAGTGTGTGTGTGTCGGATGTTCGCGTTAGAATGTCGACCGAAAACTGATAATGTTAACTTCCCGTGCAGCATGTAACGCTCGCCACGGATTCGCAAAATTGGGAACATCACCAGATACACAAAGTATTCAGGATTGGAATAGCAAACACAAAAAAATTATTATCCGGTATGCAACAATGACAATGACAATGACGGCTGAGGGTATAGGGTTAGCCGTACTACACCAGGGTAAGTCATGAGCTTCCGAAAGGGACTAGGCCAGCCAGCACCAAGCTTCTTGGGGCGACAGGCGGCAGTCCATGTCGACGGCCTGCACCATCTTTATGATTCAAAAAGCATGTTCCTCAAAACCGCCGCGGCGAATTCTCAATAGCCCAAGGATGAGACAGCACATCTGATTGACCGCTGTCTTCGAGATATCCCCCCCCTTAGATATCTGACTCGTTGAGCTGGGAGAGGAATCAACGGGGACTTGGGTGGGCCACTGACGTCCGGAGTGGTAGGGCCCAAACTAGCCTAGCGATCTGCACATCATTTCGATCGTCCTTAAGCAAGTCATGTAGTATTTAGATCCATCGCGCAACAGGGCGCAGTACAACCATTCCAACATAACAGAAAGACCAACGTTTGATCGAGGAAGAAATAGCGACCCTGCAGGAGATATGAGCCGTTACGATGGTGCATGACCACAAGCTGAGACCACAGAAGCATCCCGAGCATTTTCTCACCGCGATGGTTAATGGGGGCGGGCCCGCCACGCATCCAGCTTGGAAGTGCTTTTATTTAATTAGTGCCTTCTTCGTATGTATGTACGAAATCCCTAGTTCCAACGCTAAAATATCAGGCGCTTCGCATTTACTCAAAGACTATTGGTCCATTTCGAGAGGACATGTCACATATTGTGACTAGGACGACGCTACTGTATCGAGCAAAGCGTCCGAAAGCAAATACGTATCGGGGTTCTTGGCTACACATTAGGACCCTGAGGTCATGCAAGCTCCAGATGTGGCCAGGGTCACGGTGACCAACGGCTAATAAAGCCTCAGGTGGCTCTCAGCCGGCTGTTCACGCAGGGGTATGGAGGCGGTCTGCCGAGTCGTGAAGCTGGATAGTTCGTCGATGTCCGAGGGTTCGAAGGTAACCTTAGGTAGCTAGCCCTTCTGAATTAGGCGCTAGTCCGACGGGTTGTGGTTTGATGGTAGAGCGGATCGTAAGAACCTGGGTTGCCTGTCTACAGTAACATGACTACTTGTTTAGTTATTGGAATTACTGTGCAGCATCAGTCGTTGCGTTTGCGTCTGCCATTCCGACTGGAGCGTGCGTGGGGTCCAGCCAATGGCTCATGGACTCTTGTGGCATTGACATGTGATGTCGTTGACTCACGCACATATTACCCAGGCTTTAACGGTAAACAGGAAGTAGTCCTGACAGCGTCGAGCATGTACCTTCATTAGTACGCAGTATAAGATCGAACACTTTTTAGCCTGCCCAACATTGAGCGTTGACTGGGCGGATGATCGGATCACAAGGGGAGGACTGGAAGCTGGGCGTGTTGAGCGGAATATTTTTTTCATTAGTGAGGGACAGGAGTGGGTGGGGAACGACAGGCGGGCAGCCAGTGGACGGCGACTGAACCTCGCACCTGATGAGAATGAACCGACTGGCCTCCGGGTCACCTCAGGCTGTATACCTTACGTATGTCAACATTTGAAGTTCTTATGATCAGTCTGTTCTCATCAAGGATCTAACTTAATCAGGTGCACTGGGCTAGGGAAACTAGGCGAGCTAATCAGATTGCCCCTCATTTCTAGGTAAGCACTACGTGCAAACAGTAATGTTGACGGCAAGAGGAAGGAGGAGTTGGGACTCGCGGAATTGTTAGTACACAGGGACTTTTTTTTTCCTCCTCGGTCAAGCTTTGCAAAAAACACAGACGTAGCTTGTTGAAGAAAGGAGGACTCGGATTGGTCCGACTGGAGTTGCCCGGTTGGAGTGCCAGAGCGTTTCGACCACGTAATTGGCCAGTGGGTGTTCCAGCCTTTGAGATTCATCGGTCGAATCTCCGACGCCACTGTCAGTGCACAGCAGGGGTTTTCACAGCTCACCGTGAGATCCGTCAGAGGACAGAAAGCTGACCAGCTGTGCGTCCACCAGCTCAATACTGAGGTAGTAGATTGCAAGACGCGATGTGTCCAGAGACTAGACCTGGTTTTGTGTACGTCTACGTGGTATCCGTACTTGGTTGAGGCTGCCTGGAGACGGACTCCAGTGGGATGGTTGGTCGACTGGAGGCAACTGGCTGGAGTCTGGAGGCACAGCAGGCAGGTGGTACCCCCACCCTCTGTCCGCCCTCAAGTCCCTCTGGGTCACTCGCCGCGGCTTGTGTCCGGTCCTCCACTGTTGCGTCCGGCCCTGTCGGTTCCACTGCCTCCAGTCCGAGTCTTGTACGGATATGTCAATCCACTTCCAGTCTTCCTCCCACTTCCACTTCTGGTCTGGGTCCAGCCCAGTTCGCAATGGACTGCTCGATATTGGCGCACCCTTCCTTTTTTCCCTCTCCCATGATAGTTATCAACCACGCAAGGCCTACGGCGCATTCTCCGCATGCCCTCGTCGAGCCATTGGTACCAGGCGACGGTGACCACGACGAGTATATCGGCGCTCACAGGCAACGCCCCGCGAGCGCTCGGCGAGAGACTCCATTGATTCATTAGCACGACAACCGAAAGAAAAAGCCCGCTAAGCTAGACTAGTGTCGGACCCATTCTCGACGCAAAGAGTGCAACCAGAATCACCTCACACACGACACCCAAATTCCGCTTCCTGGTCACCAGCTGTTGAAGACGACAAAAGCGACGCAACGGATTGAACACAAAGTTCGCACGACGAAGACTGACGCTGGCCGAACGTTGCGATCCTGGACTCCCCCACGCCGAAGCACCTACCGCGGGGGAACCACGCGACCATTGCCAACTGGTCCTTTCGCATCAGCTGGGTCGAGAGAGATTCAAAGTCGGGTTCTGAGAGGAGCGGTTTTCTTCGGCATACTCCATTGCGCCATGATGACTTCCAATGGCTGGGACGGGCAGGACCATCATATGGCTACTGCTCCAGAAGATGACTTTGGTCAGTTTCTCGACATGTCCACCATGGGCGAGGGTATGCCGTTCGACTTCGATGGCTTCCAAGATGCCTCCGCGCAGACCATGATGAGTCGCCCGCGCGAGCAGCACGATGCGGTTATGGGCGACTCTGGTACCCCCTCCATGATGCCTCAGCCAGGGGATGTGATGCACAATCCTCAACACAACCACGCACCCATGTCTCAGGCTGGTCCGTCACATGGAGCGCAAATGCTGGCCACCTCTGCGCCGGCCTCGGACTCGATATTGACACTCGACGCTCAGATTCAGTATCTCCAGCAGCAAAAGTTTGAACAACAGCAGCGCCAAATTCAGGAGCAAAGAAACGCATACTACACTGCCCACAATCACTCAGTTCCGCCGACACCACAAAGCCTTGAAATGCCCCCAAACAGCGGTCACTTCTACAGCCAGCCGCAGCAGGACCAAGTGTCGTATGATAGACGCTATCATCACCAGCAGCAGCAACGCCTGAAGGAACAGGATGTGAGTGATCTAATTGCTGACCGGAATTGCGCTCAACGCTGACCTGATGCGCGTAGATGGCTTTTACACCTCTTGTCTCTCCAGCCGTCACCCCACTGGACCCTCACTTCAATATTGACAGTGCCTTCACCGTGCCTGGCGCCTACTTCAGTCCCCTGACCTCGCCCGCTCTACACGCACAGAACGATTCCGGCTCCGGGTATGACCACAGCACGCACTCCAATAACTCGCCCGTTGAGATGGATCTCGAGACTGCCCAGCTCCCGGTTGCGTCCACATTGGAGTTGTCCAAGAAGGCTCGGAAGAACAATGCCGCCAAGACAAGGAGCAAGGCTGCCATCAAAAGCTCTCCCATCTCGAAGCCCCAAAGGAAGAAGGCCGGCCCCAGCCCGGCTATAATGTCACATGTTCTCAGTGAGGTTGAGGAGAGAAATGCTAGCGCTGACCTCAACATGGGCATGCTGCCGGCTGCGTCGACGGACGGTTCAGACGAAAATGCATCAGTGTCCCCAGAGAACCTGACTGATATGCCTCCCCCACCCTTACCAGCATGGAAAGCGAGCAAATCACCATACATAGCGCCCCAAGCCACAGTAGCTCCTACTTCAGTGCCGTCAGCGTCCGTGCCGTCAACAACCGCCTCTCCTACATCCCAAACTACGCCACTTGCGGCGGCCCTTGGCGATTCACACACACATCCGGCAACACCAGCCTCGCTGATGAGGCTCCCCGCCTCACAAAAACAGAAGGCTGCTCTGAATCAACCAGACCAGATGGCTACCGACAATATCGAATCTCTCGAATTGCCAGAGTCGGTTTCGCACAAGAAGTTCGCCCCGATTGACACGCATGCCGCACGAGCATCGCCTAGGATAGAACGAGAGCCCGGCTCTGTCCAATCTACCTCCGCAAAGCCCCTGCCCTCACCGTCGCCAAGACGGCCCGGGACGTCATCCGCCTCGCAGAGCCCGCGGATACTGCCCGGAGGGTCCAGCGCTCGCAAGACGCCCCAGCTCGCGCCTCGCACGGGCAGGAAACACTCGACCGGTTCGGTCCAAGTCTCGCCTGCTCTACTGCCGAGGATATCGCCAAGCATAAAGCCTCTACTTCCCGGCGGCGATTTAGGCGAGTCGGATGCTTCGAGGTTGCTCATGTCCAAGTCGAACTATCAGAACATTCTCGAAGGTAACATGGTTCCTGGCGTTACATATCCCTCAGAGCTATCGAACAATCTCACATCGAAGCGCACCTCGCACAAGATCGCCGAACAAGGAAGACGCAATCGGATCAATTCCGCGCTTCAGATCATGGCTAGTCTGTTACCCGATAGTGGCAAATCGCCCTCCGGCGACGATAGCGACAAGAAGGACAGCAAGCAGCAGAACAATTCGAATAGCAAGGCCAGCGTGGTCGAGCAAGCTATCGTGCATTTGCGCCAGCTGGAAACGGAGAACGGGGATCTCAAGAGGGAAGTGCAAGACTTGAAAAGTCAATTGAAGGAACTCAAGGGTCCAACTTGACCTCGGCGTCTCACGCTTGATGAGTCCATGTTCAATGTGATGCCACGGTCTCCTCAGGCACTGGACTGGATGGTTAATTGCGAATGATAATGTTTCACGCTTGGGATAGGGATATACCTCTGACGTACTACGTCATATTGCCGCCGCGCGAGGATTTACAGGACGCGCTACTGGGTACATGCAGCAGAATTTATATGGATGGGATGTTCTATTTTCGAACAGTGGCTGACCGATCGACGCTGATTTTGAGCCATGTCTCATGATGATAGATAGTATCAGGTATACCCGGCGTCGTGGATCAACGGAAATATATTGCAGCCATGTTCACCAGAACGGAATAACAAAACATCAGAACATCATGGGAGCGATACATGGAGCTTGTGGTTTAACTTGATATGTTTGTATTACTCCCCGGCTCTAGAACATCGACATCAAGCGTCTCCATGACCTCGACGACGAGTTTCAAGCTTTCCATAAAACCGTTCACAGCCACTCGCAGCATACGGTTTGTCGTGGCACTGTACTCTACGTGCAGAACCGCAGGACTTTGTGCGTCGCCCTCGGCAATAAGCAAGTTTCGTCGGACCAGCGCTGAGAGTTCCTTGTCGACCTGCAAAGCCTGGAGCGCGGTCTTTGCGAGGCGCTGAGTGGGGAGGGGCACGTCGATGGATCTAGGGATCTTGGTCAATTTCATGCACAGGGAAAGGCAGGCCAGCAGGGCTTGGGCATGACGCACAGGGAGCAGGGAAAGTCGGGGTCCATGGCGGTTGCCATGGTGTCGTGCGAGATGTGCGATGCTAAGGTAGGTGAGCTTCTGGCTTGCCGCACGTTGGCTTAGAGTCAAAATAATATCATGCGAGGGAGCAAAGAGAGCACTGGAATGCGACAGACGGAGAATGACTGGTGGGGGAGAGTCGATATCGTGGCTGTGGCTGGTGAATACATGCGCCTCACGGGCAAGCGACCGCGTGGCTTGCTTGTAGTAGTGGGGTTGTCATGGTAACGGACCCTGCCAGAGACCGCTGGTGTTTGTTACGACTGGGGTCTGCGAGCTGGCTCCGTCTCCATGGTTTTGGGTGGGGACGGGCCTTGACACCACAACAACAACCAGTATCATCTCAGCGATACAAAACAACGTCCTTACCCAGATTGCAACATTGGTCCTCTTGCCAACAACACCTTCATTCTCCTTCGCCGTCGCAGTCTGCTAAAGCACTTACTTACTTGACCCGCATTGCTTAGCGTGCATATAGTATAAACCCAAACGTTCATGAGCGTTGCTTTCGACCTCGTCGACCGCCGCCTCGCACCTGCCGCCTCCCGTCTCGACCTCGACGATCCGAGCGCTGCCAACCCTCAAGCGACACGTGCGCAAAGGACGGCTATTAGGGAATAATGGCGCCTTCTTCTTCCAGACAACCCCAGAACGTGGGCCAGATCATCGAGTACATCCCAGGTAAGCACGAGAGCCTCTAGCCGCCCAGTCTGCTGTTTCGCGCACATCATCGTTTTGGAGTCCGCGTCCAGTCGCCTCGATTGTACGAGCATATAGCCGCTATGGCATCGCATTCTTATGCCACGCTCTGTTCCGACCAGCGACAACAACAGCAATGCATTTCCCTCAAACCGCGATGCAGACCGCTGACATTGTACGTCGCAGACCGCCTCTACCTCGCCGCCTATGTGCACGTGCCCACGGCCGATACACCTTTTCCGTACCCTGAGGCACCTGCAGTATCGCCCCGAAAGCGTGCAGCCGCTGCTGCGGCAGCCCAACAGGCCTCCCACTCGCGAAAGCAGCCGTGCTACTTCTCAGTCGATGACATCCTTCTGTACAACGCGTTCCATCACGACTTTGGGCCGCTGCACATTGGTCACCTGTACCGTTTCGCCATCCAGTTCCACGATATCCTAGCGGCCAAGGAGAATAAGGACCGACCCATCGTATTTTGGAGTCACGCGGACCCGAGGAGTACGTGATTCACTCTCTTACTCTGGTACTGAGACGTAGAACTGACCTGAGTAGGCCGTGCCAATGCTGCCTGTATGCTTGCTTGCTACATGGTCCTCATCCAGAATTGGCCCCCTCACCTGGCTCTCGCCCCCATCGCCCAAGTTGACCCTCCGCTGATGCCCTTCCGAGACGCTGGCTACAGTCAGGCTGACTACGGTATCACCGTGCAAGATGTGGTCTATGGCGTGTGGAAGGCGAAAGAGGAGAAGTGCTGCGACCTGGACAACTTTGACCTCGACATGTATGAGAAGTTTGAGCGCGTGGAACACGGCGACTTCAACTGGATCACACCGCACTTCCTGGCCTTTGCCTCGCCCCAGCACACACCTGTCGCTAAAATCACAGAGGGCTCCGAGCTCTATGACTCGCTCCCGAGGACACTGGACGCTGTGCGCGCCCATCCCACTCTGCCTCAACCCTTCAAGAATGTGCTAGAGCACTTCTCCGAGAAGAACATTGGTCTCGTTGTTCGCCTCAACTCGCATCTCTACTCTCCTTCTTACTTTGAGGCCCTCGGTATCCAACACATCGACATGATCTTCGATGATGGCACCTGTCCTACTCTGCCTTCAGTGCGCAAGTTCATCCGCATGGCTCACGAGATGATCACAGTCAAGAAGAAGGGCATTGCCGTGCACTGCAAAGCTGGTCTTGGGCGCACTGGGTGCCTCATTGGTGCCTACCTGATATACCGTCATGGATTCACCGCCGACGAGATTATCTCGTTCATGCGCTTCATGAGGCCGGGCATGGTAGTTGGTCCCCAGCAGCATTGGCTGCACCTCAACCAAGGCACCTTCCGTGAGTGGTGGGTCGAGGAGAGGGTCGAGCGGAGGCTCAGAAAGGAGATGGCTGCTGCCAATGTACCCAGCACGCCTGTTCGCGTCATGCAACGGTCGTCGCGCCACAACCACGCATCCACCCCACCGAACCGAAGTCCGTCCAGCCGCACTCCCCTCAGCGAGGTAGACCACGACCGCGCCAATGTTGGTGCTCCCCAGGAAGATTATCTGCCTGCTCCTACACCTGGACAGCCCCGAAAGACGTCTCGTGGCGAACGTCACCACCCTTACCAGCGGTCTGACGCTGCTCACGCTACGGCCGAGGAGACCACTGTGGAGACTGAGATTGTGTCTATGAAGCGCCATTCGCAAGATGGCGAGAAGGACGAGGAGTGGCATCTCCGCATGAGGCGCAAGGAGTCGCGTACTCCTGCGCGCAGTGACAAGGTTCGATCCGTCAGCCAGACCGCATCGGTGTACTTGGTCGACAACGATGCATCGCAGGATGCCGAGAATATCGGGGCAGGCCGATCGAAGATTGCGGACCGCGTTGCCAGCACGCCGAGCGTCATGACCAAGGTCAGAGGTAGCAAACGACAGGCTGAATCGCCGCTCCGGACGAAGGATTCTGGTGTCCGCAAAACGAGTGGTCGCGTGGGCAGCAACAGCACCTGCATGTCGGCCACTGCCTCCTCTACTGCGCGCAAGGTCTCTTCGTCGTAGGATCACGGGCACTTGCGTCGTATGTGATTCATGCGCGCCGGAAACTTTGGTATCTTCACTGGTCATGGTTTCCGCGGTAACGATAATGACATCCAATGCATCGGGCGGCGTTTTTGGGAAGGGCAGGCCGTTCACATTTCATTCAGGGACAAGAAATCAGAATCGGCGTTTGCATACTGCCTGCAATGAATTTGAGAGAAGAGGCGCGACTGTGCTGTACTGTCCAGCTTCTGCATCTGTTGTTATTGAAAAGACTTTTGGTTATTCTTGCATGACATCGCTTGCTCTGCGTTCTGTTTGCTGCTAGCATATAGACGTAGTTCAGCCAATGCTAGGTTTCTAGTACATCTTGTACATCATCTGTCCGACGGGTGGCTGCTCACACTCGTATGCTTTCCAGCTGACTCACCACGACTTCCATCAGCTCGCCCGCTTCCTTGCTGTTTGTGCCTTCCCCAACACTCAAGCACATCTCCACGACGTCCCTGTACCGCGGACCCATCTTTGCCCCCAGATTTGGCACCAGGACGGGGAGCAGGACCTTGTCGCGCCAACGTTCCGCCGAGTAGTGTGCCTTGTGGTAGTTTTGCAGTATCTTCCACAAGCCAATCTCCAACAGCACGAGGCCTAGACTATAGACGTCATACGCCTTTGTCGCAGGCAAGCCGCGCAGGGAACAAGGGTGACGGTGCAGATTGGTGATACTGGGATTTCTTGGTGCCACCGACAAGGCAGTCTCGATTTCCGGGCGAGAGGCGTCGAAGCCGGTGAGATAGGGGTTGGAGATGTCAGGCGCCAGAGCGGACGCGACAGTCGCGCCGTGCGCCGCGGTCGAGAAGATGGACGGGAAGAAGAGGACGTTGCTCGAGCAGAGGGACTTGTGCAGCCAATCTAGGGAGTGCAGACTCCACGTGGCCACCGCCAGGGTGGTGGCCAGCCTGACCCTGGCGTCCAGGTCTGGCGTCTTGAGATCTGGAGACGAGATGAGGGCATGGAGAGACGACGAGGAGGCCGAGGGGGCGCGGTAGACGAGGCCGTAGCGGGAGTTGAGTGCGTCGTCCGTGTAGCCGATGCAGTCGATGGAGTGTAGGTCGGGGTGGCGGATGGACGCCGAGTGCATCATGCGCGCGAGATCGTCCATTCGGCGTAGATGGGCGAGACGCTCGTCTAGGGCGTGCGGATCGTAGAGTACCCATTCTATCAGAACGTCGCCGGTCGTGTCATGATGGGCATGGCAGCGATTGCCTTCGAGTTTCCTGGGGGAGACAATGTCAGGGATGGACAGAATTTCCCTCGGCACTTTGAGAGCATGGGTGGGCCTAAAGGTTGACTGCGGCGCTGCGTCTAGGTTGATGCGCAGCTTCTTGAGGTTGGCCGTGTTGGTGAGGTGGGGATAGGTCTCTGACGACGCCGTCTCGAGGAGAGACAGTTGCTTGACGTCTCTCTGGGCAGACTCGAGGAGTTGATGCGTCCAGGCGCGCTGGAAGGATGGCAGCTGTGATGGTGGAAAGAGGCGTTCCAGTCCGTCGTTGAAGTCTTTGAGATCCCTGAGCAAGGTGGTGAATTTGTCCTTGTCTGGCCTCGTCAGCACGTCAAGCGCCCTCTCTCTATACTGCTTGCTCTCAAGCCTGGAACCGTGTCACTCCGTCCATCTGAACGCAGAACTACACGAACGTACCTGCAATCACCCATCTGCTTCTCAGAGTAAAGTCCTTCTTCCAACTTCTGCTGTTGGTGCCTTTCTTGGTAGATTCCGTCTTCCCCTTTGCCTCAGTCGGGTCACTCAGCCCGTAGACCTCCTTCAGCTTCCCAACGTCCGTCACGGTGGTATGCAGCTGCTCGAGGATCTGCATGGCCAAGGCTCTGAGCTGCGGATTTCCCTCACCAAAGCTCCTCGCGGGCCCGCGCTCCTGACCGTTGGTTGTGCTCTTGGTGCTGCCGCCATTCGACCCCAGGAGATGTCGTTCCAGCTTTCCCTCGGCAACGCCCCATTCTCTACCCCACACCACGAGCCTCATCTCCTCTATCCGTACCTTGCACAGGAGCCTCTGTGAGTCTGTGTCGAGTTGCTGAGCCGTGGTGAAGTACCCATAGGCTTTGACGCACCCGTCAAAAAGCTGGGCGAGCAGGCCCACAACACCAATGGTTGTGCCCACGATTTCGGCCATTGCGCGTTTGATTCAAGCGTCCCTGGACCAACGACGGAGCCCAGACTGGGCAAAGTCTCATTCGCTGTGTAAAGCAGTACAAAAGCGGCACTGTTCACCACCTTCAATGCTGCCAGTGCATTGAGGGGTTTAGCGCACGAAAGGTAAGATATGCTGGCTCTACCGTGCCTCTTTCTTTTTGCCAAAAAGTGTCAAAGCATCTTCATGTCTGAGAGCTTTCCAGTAGCCCTAGCAGCCTTGCGTACCCCTGCCAAGGACGGTTCCGCAATATGTGCGAAACGGCGATGATTATGCGGAAGATTTGCGCCGACCCTGTGTAACGCAGGCCTCACGTGATGTCACCGTGCAGCAGTGAGATAGATGTTCACTATACCTTAGGTACCTCCCCATACCGATCTCGAATAGACTATGTTCTCTCTGCGTGTCGACAATCTCCAGTCCAGAAGGGTACCAAAGGGATTTATGGAGCCGAGAGGGAGCTCCATTGTTGACGTGCTCCAGGGGTGGCATAGTCACACTAAGGTAGGGCTGAGTTTGGTCCAGCTAGCGCAACCGCTCCTGATCTAAAGTCGTATGAACGATCCAACACTGCATTTTTTATTTCGTGCCCCTGCTACGTGGCTTCAAACATGATCTCTGCCATACCGGCCATCTCCCAACCTACTAGCCCGGTCTTTCTCCCCCTCACAATACTCTTCAAGCGCCCCGAGCTGCGCTTCAAAGGCACGGCGCCGTGCTCCGTTCGCCTTCCACATGTCGTTGGTATCATATACATGTCGTGATCGAGGAGGCCCTCAAGAAACGCCCGAGGTCATTGCTGTTGCTGGCGGTTGCAACGATTTCTAGTAGACCTTCTTTTTCTCGTCGATGGAGAACTGACCGGGGCCGCTGTTCACGAGAAGCAACAGACCGCCCACAATGGACAGGATCTGGAAGAAGTCGTACTTGGCAAAGTCCTTGTGGGGGTGGTGCTCGTGCAGTGTCCAGAAGTTGTTGACAATCAGGTTGAACACGCTGAGGATGACGACGAGCAGGGTGGCACTGAACTTGGCCTTGAACCCGACGACGACCATAACGCAGGCGCCGGCACCGATGGCCGAGACAGCCACGCGCCAGATTGACCATTGCCCGCTGAAGACGAAGCCGACAAAGAGAAAAATGAGGAGCACGCGACCGGCGAGCTGGAAGTACATCTTGCGGTCCTTCTCGTCGATCTGGGGTAGGCCAGCGAACGCCTTGGTCTTGCGCACCCACGAGTCGGATAGGACCATAAGCAGACCGCCAATGACGGAGAGATTGCGGAGGAAGAAGTTGAGGTCGAAGATGAGACCGTAGCCTAGAGCCTGGGTGACGACAACGCCCATGAGACCAGCGACAGCGTAATCGGAGTATTTCCGGATGATGACCAAGGTCGAGCAGCCGGCCATCGCAGCCATATTGGAAAGCAGAAACAGGTGGGTGATACCCGAGGGAACTGTGAGAATTGGCCGATTAGTCTTGGACTGAAGATCAAATCCACCGGGGAGCTGCTGGGAGGCTTACTCTTGCGGTAATCGTGCAGGTAGATTAGTTGGTCGCTCCACTGGGTCATGATGCGCAGTGTGTCCTCCAGAAATGTGACAACGATCAGGAAGCGCCCAATGGCTGGGAGGTACCTGTTTGGCGCCCACTGTCAGTCGTTGCTGTCCTCTCTCCCTCGAAACACGACTTGGAGCGGCGGCGGGGCAACTTACGGCTTGATTGGATCACTGACTGTATCCAGAAAGTCTTCGACCTTGTCTGTGTACGGGCGGATCTGCTCGACGAAGCCGCCATCCTCTTGTCCGGGTGCTGAAGGGCCAGCTCCGTAGGGGCCAGGTTGTCCTCCAATGCCGTAGCCCGACGATGGTCCGCGATGCGACATGCTGGGCGTATGTGTGCGTGTGTGTGCGCGCTGGTGCAGCAGCCGAAATACGCCAATGCTGGTACGATGGAAAGATGATCGAAGTTGTGGTGTTTGGTTCGCTCAGGCCTGCCCTATGAGCACCGGTGGTATGCGAAGCCGAGGAAGGTTGGTGGTGGGGGTTGGTAACTCGCGAATTCGAGGAATGATGACGAGGGAGGATCTGGCCTGTCGAGAGCAGCTCAGCAGCAGCCAGCCAGTGAGTGGATGGACGGGAGTGTGCCGCGTTAGCTCGGGAGTTGGCACCGCCGCAAAGGTTGCTCCAACTTCGGTTGTTGGGAAGCCAGCACCGTTTGAGCACCAAAGAACACTGGAACTTGAGGACAGGAAAGCGCGTTAGGTACCTACGTAAGTAGGCAAGAGAAAAGGCTATTGAAGCTGTGAACCCAGCGATGTCTTGACCTTGCTGCGAGCCTGCGATCTGCGTTACTGTGTCCTTTGTCCTTCGAATCCCGTGATTCACGATGCAGGGCCAAAAGACCCGCTTTTCTGACCTCGACCTCATCCTTGTTTGGCAGGCACAGAATAGCTATCTCGTACCTGTTAGTGTGATGCCGAGGCTACCACTTAATCGTGTGAGCGTGTGCCCTACCCAAAGGTCTTCAATCGCCTTGCACTAACATTCAAGCTACGTCAACCTCCACCACCCTGCATCACAAGCGCCTCGATGACGGAGCTCTCTCAACAAGTCTCAAGTCCACCAGGTATTTCGCGTGGGTTTCGTTCAGCAATAGCCTGCTGGATACTTTATGGGGAAATGGCTGCTACGGTGCAGATAGTTCCAGATTGACACAGCGTCGTGGTCTGCAGCCTTGGAGACTGAAAACTTGTGCAAATGTCGATACGTGTATTGTCGAAGCCGTCGAGTCCCAGTTCATGCCGCCTCGTCGAGGCCATCCCGGTCCTGTCGTGGCTCATGGACGATCCGCAACCCGCCCGAGTCGTCGTACTCGATCCGTCGCTCGTTCACGGCTCGTAGCAACTCACCACGGAGTACACTTCGGTCGCCCGTGACAGGATCCCACTCAAAGCCCTCGCGCATCCACATCCATCGCAAACAAGCACGCAGCTCCTTGTCGTCAGGCTTGACGCGCATCCACTCTGGTTGGAATTCAGGTGCTGCTCCCTCGCCATTCCAGCCCCGTGCGCGACCCAGCAGGACATCGCGGCAGAAAATGCGCCAGCTGTCAAGGGCATATTTACCATGTGTCATATGTCCAATTTCCCAAGCTTCAGCATCATCTGCTGGGTCAGCGCGCGGCGTGAGCATGCCGGCTGTGGTTCTTGGTCGCTCATAAAGGCCTGTCCCCAGCTCGCCAGCGTCCATGTCTCTCCGATCGTACTTCCGTACCCGGTACACTTGGCCGGCTCGCGGTGGATTGTCCATGAAAAGTCGTGCATATTTCTGAAAGTACTTCAGCCGATTCATGGCCAGGCCCAGGTGACGAATCATGCCAATGATCTCAGCCTCATTGACAGGGTCGGCAATCAGGCTAGGCGAAGGGAACCGTTCCTTCAGGGCCCAGAATGCGGGGATAGCTGCGGAGCCTTTGGTACGGATTAGAAATGTGATGGCAACTAGAAGCCAGAAGGGCTCATGAGCGACCTTCTCCTGGACGAGGCCGAAGGCGGGCCTGTCCAGCGGAGGGAACGGCACGCACGATACCGTACCAGGTGGTGGCCGGTTCGTCTTTGCTTTCGCGTTCGCGTCAATGAAGTATGGTGAGCTGGATCCAGGCCCTGCGGCGACTGTCTTGTAATCAAACCGGCTGGCGACCTCCAAAGGGTCGATAGTGCACCGCTCGATGGTATGGGAGAGCTTTGGATCGGTGTACCAGGCCCCTACCTCACTAGCAAGATTAGACAGGCTTCTGTCTAGTTGGGAACTCTGAGGCGTCTGAATGCTTGGAAGTGACGCAGGAGCATATTGCAAGGGTGCATCTTCTCCAACGCACTGAGGAGCACACATGTCCTGCGCCGGGAGAGCGCCATTGCCATCAGACATGACCCAAAAATGAGACGTAGTTTTGGGAGAAGGCTTTGTCTTGCGCTTCTTGGTCTCATGCGAAGGCGTGGTAGGAGTTGTGGAAGCTGTAGCTTGTGCAACCCCGAGATTGTCTTGCTGCTGGCGTATAAGAGCAATCATCTGGTCAGTCTGATACCACGGCACGGTAACGTTGACTCCTTCGCCATTTGGAACACAGCTGAGGAGTCGCCCAACATCATCCAGAATGTCTACACTGAATCCAGGGCCGGGCTGAGGTACCCGGTCCCGATGCATGGACTTGGCGCATTCTATCAGAGCTTCAGCATTGTCGATGCTGGCGGTCAGAGCAGCACTGCGAAGGAGCTCCAGCTCCTGTGCCGACACAAGATCAGAGTTGATCAAATCCAAGATGAAATCTTCTGTGGTATCGTCTCGAATGTCGAAGTGCGCAAGAATTGTGTTGTCATGTGTCGCCTGGCGCCTCTGCTTCAAGTTCTCCTTGTCGCACTCGTGTGCAGCCATGCCGGACATGGACATCGATCGTATGATATACAGATCGCTCAGCGCCAAGATCTCTCGGGAACATTGTGGCGCAGAAGCACATTCGGGTCTTGTTGCATGGATTTTGTTGTGCTGCTGAAATCGACGAGCACTTGATCAGCCCCTTGATCGCACTTGTCAGTGCACTCAAGCATGGGGTTGGGGTACGTTGAACTCGCTTGCCAATGAGTCGCGACAGGGTCTTCATGCGTGACTACGCGACCAGTGAAGAAGAATGAGCCGAGTATCTGCGTGATGAGGGTCTAAAGGATGATGGAGATATGCAAGCGTGATGATCGTTGGGCGATGAGTCCTGCACCGCTTGGCCGCGTTTGAATCGGCGGTAGGATAGCATTAACCAGACCCAAGAGGAGAGACGAAGTAGCGCAATGTCCTTGGCCGGGTCGATGAGCGTTGAATACAAGTATGAATCAAGGGCGTCATAAAGAAGCTGATCGGGTTGCTGATGGTGAGCTGAGATGGCCAAGGGACGGGACGCAAGATCAAATGTACCCACATCTGTCACCTCAGGCTACTACTCCTTGGCATACCTCGCCTTGGGACGGTGTGATGTCAGTGATATTCATCTAATAAGAAGCACTTATCAGTATCATTCAAAACGAACTCTAGAAATTGAAGCCATCCATGCTTACCTGGACGACGCAACATACATGGTGCACTCAGGCAACGGTCATAGCAATTTGGCAATGGTTGCCCATTTGCCAGCGTCTCCAGAATCACGACTTCAGACTAACTCCAGAGAGCACGCACCCCTGTAAGAAACATATCATTTACCAATGACAAACCTCCAAGTGGACGAGGCATGCAGTGCTGCCTGCATAAGTGAGGAGTCCACTGCTGTACGGCGTTGTGACAGGTGACTGAATGCTTCAGGCCAATAATTGTACGCCCTCCATCACTCGAGCGCCCAACGACATCATTGAACCAGCCATTGGCTTCCAAAACCGCCCTCTACAAACGCTTCTGGCAAAGATGCAAGAATTTAGCCTATCCCTGAGGACACCATGCGGCCACAGCGAGCTCGGCTTTATCGTGGGTACGTCACGCGCACACCGGAATAGGATCAGTCGGATCAAAAAGGGTGGAGAAGAGTCACGTGCGTCTCCTCCCATAGGCCATTCCCCCAGTTCGAGAATCCCAGGCTGAGCGTCAGTCTGCCGCTGTCACTTTGACCCGGCCGTCTCCTCCTTCCAACCGCCTTTCCACGAACGCTTCCAGCCTATCTCAAACACAACCATACCCTCTCATACACGACCAGCGAGCCCCCCGGCGCATCGCATCATCTTCCGACCGACTTTCGATCACGAAGCGCCATCAGAATCATCTAAGATATGAGTAGTCGCGGTGGTAAATTAGCCCCAGAAGTCAATCGGTTCGTCCGCCTGCGCTCTTGCTGTTTCGACCATGAATTCAATTGAGACGACGTCGGGGATCTCGATTTCGGGCAGGATCATCGGTCGCGTGCCACTGTGAAGCCAACACCCATCATCCTGTTTCCTCCTGTCTTCCGTGGCTTCAATTACGTCGCCGCTAAACCACGTTCCACATTCAATGTCTGAAAGGTTCTGTCGCTAACTGATCGTCGCAGAGCTCTGTTCGTCAAGAACTTGAGGTACACTTAGGATGCCCACACGATCACCGATACCCCCACGACTAATCGCTTTGTAGCTACAACGTCACGCCAGAGGACCTATTCGACCTGTTCGGCAAATTTGGCCCCATCCGGTACGCGTCCACGACGTTTTTGCCAACTCGGCTACGCCCATCCGCATCGCTAACCAAACCGCAGTCAAGTCCGACAGGGAATCGCAAACAACACCAAGGGCACCGCGTTTGTCGTCTACGAGGATGTACTAGATGCCAAATCCGCCTGCGACAAACTGAACGGCTTTAACTTCCAGAGCCGTTATCTCGTTGGTACGTGTATCTCACACGTGCTCTATACATGTGCGCGTTGTCTGAGCGGCAGTCACTAACCTTCACTAGTGCTTTACCACCAGCCAGACAAGATGGTCAAGTCAAGAGAGGACATTGAAGCCCGTCGCGAATCTTTAGCTCGCCTGAAGGTGCAGCATGGCATCGATTGACAATCCGACCGGCCTACGGACAGCCTGCAAGAGAAGAGGACTTTGTCCACTTCCTCGTCTGTAGGCCGGTCTCCGACTTCACGCAAGTCCAAGACGCCGGATCCCAAGACGATCCTGCGCAAAGACAGGCAACCAACCGAGACGTCTTCGACGCACCACCGCGCGCGAGCCGTTCGCTTTGCCGATCCCGCCATGCGCCCTCAAATGCAAGCCGTTGCATGAACAAATACCGCGCCGCCCATCCATCGGGCAGCCACGAATCGACGCGGGCATTCAAAAGGGAGAGTGGGGATGAGACTGCTTTTGTAGGAGTAAGTGGCCCTGGCACTTTGCAACATCTGCTTGCCTTGTCTTTGGCTTGGGTCAGGGCACATTATTATGGAGGATACGGGAATGCGGGAATGCGGAAGTGCAATTCCGACAAGTGAAGTAACGTCAAAGTCACTTGGAATGTTTTTCTATTTGCCATGTCTTCTTACCATTTAGTTGGCCAAAGGCGCGGCCTCATTATGCCTTTACTCGCCGCGAGCCTCCTGTTCGGAAGTTGTGCCAATCTGCAATGCAACTCCTTTGTCTTCATGATGCATGTAAAGGTGCTCATCCTTTATCGAGACCAGCTGTGCATGTAAGCCCTCGGCAGCAAATGCCGCGAAATGCCAAGGGGTCTTTGCTACGGCGCGATTCTGGCGATGGAGACATGAAAGCAGAAAGATTCCGAGGCTTCCTTAGAGATGATGAAATACATGTAAACAGCGTGCTCAATTGCGGACAACACATTCGAGAGGGACACGCGAGCTCCCGCAGTCCCGCCAGAGTCATGATACCGAGGTGACCTCAGTAATGAGCCATCCCTATCCCGTAGTCTTGGTGTTGTTGGTCGATGGCCAAAAGTATGCCTAGTCCGGCCACAAGAGCAGGCCAGCATCGCCATGTGGCTCAACGTGCGCTTAGGAGCATCGACAGCCAACCATCTCCCATATAAGCGCCGGACATCCACTTCCTGGTCGAAATTTCCAGCTTTCCGGAAGTTGAATGACAACCTGGATCGGTGAAGAGCTTTGAGCCTTGCTCGTCGTTTAGGCCATATGCGACCTGTTTGCAGGCTGCCCTGAAGCCTCCACCTTGCAATCTGCGTACGGGTTGGGCTAACTGCTTGTTCATACACTGCCAGAAGCTAGGGTCCATGCCATCTACAATGGGGGTTGGTACTGGGGATTGGTGATGAGCGGTAGGAGAGCGCGAGCCTTGCCAATCTGCCCAGCAGTACGCACAGAGCGTGGATAGGCCATACTTTCGACCTTGGAGAGCCCAGCATGCCCTCCTTGACGACATACTCTGGTGTTGGCCAACCTGTACAAGGTATCTGCCAGTTGAAAAGTCTCTGTGCCTGCTCCTCGAACTCCCATACTGTGAACTTTTCCAATGTATTCTCCTACTGCAAAGCTGAACGGGCTCTCGCTTGACGCTATGCCACCAGTGACTCGTTCCATGTCGCGGCTACAAGGTGACAACTCGCCGCCCACTATTGTCGACTATGAATCAAGTCTCGAAAGTGAAGACTGCGAGTCAGACTGGTCCGAGACGGACGAAGATTCATTGACCATCAAGTCACCCGCACGAGTCATCTATCGCCTCGACAACCTACCACAAGGGCAAAGGGACGTGGTCCGCGACACCTTCAACTGTCCCCCTCAGATGTCTCTACAACGCTGCCGCCACGTGGACAACACATACGCTTTCCAAATGACAGAGCTTGTAAATCGCTCCATACGGCTGCATAGGGACGGAGAGCGGACCAGACTTGTCTGCTCATGCGCGGCCGACGTCAACGAGACCACTGCTTGTTCGCACATCCTCTGGCTGCTTGACCAGATACTTGACCAGACACTATACGACCACGACCGACGCGAACCCGTGTGTCTGAACCAACGGGGATTCGCCGATGAGATGGGCGACCCCTTTGAGCGCATCAGCAAGCATCACATCGACATTCTCGCTGCCGACCTGCACTGCCCCCTTATACGCGAAGACGCAGATTCTAGAATCGACTCAGCTCGAACCCTCGAGGCTCGGGAGCTACTCGCCTCGATACACGCGGAAGATCCAGACACATTCCGACGAGATATCTTCGATAGTCCCAGCCAGGGCACGAAAGTCATCAAGCGTCACGACATTGACTGCACCGTTTTCAGAATGTTGCTCGACAATAATCACTTTTTTCAGTATTTTCGGTCCCTCAGCCGGCCAGGAGATCCCATCAGAGACGTCTTCCGGAAGTTATCGCAACGAGTCGACCGAGTGTTGCACCAGCTCGACGCTGGCGGGATGGACGGTTCCAAAACCACAGAATGGGCAACACATCATATAAGAGGCTGCGTGTCCTCTATTCGGTGTGCTGTATTCGACCGTGACCAGCCGCTGCCCTTCTCAGAGGCACACGCAGCCGCAGCCGCGCTCGTCCATATCCTGTCAGCCGTTGTCACTCGCCATCCGCGCGCATCGATTCATGTATCTGGACAAGATCGAAACCTGTACATGACTCTAGTTGGGGAAAGGGATATCGACTTCGTCGTGGGTGTGTTGGGCTTACTGCCTGAAGCGGCATGTCACTTCCTGTACGACCTCGAAGCGCTGCTCGAGCAGGTCGAAACGCATGGCGCCCCGGTGTCGTACGTTACCAAGTTTCGGACGCTCATTGCGAGCCTACGGGGTCTCAAACCGGAGAGTAGACCGAAGAGAGCAAATGAAGTTACGGCGTCGGGCCGGCGGAGCAAGCGAATGAAGTAAACTGCGCAAGACTTACCGCCACGAGTGGTAGGTTCTTTCGTCGGAAGCTGTCGGGAGGCCATCGTGTATCAGGGTAAGTGACCGCGAGGCTCAGAATATCAGCGAGGCATGGGCGTCTGCTTTACCGCAACGCATGTATACAGAAGCCACGAGTGGGTTGAGCAAGTTTCACGCTGAGACGAGCCAACGTAGCAGCGCAGATTCAATAGTTTCCAGAGGCAACAAGAAACAATCTTTCAGCATCGCAAACATACAAAATTGACAGGAATGACACTAATCATGTCAAGACCCGCCAGCTGCCAGTGTTCTGGCGTATGCCTCCAATTCCGCGAGCACAGCTTTCAGCGTTGGACGATTGTAATGGTTTTCATTCCAGTCGCCTTTGGCGATGCCTTCTGCTCGCGCGGCGAGCCAATGTCCAGACGCCTCGACATCTCGAGACCAGAATTGCTTGGCAGCTTCTTGCACTTGCTCAGGGGTAGAGAGGCCGGTGTGCTCGAGGCGCCGTAGTACAAGCTGGTTGCCTTCTCGGACAATGAGGCTGCTCAAACCGGGCTGAGCCCCGCTCGTGCATCGCTTGATAAGGTCCCGAATTGGCTCAGGTGTACTTGTAAATCCAGGAAACTCGACTACCGGCTCAAATCGATAGGAAAGCCAGACAGCAGCCCGCTGGGGAGCACTCGTGCCCTCGAAGATACACCATAGAACACGCCCTAGCATGTAAACTTCACAGGCCTCCTGCTCCGTAGGTGTGAGGGCACTCCACGCAATGTTATAGCCAGCGTTGGGCCAGATGTAATCCTCTCCTTCCTTCATAAACTCCCAGTCAGGCACCATTGCCTCAAGAGTTTTCGAATACTTGTCAGAGATTGCAGGCGATATCTCTATGTCCACCGCAATCATTCGAACGTACTCAATAGCGTTGATTTCGGGAGCTGCGAACTCGCACCATACACCTCTTTGTTCAAAATCCACCATGACAATATTGTCCGACGCTGAAAGTACAATGTTGTCCAGCCTCAGGTCCGGATAGAACATGCCGGGTACTGTTCGCAGATGAACCAACGCAGAAGCAAGCTGCACTGACCATTTTGTCTGTTGCTGGAGGGACACGCGTCCGTGCAAATGGAGAAACGGGATCAGGTCACGCAGGCTGCCATGTACGTGGTACTCGAGGGTAAACCCTAGCACAACTGTCTTCTCTCCGAAGCTGCACTTCTTGGTGATGAGATGCGCTGGACGCGACATAACATTCGGGTGGGCCGGCATCGTGAGCAGCTTCCGCAGTTCGTGATACAAATATTTCGAATCGCTCGTGAGAGCCTTGAAGATCCACAGTTTGTTGTTGATCATGACGAGGGAGACGCTGTCATGAATCTGGCAGATATATGTTAGCTCACCCAGATCCAACGTGGGCGGGTAGTCCTTGACCTCTGCGGCCCAACATTGCTGCAGAGATGGCAAGGTGTGTAGCTGAGCTTCCAGATGGTGAGCAGGGACTGTCATAACAACGGCGTCTGCTATGTTCATAGGCAGGTTGCGCAACAGGATTCGGGAACCGAACGGCATGTTGTGGTAGATCTCTCTGGGGTCATCCATCTGCTTCGCCCAGAAATGTAAAATTCTCACAATGTGCCTTGTTAAACCAAGACAAGAAATTCGATGCTTGTCTCTTGTATGGAAGAACATGTCGACCTCGAGAACTTCGCGAACTGCTAATGGTAATTTTGTGGGCTCGGGGATGTAAACATCCATTCGCAAGGGTGGCATTGACTTGAAGAACAGAGGTGTGGCGTACAGCTGGGCGCCATAGGCAGTGCATCCGTCGATAGCCCAGAGCGGGCTGTCTGGAATCTCCAAACTGTCGATGCGGTTCTTGGGGTTGAGCAAGGAACTCTCCCAGCTTGGTGGATCTTCCTCGACATTCTGTCTTTGAGCACGCGACGGCTTTTGCGTACCAAATGCAGCGGTTGGATGAATGACGTCGTGAATAGACTCCTCGCTGAGTTCCATAGTCGTTGTTCGGACAAGGCCGGACCAGACTAGACCGTAAGCTGACTGCGTGCGCGTGAAGGTGCACGTTGATCGTGAGCTGTTTGGACGAGAGGCTCAGGGAGTCAGACACGGCAGCTGCTGGAAAATAATACTCGTGTACAAGGCTGGCCGCGGACTGGAGGCCGGACGAGGATAAGAATGAGGAAGTATTAAGTGCTTACGAGTCGGGCCTCGTCTGGCCTTTTTCATATGCGCAAGGCGGCATAAGGTCGTGCAGATGAGTGGTACACCTCAGGTACCAGGTCCGGGCACAGGGAAGAAGAGGTTGTGCGTTGCAATTGGCCCATTTCAATACAGCCGAGAAATCACATGACCCCAGTAGCGATGCTCACACGCATCTGTCGCATCAAGCCATTTGGCTATCCAGAACGTATCTGTATCGCGAGTAATTGCGACGGTAGGTCGGTTGGTAGTCAAAATGGCTGTTCACGTCCACTGAAATCTCCGCATGTGTCTTCGCAACAGAACAATGCTTGGTGACAGCCTGCAGCAGTGCTGTGCGCCGTCAGTGATGACATGGCATATTGTGCATCAAGAAAGAGGTAAAATCGCAATTACTGCTTTGTCTTCGCGCCCATCGACTTCGGACACATTGCTTCTGAGATGTCTCAGATCTATCGGGAGCCGGCAGGTCCCGGGTATTCGCATGTCGCTTTGCATTCGGTTGAGTTGGCGAAGAATAAGAGACTGTCGCCGCATTGTAAGGCTCGGGACGCCACGGAAGGCATTGTGCAGCGGGATTGACATTCGTACAACGGCAGACAAATTGTTTCGGACCAAATTGTCCGTACCATTGGTCCAGGCACTCAATCGCCGCCGTTTGTCGCTGCCCACACAACAAGCCCGTATGAGGATGACTTGAGATACACCAAGCTTTCGATGAGCAAGACGGACTTCTCATTATATCTGAGCAAGGACCGTCGCCGCCAGGCCCGAGGGTGTTCCAAGGAGAAGTGTTCCGAGGATATAGAATTTCTCTGGGTCGAGACGAGGAGCCATAATCCCAAAGAGACTCGAGCAAGAGAGCAGAAGGCGGTAGTGGACCAGGGGTGGGCTTGTTGAGTTAGCGCCCTTGTCCTTGGCCATTCGAGCTGCGAACCTCAACCTTCCATCACCTGGAAATCACATCATCGGGTCGGCTCGCACTCAAGATCACGGTTCGGCACCTTGTGCCACAAGTGTTGGCCGAGTCTTTGCCGGTCAGTCCACATTGGCAGTCGAGTGTCGGGATATTTGGTGGATTGCATCTCAATTGACCGCCTCCGAAGCTAGCCTGAGGTAAGGTCGACGCGATGTGACAGGTCGCGATTGGGAAAATTGGCAATGAGAAGGTGCACTGTCGTTCATAGTGGTCTCACCTCATACTTGACACCCGAGCGAGGTGGCCAACCTCCAATGGGTAGAGCATTGTATCGAATAGCCAGGCGAAAGGGGGTACTGCGCATTCTCGTGCTACGTAATCGGATGTGTACAGCAGTCTGGCTGCAGCTGGCCAGCTTTGTACCGGATTGCATGACCGCAGTCGTGCTGGGTCAAGAATTGGTTCGACGAAGGGTTTGCTGATTGCAGAGCCGGCGCCAGGTGACATGTTCTGGACGCGTGATAATATCAGTAGGCGATGTGAAAAGCGAGGCAATTGCCGTTGCGCAGCCGAGGAACATTCGATGGTAGGTTCGTGTCGCAGCAATACGTACAATCGTGCCTCGAATGGGACCAGGATGGTCGAACGATGCCATCATGTCGGTTGACGTTAGATTTGTGGAGACGACGGCAGGCACCGCCTTAAGTTGGTGGTGCTCCGTACAGATGGGTTGGTACCTGAGGCAGATAGTTGATTCGCCCCTTGGGAAAGCCCCGGCAGGCAAGAGCACGTCACACCGTCACGGCACAACCAGTCGCATGACTGAATGGTACTGCCTACACGTAATAACTGAGGAGTTGGCCTCTAATAGTCCCCATCCTGATATCACTATCTGCCCAATCCTAGACATTGCTCACCGGTCTACGAGATGGACGCTGTTTGGTCGCTGACTGAAAACTGGGGTGGGGGCGGCAGAGAGGGCAAGGGAAGAAAGGACCGCCCAAGACCCTAGTATCGACGATAATACTCCGACAGAAGAGCATCATCCACCTTGCACTGCATCGTGAAGCGCGTCTAGCATGAACAATACTCACTGGTAATCACTGCATATCGGCATTTACTTGTAAATTTTCCATTGTCACTGCCTCTGTCTTTCTCAAGTCCGTATCTGACCCGCGAGTCGTTGCCCAATGTGCAAGTACGTGCATTTGCTGCATTGCACCGCGTCGTCGTCACATCATTATCACCTTGCCACTCCCGCTCCAGCGATTCACTCACTCACGAGCTAATTCGAAGTTTGGGGTCAATCAGTTGGCGTTCGCCGAGCGACGATTCTGCGACAAGTTCCGCTCTGTTCCCTGCCGGCGACTCGATTTTCTTCGGTTGCCTGTTTGCTCTTTGCAAGTTCGTCTCGAGACCGTGCTGCACAGACATACAGATACATGTACTTGAATCGACGACAAGGTTGTTGATCAGCTGCTCACATTCTGGTCTGTGCCTCTCACCGGGGCCCGCTCCAACAACGTGGGTGTGGCTTGAAGAGCCTGTGAGGCAATCCTACTTGTCAAGCAATAACGCTTGTCCCTTTCCCTGCTCCTCCACTCGTCTCGATGGCCATGTTGCAGTGCAGTTATTAATTATATCATGACTGCGTTGGTTAATTTATGCCGACGCCCGAATCCTTGGTCCATCAGCAAGCCGAGGGTCGAGCTGCGGCAGTCGACGGGCTGATAGCACTACGCAGTCATTGCCAGGGGTCTCGGTGCGACATTGTTCGCCTGACAGCAACAACCATAACGCAGACATCAGTCTTGGCTATGCGCCAGTATCGAAACGTTTTGTTCTTCCATTGCGCGGCTCGATTTGCCAGCGAACTGCAGACAATCGTGATAGCCTCAAAACCCCGCTGTGCTGGGAGTTCTAAATAGACACGACAGGATGCGATAATATACAGACACCTTCCGGCACGTGCTGTCTATCTTGGCCGCATGATTAGAATCGCACCTCAAGTCTCACCGATACCCTTTCAGGAACGACTAGGTACAGTCTAGCATCAGACCCCTACACACATTCTGCCGCTAACTGGCTCCAAATTGTCGACCTAAGGCCGGATCAAGTCAGGCGGTCGCGGCCCGTCGACTGCAAGTCCCCACCCTCCGCCTCCAAACTCCACAGTCCAGAGCCCGCCACGTACGGACGCCGCATGTGTGCGTCGAGGCCACCCCAAGTTCGAGTACCTACCGAGTTGGGCAGCTCTGATTAGCCTGTAAGTGCCAGAAATCTCAAATCCAGTCCCCTGTCCACTCTGCTGGGCTGCGAGGGTATCCCTCAGACCGGTGAGTAACAATTCAGCACGGGCTGTCTCGTTGCTCTACTGCGCATTCCCTCACCGAGTCTCTCTTTTCTCAGCTGAAGACTCGCGAGATATCGTTGTCAATACATCCCTAGTCGGACCAACTGCAGCTGCATTCACGGCCGCAATACAGCATTTGCCGCTCGAGTAAACTGCCCGACCGCTTTGACAGTCTGACGACAGCTGCAACGAGCGCGGCAGCCGAACGTCTCACGACACATTTTTGGCGACCCCTCCTCCTAGTTGCTACCGGATCGTTCAACATCCAGCGTTCGTCACCAGTTGGCGTCTTTACCTAGTCGGCTACCGCCTGACCAGCCCCGCCACTTTGAGTCAGAAGCCCGACGCCGCTTCTGCTTGAGCCAAGGTGCTCGCTTCCCGGCCGCTGCATATGCTGATCGGTCCGTGACGGGGAAACGCGCACCGAACACCTTAATAACTTAGCCTCTGACCTGAATCCTCGCTTTGTGGTGATTCTGCTGCCACCGTTGGGCACCCACCCCTCCCGTGTCTGTCCGCTGTCGCCTGCCTAGTCCCGTTCTGCTAATACCGTTGCCGCCTGCGCACTTCTACGGAGTACAGAGTGAGAGTACCCGCCGCCTGGATCTCCCTGCCCGTGTTTTCCTCCTGTATCCCGGATACTTGATTGACCCTGGCGTCGGTACATCGATCATTCCTTTCCCACTCCGTGCTCCAAGGTTCCAGTTCCTCACACCCTGCCTGTCGCACGGACATACTTTAGCTGCTTCTGGCCACATGGTGAGTGCTGTTTCCTTTTCTATCACATATCATATTTGTCGTACGCATGATGCCGACGGCTTGATGCATGCGGGATACGGATACATGTCTGATCTCCCTTCTCCATACCACGGTGACTGCTTTGACCCGAGTTCCCTGCCTCATCCTAGATAAATAGGAGTTATCCACATACACCCCACTTTCCCATTGTCTTCTTCCCGTCGTGGCACACCAACGAGCCTCTCACCAAAGTTATGGACCAGGCGCTGTACTGATCTGTTGACAGGAGTCTCACGACACCTTCAACTTCCCGGCATCTGGCCTGTGCTGGGCTCCAGAGTCTGCCTACGCTCTGCCCCCAGCGCCCGATGCCCTCGCTTCGGAGCTGCCCTTTCTCGTTCCTCAACACAGGCACGACCCCGACGGCAGCTGGTGGCGATCCTATCATCCGAACGAGTCCAGTGGACTCGCCTCGTCTGTCTACAGTCCATCGCGTGCTTGTCAGTGCTCGTGGCAGTCGCGCAAACGCAGACGTGTGAGTCGCGAAGACAGTACATCTTCTTCAAGTGAAGGCGTCCCCTCGCGCGCCGAGATCCTCAAGGGCCAAAGGTCGGCTGCCTACCGTGATAGGAGTGAAACATACGAAGCAGGCTGTCCACAGCCGTACGCATCACAAGGAATGATGCGGTGTCCAACTTGCCTCGCAGACTGCTTTGGCTGGGCAGTTGCTCAAGACGGTACGCTTTCCCCCAATCGTCTCACTATGCTCTGACTTTAGTACCGCAATGAACGAGAAGCCGCGTATCGTGGCTATGTTCAATTGTTTGGAGCATACTGACATGACTCGCCAGACTATCAGCGTCTGCAGGAAGAGGAACTCATCATGCACGGCCCTGTCAAGTCGTACAGCATGGAGAAGTCACATTCTATGCAACATCCTGTCCCGGAGTCGCACCGTGGGGGACAATCGACTGCCCAGCCAGATGTGCTGGCGTACAGAAACCGCCATACCGTCGAGACATCTACGTCAGGTGTGACGGCACGGTGTCCTGACAATGTCAATCACAGTGATGGCAGCCAGGTCTCGGGCTATGCAGGCGCTCGAGATTTTTGTGCTGTTCCAAGGTCCTACTATGTAGCTACTCAAGCTTCTCACCAGATCGAACATGGCCTTCATGACCGCCCGCCGCTTGCTTCGAGCTCGTCCACCTTTGCTCAGGTGCCCCCGCAGACTACCATGCCGGGTCACCAGTCGCATGCCAACCAAGCCGCGATCGTGCAATCTTGCAATGTACACAACGAGGTCCTCCCTAGTTCTCGGCTTGATGTTGCACAGTTGGAGCGATTGAACTCCAAGTACAGCATTCTAGTGCCAAATCAACGCGGCGGCAAACGCGGCCCGTTCAAAGACGTTAGCCTGCGCGAGCAAACAGCGCAAACTAGAAAGATAGGTTCATGCATCAGGTGCAGGATGCAACGCATTCGGGTGAGTAGTGCCCTGGCCTACCGGTTCCCTGGCTGTCCACACGCTCGCATGCCGCCACGAAGGAGACGATCGGTTGTGACTGACTTGAAATTCATTTAGTGTGAACACAACACAGAAGATCCGACCGGTCCGTGCATGACTTGTAAGAAAGTGGCCAATACCCGAGCCGGCAGGTTGCCGTGCCTGCGGTACAAGATCACCGATGTGAAATTAAACAAGTCCGGCAACGTCCCGGGCTACGAGTGGACGCAACGCTGGACGGACAATGTCCCAAACGTCACCAATGAGGGCTGGGCATCCTTGGAGGTCAAATCGATCAGCCTGGCGGAAGGTTACTCGGTCAATGTGATTCAACTTGCCGTTCGGCGATTCGTTCCCCAAGCTGGCGACAAAATCAACCGCACGTACCGTGACAAGACTGGCAAGCAATGCTCACACTCGTGCACACCATATGCGCTGGTCGACCTCAAGAGCAGCGCCGGGGCGTACCAGCGGTATATCGAGAAGTCCATCGGACAAGTGCTACACAATGTCACAAAGGAGCACGGGCTCGTGCACAAGACATATTTGCGCATGCACGCATGCGCCGTTGACAAGTCGACACCTCTGGAGATACGCAACCTATTGCTCAAGACCTTTATGCTTTGGATGTATGTCCGCTTGACCACCAAGTCCGTGTTCATCAGAGGTCCGGAGACGTTGGGTATCAAGCAGCTGCCCAAAGACAGCCCTGACCCGGACAAGGTGCCTGTACCACCTGTCCTAGGCAGGCAGCTGGATATCTTGTTGATGGACAAGCTCGCCGAGCTGAGGAAGGAAGTCCTTGACGGCCTGGAAAAGCTCATGTCCAAGAAGAAGCACAGCACATGGTTCTACATATATCTCATCAGCTTCGTGCTACTCCACAACACAGCGTTGATCACGGCCCACGACTCGAGCTACGCCAAGAAGCACGGCATCAAAGACAAGAATGGCATACAGGTATGTCCAGGCCAGCTATGAGGCGTGGATTCTTCTGCGTCCGAGAGAGCTAACGATCTGCTCGTCAGGTCCGATTCGCGCGCGAGGCGTCCGTCAGAGAGTACCACGTCGGTCAGTGCCCATGCATTGTTGTGGCATTGAGAGGTCATGAGGACTGACAAGAGTACACGTTAGGCGCCAATGTTCTGCTCGCCCATTTCCATTACTGCAACAAGGGGGTATATCCTTTCTCAGATCAGTGCAAAGATCAAGATCTCCGGGCGCTTGCAGGCTTGAACGAAGATGAGATCCTCTTCGTCAAAGCCACACGACAGGCCGCCAAGCAATCGAGTGAGTCTCCCCCGAGCTATCGAGTGCACACACTGCCCCGCTGCCGCAAGCATTTCCGAGATCTGGGAACAATTATGCTAATGTGCAACCTGTACAGAACACGACTGGGAAAAGTTCCGAGCGAGAGGCGACTACGAGAACGACTGGTACTTTGTCAGCCAGCTATTCGAGGAGAACTGGCAACCGCAATCCACCATTTGAATAGTCTTTCTCAAGTTTTCTCTTTTTCGTTTGCCATCTCCTTCATTTTCCTGTGTGGGCTCGTATGTCAGGCAAAAGCGAGACAAGGAGAATTTGCTGCAGGTGGTGGCAAAAGAAACGTCGTTCAGCCATACGTATGTCTGCATGCAGACATGCATGCACGGCGCCGCGCCGACAAGCATCTGCCAGTTGTTTGACTCCGAAAAGTCGGTTGTTGCGGTGTGTCGCCGAGATGATCAAGCGTCGAACGCGTCACCGCTCTTGTGCACCATCGATCTTGTCGCAAGAAGAATAGGAGAAGGATGGGGAGGAAGTAACGAAGACTGTCTTATTCCGCACCCTCACCACCACCGATATGCTACTGCCGTGTGCCAGACCAGTGGCGAAAACTAATTGCAAACTACCTGACGGTTCTTCGCAGGCAGGGCCTCGGCCAGTCCTAGTTTCACGGGCGAGCGATTTAGTAATGTGATCAAGCGTCAAGACCCGTGTCTACGGCAGCTTGCCCAGGGGAGCTATGCCATGATGAGAATTCGCGCGGCAGAGTTCCTTTCCCACAGCGCAGGCTGCCATGACATTGGCTAGCAATCTGTCTCGATGGTGCTTGTTAGCGGAAGCGGCCCGGGTGGTCCATATGACGGTGGCGCCCCTCCGTCCCCCTCTCGTGAGGACGATCAAGATAATATTCGCCCCCCAGAAACAATGGAACACAACGAGTGCGGTCAGGATCTGTGGCCGTGCGACGTTGACCAAGGCCGTCGCCCCCGCCCCCGCCCAAACCTGCATCGTACATATTTGCTGGGCTGTTTATTATTAGTCTAACGGTAGTAGGTGAGGGTACATACAGTTCGAGTGCAGCGCGCACGCACCCACGTACGGGGCTTGGAACGACGCGGAAGCAAAAGCATGCATCCTGATTTCGGTGCAAACGAACACTAGTGCCATCTTCCTTCGGAGTGGCCACGGCTGGCGCCGTGCTCGGGTCTCAACGGAGTACAGAGCGCGTCACTGGTCATGTCGACGACCCTTGTGTTGCTTCTTCTCCTCGACAACGGCGGCGCCCTAACATTGCAAAATGGTACGCAAACGCTGTATTTTTGGCTGTGGGAATTTTGCCCCCAGCCAGGGGCGATTGTCTGCCGCTCTTCAGTTCGTGTAAATACTTGTGTGCCTTGCAGACCGCGACACAATATGTAACTACCCTTCTGAGCCGGCGGTGTCATTGCGAGACCGCTGTCAACATTACGCAGGGGAAAGAAAGCAGTCGTTGCGGCTTGACCATCAAGGGGACCACGAACTCGCGGTCAACTCACTGGCCGTCGTCGTCGTCGTCGTCGTTGCGGTAGTCCTCGTCGTTTTCTATAAGAAGGCCGTGTCTCTTGTGCGTTGAGCCCACCACTTGAGCACGTCAGCCTTCGCTCAGACGAACTGGCTCTTCCTACTTGCAAACCCAAGCCAGAGCAGTATTGACCGAGCCTGCCACCACCACCATGACATCTTGCGCAGCACAACCACCCTCGACACAGGTGCCCTTGGGGCCAATTTCTGGGAGCTTGGCTGCAGGTCCCGGCCTGCCAGCTGGTTTCCCCCGTGCCGTGGACTCGCCGCTGGTATGGGAAGGCGCCCAGTTCGAGAATGAGAAGGAATATGTGCTCCACATGCACGAAGCCGACGTAGAGGAGGCAAACAACGCCCTGCGGTGCTTCAAAGGTGCGAAATTCGGCCGGTTGGCTGTCCGTGTCCAGTGGCTAATCCTGCTCTAGAATTTGGCCGCCAGGGCTACGAAGTGTCTCGAGATACCTTTCCTCTACCCAACCTGGGGAAGAGGCTCGAAGCTCTGAAGCTGGAGATACACCAAGGACGCGGATTCGGGGTGGTGCGCGGCCTGCACCCCGAAAAGTATTCGGTCGAAGACCTCAGCATGCTACAGCTCGGTCTGCAATGCTACATTGCCAATCGCCACGGCCGACAGGACCGCAAGGGCAACATGATGGGTGAGCAACATGTCGCGGAGACTTGTCCGCCAAGAGCTCACACTGGCTACTAGTTCACATCATCGCGGACGACTCATCGGCAGCCGCTGCAGGACACCACCGCCACTCGACAAACCCCATTGTAAGTGATGCCGTGTCCATGCGTCGTCGTGGGAGGGACTCCACGCTGAGACTTGATGTAGACCTTTCACAATGAAGAGGCGGGAGACGTTGTGAGCTGGATGACGAGGAGCACGGCAGCATCGGGTGGCCGGTGCATCATTGCATCGTGCTACACGGTGTACAATGTGCTGGCCCAAGATCGCCCGGACCTCCTCCGCGTACTTGCTGGTGCCGACTGGCCTTTCGCGTTGTGAGTGTATCCCCTCCGAGCGAACCTGATTTTGGGCGCGAATACAGATGGAGTTGCCGGTTGGCTAACATACAAACGTGAAGGCCGCAGTTCCAAAGCCGTCCAATCCTCTTCCACCACGAAGGTCGCCTGATGATGAACTTTGGAAGGACGCCACTGATCGGCAACCAGACACACCCGCGCTGCGAGAGCCTGCCCTCGTTGAGCGAGCGGCAGCTCGAGGCACTGGACGCGGTGGAGAAGATAGCCCGGGCGACGGAGCTTGCGATCACGACCAAGCCTGGTGACCTGCACTTCATCAACAACCTCGCTGTCCTCCATAGGCGCCAGGGGTTCGTCGATGGAGCTGCGGCTGCGGAAAAGCGACATCTGGTGCGCATGCGACTGCGGGACGATCAGCTGGGGTGGGCGCTCCCCGATGAGCTGCGCAACGAGTGGTACCAGGCCTTTGACGAGCACCGACGAAGCAAGGTGTGGCACCTAGTGCCTATGCCCCCGGGGTACTACCCACTTCGAGCGCAGCCCAACTAGCTAGTTGGTACTCAACGCCATCTCGTCGTCGGGTAGAGCTTGGGGGCCGGACGTCCAGCGTCCTCACACCTTGTGCAGCTGCAGACTGCAGGACAGGAGTGGGCGCTCGGACGGAGTGCCTCTGCGCACGGCGATTCTACCGTCTCCATACATTTGTAACCATTGTACGAGGGAGTTCTTGTTGAAAAAAGTTTTGTTTTTTGCTTGCCAGGCAATCTCGAATGCATTGAATGGTGTGCCGTATTGCAAGACGGAGCAATCACTCCGTGCGCGAAGGACGTGCAGTACTATGTACAGTAGGACGGTCCGTATCGGACCGCATGTATGTTTATCGACGGGTCATGGTCCGCGAGGGCCAGGAGTGGCATTGTGCATATGCGGGCTGAGGCTTTCAAATCACGGCCGAAGCGAGGCCGCCTCGCTGTCGGCAGTCCACAGCCAGGAGAGCAACAAGTCAATCATGGCAGATGAAAAGTTGAGTGAGGAACGAGGACGGCGGGGGAGAAAGAGCAGCCAGCCAGCGTCTAGAGGCAGCGACGGACAGTGTGCAACACTGTCAACCCTGTGTAAGATTGGCCTCGCCTGCACACATACATACAATTCTTTGAACACTGTGCAGCTTCTGTTCGCCCCGCAAATTACCCAACTTGGAGGTAGGCACCTCTTTGGATACCTGGACCTTGCTCCACCACTCAACTCGCTCACTGAGCACTCACTCCGGTCGCTCTATCCCCATTTGCAGAAGCTGGAGTCTTGGACTTGACATTGACGGATTATCATCATCATCATCGACACCATCGACATCACCATCACTGTCTCGCGGTTGCATAGCTTGACCTTGTCGACATCCCGACACGCAGCTTCGCTCCTCGTCTCGTCCCTGGCAGGTTGCAGCCCTCACCAGGGGTCGCTCATCGCAGAGGTCCCACCATGACTGCCGCGTCCCCATCGACCAATGGCCCAACTACAGGAACAGGCTACCGGCCTGTGCTTCGCACCAAGGAGAGCGACGACAGCCTCTCCTCCAAGGCGCAGCTAGCCGACCTTGAAGGGCCCGCGCTGTATGTTCGACCAGACACCCACTTTCGCAACGCAACCTACATCTTGACCTTTGCCACCATCGTCCTGCTCTCCACCACAATCTACGGCTGGCTGCCCTACGCATACATCGGCGGCGGCCTCGGGCGTGCCGGGCACGGCTGCGACTGCTCAGGGCCCAAGCCGCCTCAATACTTCCAGACGTCACCCGAGCTATGGGCTGGACCTACCGCGACGGGGCGGGCCGCCTTCATGGCCCAGACGCGGGTCTTTGAGCCCACGGCGACCTTTGTGCCCAACGAGCCCCTGCAGACGTCCATCCCCATTGAGGGCATGCAGCAGGGCAACGAGAGCATCTTCCAGATGATGGGGTTCCTGTCGCCGTATTCGCCATCGCCCGGCTTTGGCGTCGACGAGTACCCCATTCCCGAGGGCGCCGACATTGTGCAGGTCCAGATGCTGTCTCGGCACGGCGCACGGTATCCCACGTCCGGCTCCAACGTGGCCGCCCTGGGCCAGAAACTCGGTCCCCTCGGAGACAACTTCAAGCCTCAGGGGGACCTGGCCTTTCTCAAGGACTGGAAGTACCAGCTCGGCGCCGAAATCCTCGTCCCCAAGGGTCGCCAGGAGCTGTACGACTCGGGTGTCCTGCATAGCTACATGTATGGCAGGCTATATAACCCAAACAGCAAGCTCATTGTGCGCACAACGGTATGTGTCTCTCGTCTATTTATTGAGCATGTGCAAAGCCTTTGCTAACAATTCTCCAGACACAGGATCGCATGCTCAAGTCCGCAGAGAACTGGGTCTCAGGCTTCTTTGGTCTCGAGTGGTGGGTTCAGCATTTGGTCACAGCGGAGGATTTGCAGTATTGACCCGTGTACAGGACAAAAAATGCGACCATTGAGGTGATCATTGAGGACGGCGGCTTCAACAACTCCCTGGCCGGCTCACTGAACTGCCCGAACGCGTACGCTAAGTCCACAGGCGGAGAGGCTCAGAAGACCTGGGTTGAGATTTACCTCAAAGACGGTGCGTTACTAGGATGAACGCTCGCTTGAAACAGTTTGTGCTAATACGTCTGCAGCCGTTGCACGTTTCAATTCAATGACGAGCGGCTTTGAATGGACAACCGACGACGTCTATGCCGCCCAGAATATGTGCCCCTACGAGACCGTCGCCTACGGGTACAGCAGATTCTGCGAGCTGTTCACATATCAAGAGTGGCAGGACTTTGGCTACTCCATTGACCTGGCCTTCTCTGGCAGCAGTGCCTTTCACAGCCCGACGGGACGCGCCGTTGGCCTGGGCTACCAGCAAGAGGTCATGGCCCGGCTCCGGAACCACACGCTGGGGTACTCTGGCTCGCAGATCAACACGACGCTCGACGGGATGCCAGAGACTTTTCCCCTGAACCAGAGCCTGTACTTTGACTTTTCACACGACACCAACATCGCCTCGGTGCTGACGGCGTTTGGCCTCGTGCAATTCAAGGAGGACCTGCCGGCCGACAAGAACCCGCTGGACCACGCCTACAAGATCTCCCACATCACGCCGTTTGGCGCGCGCCTCGACATTGAGGTGATCCGCACGCCCAAGCCGGTCTCGCCCAACCGCGATGGCTACCTCCGGGGCGGCGAGACAAAGTACGTCCACTTTGTCCTCAATCAGCGCACGCTGCCCCTAGGCAAGTCATTCCCCGAGTGCGACCCGGGTCGCAGGGACGGCTGGTGCGAGTTTGACACGTTTGTCAAGGTGCAGGAGGGCATGCGCGGAAAGGCACAGTACGAGCACGCCTGCTTTGGGAAGTACGAGGCCACGCCGTACGGCGAGGTCACCGACGGCGCACCCGTCCAACCTTGATCACATGTATATCAAACATGTCACAGAAGTCATCCACTGCAATGCAAACATGGGCGCACTACTGAGTGAACAGATTCGTTTCATTTTGTCTTTCCGGCCTAGCCGTCAAGGCGGCCCTGAGGTGATAACTAAACAAGGATCCAACGGATATCCAACACGTCCATCGCAGAGGAGCATGTCTGCACTGCAGAACAAAAAAGAAAAAAGACTTGCTCCTCAACTCCAATTCTGTCGCTTTTCCCTTGCCTGCTCATTGCAAGGTGTTTTTTCCCATGCAGAAATATTAAAATGTATGATCTAGTGTATGTGCAGGTATTCAAATTGGGACATGGCGAATGAAATCAAGCGCTCTTCTCGTTCGTGGGCGCGGCCGCGGCGGGCTCGAGCTCGGACGGCTCCTGGCCAGCAGCAGCAGTGGCAGTAGCAGCCTGGGGCTGGTGGGCCTTCTCGTCGTGCCCGGCACTGCTGGGCGGCGACGACATCTGGGCGTGCTCGCGGATGCCGTGCTGGGGCTCGAGGACGTCACCGTCCTGGGCGGGCTCGCCGCGCTGGGGGCTCCAGGCGAGGAAGTCCCTGCGGACCTCGACGTAGTCGTACGAGAACTCGCCGTGCTGGTCGTCGTCCATGCCGAGGAGCTCGGCCTCCTCTGAGGCGCGCAGCTTGAGGCCGGGGATCAAGTCGATGATCTTAGCGATGGCGGCGGACATGACAAATGTATAGGCGGACGAGGCGACAATGGCGGCAATCTGCCAGCCAATGACGACGTAGTTGCCGTCCATGAAGCCACCGGGAGTGCCCGTGTTGACGCCGTCGAGGCCAATGATGCCGCCGGTGGCGAAGAAGGCGTTGAAGAGGAGTCCGACAATGCCACCGATGCCGTGCTCGGCAAAGACATCGAGCGAGTCATCGATGCCGATGAGGAACTTGACTGCAGGGCTGTTAGGAAAAAGAGTCACGACAAGCAGTTGATCAAAGGAGACTCACTCTTAGTGCCAAAGTTGCAGGCGACGCCCGCGACGACGCCCAGGATGATGGAGGCCCAGGGGTCGATGAAGCCGGAGGCGGGCGTGGCGGCCACGAGACCGGAGATGGTGCCGGAGCACCATCCGACCATGGACCACTTCTTGGCAAGGCGGTAGTCGAGGAGGCACCAGGTCATGGCGGCGAACATGGCGGTGAGGCACGAGTTCCAGCTGGCCATGACGGCACGGAGGTTGGCGCCAAAGGCGGAGCCGCCGTTGAAGCCCATCCAGCCGACATACAGAAAAACGGTGCCGAGGGTGATGAGAGAGATGTTGTGGGGGCGAAAGTTCATCATCATCTTCTCGTTGCGGCGGCCGAGGACCCAGGAGTAGGCGAGGGCGGACATGCCAGAGCCGATCTCGACGGGGACGCCGCCGGCGTAGTCGAGGACGCCGTTCTGGAAGCCCCAGCCGTTGCCGTTCCAGACCCAGTAGGCGAGGGGGCAGTAGACGAGGGTCGCCCAGCAAAAGACAAAGACCATGGCGGGGATGACGCGGCCGCGCTCGGCGACGGCGCCAATGGTCAGGGCGGCGGTGACGCCGCAGAACATCATCTGGTAGAAGGAGTAGAGCAGCTCGGGGATGAGGGGGCTGCCCTGCGAGGGGGCGGCCCAGACCTTCATGAGGCCAAAGTTGCGCAGGTCGCCGATAAAGGGGTTGCCGGAGGTCGGGCTGAAGGCGAGCGAGTAGCCCCAAAAGTACCACTGGAAGACGACGACGGAGAAGGACATCATGACGGTCCAGAGCATGGACAGGGCGGACTTGCGGCGGGCGAGGCCGGAGTAGAGAAAGGCGATGCCGGGAATCATCATCAGGACCAGGCAGGAGCAGATGATGATGTAGGCCTGGTCACCGGCCTGGTACCACTGGTTGAGGTTCTCGGTGTCTGCGGATTCGTTGTCAGTCTGGCTGCTTCAAGAGGGCAACGGCAGTGGCTCCGGGAGGAAGAGGAACGTACAAGAGTCTCCTCCGTGGACTTCGTCCGTGCCATTGAAGGGCACCGGGGCACCGACGTGTGAGTAGGACATGGTGGCGTTTGTGTTGTCGGTATTCGGTCGTCGAGAAGGGTGATTGATGGGCGTCGATTTTTCAAGTGTGAGATGTGGTCCGAGATGGGTGTCTGTGTACCCGTGCCCAAGCTCAGTGTCGCAATGCTGGCTGCTTGTATTCGAGAAATTAGAAAGGATCGGACAGGCAATACCAGTGGGTTGGAGAGATGTGCACAATTGATCCGGGGGGAGTGGGCAGAACCTAAATATCAATGTCCATCAATCCATCCCCCGGACGGAACCCTTGATCAGAATAGATAGCTGTCGCGTGTTACCGTTGCTATTACTCGCACACATTATCTCTGGCGAAAGGCATGTCGAGGGGGTGGCCACTGGGCCAAGATGGGTGGACGGTGCCCCCCCCAGGACCCTATCTTGATAAGACCAGGACGCAGATCATGTACACAGCGAGAGTCGTAGCGAATAACTAGCAGTGGTGCATAGTACCAGAGGGAGAGAGAGTGGGTGGGATATTATCGACTACGTACGTATCGGGAACGCACGGGGGGTGTGGGCAGTGCCATCCGCGCAAGTAAGTCATCCCTCCACGTAAGATAGCCAGCCACGGCCAGCCAGGCGGCACCAAGGACTCGGGAACTAATTGATCCAAGAGGCAAGACGCATTTCTTGGGCGACGATTCGTTCGAAGGGCATGAAAGCCCGTTGTTTTGAGTCTTGGGTCTCGAATCCGTAGACATCTGGGGGCTGCTGTGGCCCAAGCAGCAGGTAACCCTTGACGTTTTTCGATTGCAAATGGTTTTTGGGGCCCTGAATTCTTTCTTTTTTTTTTTTGTTTGGCTGTCCGTGTGAATGAGGTTGCGTAGCTGAGACGCGCTGGGCCGCCTGCCCATGACTGCAATCTCATGTTTCAGCCCAACGTGGGATGTACGAATTCTCAGCCGTGATACTGAGCCTTGTTTGTGATACGGACATTTTACGCACCACGTTTCCCCAAGATTGATGATTGCTGCGTGTTACGTGCTGAAACGCGGAAGTAAGCTTAAATGCCGTATGGTACGGTCGGTAGTGAGTAGGTAGTTATCCATCCATCGCCAGTCTATCGTGGGCACAGTTCGAGGTCATCGTCATGATTCAAGATACGACCACACACCTGGTGTCTCTGGAACAGCATCAGACGTTCAACGACGGACGGACACTGACGTGACGCGGCCATCCAGACCCGTTTGGCGGATGAAACCGGGGGGACGGCAACAGACTAAGGCCTCAGCGCATGCAGTACAATCATATAGCAAAAGATGCTCAGATAGGATTGCCGGCCAGTTGTTGTAGATTCATCATGTCATGGAACCGTCGGGAGATAGCTGATAAGTTGACGCTGACGAGTGATTGGGCGATAGCGGCGGGACTAGGTGTCCAGGAAACTCATCGGGCAACGTAAAAGGTCGCCGCCGCCTCGAGCGAGTCGAGGCCAATCCATTATTCCTGCAATTAGGTCACTCTCCTGCCGTCTTTCAGCTGCCGACCAATCCGGCGGCCTCCAGCTGAGGCGACTGCAGATGGGACCCAATCAGAAGCCGTCGTGAAGAGTGCATGACGGCAGCGCATCATGTCATCTCCCTCGCCTCATTCGTTAGGCGCGCCTTCCCATTCAGTGACCACCGACTGGACACTGTGCTCACGGTCACCCTGCACCTCGGATCGACCCTTCCTTGCGTGCAGCCAGCGTCCGTCCCGGGGCCTGACTGGACCCCCGAGCCCCGTCCGATCTCCGGGAGTCCGATCCGCCATCATGCGTAGGCCGGCATTCATTCCACATATCCACCCCCCGGGCTTGTCCGTTCTCGGCCCTTGGCTTGAAGTTGAGTTTTCAAGCATGCCTGCAGTTGAAAGGCGTGACAGGAGCTCGCGACAGAAATCCACCCTCCTAGACCAATGCTATTAAATACAGATAACATCTGCACACATCTTGTGCCAGATTGCCCTTTGACCTCACGCGCATGCCAGTGTCTCACGCATTGCCACTCTTGATGAACCTGCGATCACCTCTCTTATCTCTCGGACAGATGAAGCTACCGCGGTGCCAATGAGGTTACGCTCAGAGACAAATCAACTGAAGTCACTGCAGCCTCGGTTATACGTGTACATAGTAAGCTGCGCTCGGGAACCTTCTCACGAACCTAGCTGCGAGACTGGGTGATGTTCAGGGTAGTCAACTCTAAAGCCAGACATGAACGCAGGGTAGGTAGGTAGGTAGGCAGAGCTCATACAATAGCAAAGATGTACGTCACGGGACCCCGCGATCACAGGCGCGACCCTCGCAAGTTGGCCAATCCCCTCGCCACACTCCAGTCCTCGTTCGCGACAAACAAAACGTCGCCCGTCCCGCGCTGTCCTGTCCTCCCCCAACCATCGGCCGACGACCCAGAGGGCCGCCCAGAAAAGCTTGCGACAAGCGACCAGACGTCCATGCTTCCGCACTCGAGGCCCCTTGCTGAACGCAGCAAAGGAGGCTGCTGATCCCTCCCCCGCCCGACATCGAGCATGTCCCAACCGCCACCAACGGGCCTCGTCGTCGGACCATGTCACCACCAGGGCTCCGAGCGCTTCCACCCCGACGCCCTGCGCGCACTGCGCCAGCGCGAGTCCTTCTGGCGCGCGTATAGGGTGGTGCCGCCATCGCTGGCCTGGCCCGCCACCGATGCCTACCACGTACCCGTCGACACGCTCGGCGAGGACCCCCTCCTCTACCTCATCCCGGACTGTCAAGCGCATCGCAACAACCTGACGGCGCTGTCGAGTGTCCACAATGTTGGTGCAACCCCCTCCCCCCCTTTCCCTTCCATCACATAGTATGGCGGCTGTCTGACACTCATCCTAGCTGTACTTTGCCGCCTACCAGAACCATGTCTTCGTCTATCGTCCTATGCTCACGGCCGCGCCCAACCTGTCGAAACACCCGCAGGTCAAGATCCGATTCGAACCCACCAAGCAAGGCCTCGACGTGGGCGGCGCCATCGATACTGTCTTTCGGGGGCAGTCCCTCAACCACATCATCGTGGGCATGCTGGGCCACGACGAGATCCTGCTCGGCTGCGCCGACAACGGGGACGTCACCGCGTACTACACACAGGACATAGCAGCACACGCCTACGGGGAAAGCCAGGCGGAGAAGAACCGCAGGCCGCTGCGACCGTGCTTCCGCTCCAACGTCAACAAGAGTGCCTGGGGTCTCGCCATACACACAAAGTCACGCCTCATCGCCGTCAGCACCAACCGCGCCGAGGTCACCGTCCTCGCGCCTGCCCTGTATAGCGACACGGACCGCGAAACGGCATGCACCACGCCAGAGGATAAGGTCCGCGCGCGCTGCCGCGACTGGCGCATCATCGTGGCCTTGCCGGCGCAGACCAGCAACCTGCCCAACGTCACATTTATGGACGACGAGCACGGGCACGCGCACAAGATCTGTGCCATCGACATTCACGGCACCATATTCGTAGCCGACATCTGGCGTGCCAACCGTGGGGTGCTGCGCATCCGACCAGCTGACGGGTACCTGCGCCAGAGCGAGGAGGAGATGGGCCAGGTCTCCAGGGGCTGGGGTGTCCTCGCGTTGCACAGGAAGCACTTTATGACGGTCAAGTCGGTCCAGGAGCTGACGGGCCTGGCCCTGCACAGCATATGCATCAGTGACCCATGGAGCTCTGCGCAGTTTCGTCGGGCCAACATTGCGACGGCGCTGCAGAATGTACCCGACAATCCATCACGATGCTTTGCGCCACCGCGGCCGCTGTCATTGGACAGTGACTTGTACGCCTCTGATGTTGCATCGGAAGTAGGCGAGCAAGACGAGGAGGAGGAGGAGGAGCAGGAAGAAGAAGAAGAGGAAGAAGGCGATTCAGACGATGATGATGATGATGATGATGATGATGATGACGATGACGATGACGATGACGATGACGATGACGATGACGATGACGATGACGAGGAGGAGGAGGAGGAGGACGAAAGCAGCGGTGTCAATCACGGTACTGTTCTGGCAGCAGACCCCCGGCCCGCCCCGATTCCCCTCGCCTCGTTCATTACGCAGGCCGTCGAGAACCACCTGAACGAGACCCGCGGAGAGATGATCGCGGCAGATGCCCAAGGCGGCCTTCCCGTGCCCCGGGTATACCATCCGCACCTGGGAGCCATACGGCACGAGTGGCCGGAAGGGCATCTGCCCGACCCCACGCCCGACAGCAAAACAGGGGCCCGCAAGGCCTACAGCGACCCGATGAGCTTCGTGTACCCCAAGGAGTACTGCCGGGAGCTGTACCAGAACAACGTGCCACACGACGACGCGGCGCACGGTCTGGCGCACGGCTACACGATCCTGCGGACGTACGAAAAGGACTTTGAGCTGATCCCCGCCGTGCGGGCCACGTTTGGCAGTTTCTTTGACAAGATTGGTCTCTACTGCTCCGACGCCCTCCGCTGCGAGGAGCTGGCGCACGAGGGACCAGACACGGACCTTTTCATGACAACGAGCCGTCTCAACATGCTGGCCCACGTACCCGAGCTGTGCATGGTTGTCATCGGCTCGGCCACGGGACGCGTCCTGCTGGCGACGCTGACGTGCCTGGCCAATTCCCGCATGGACCCTGTTTTCGATCGCCGTGGCGACGCGTCCCGCCTCAAGTACGGCATGCGTCTAGAGGCGGTCCTGCCCAGGAAGAGTGAGGAGGCTCGTTACAGGAGACACGACGGCACGAAGCGGCCCCTGCATGGACTGGCCGTGGGTCGGGTACCGCAGGCGAGGGGTGGAGACCACCGCCAGGCCGCCGGGCAGGCGCCGCTGCGATACCGGATCATGCTGCATTATAGGGATCATACCATCTTGACATATGAGGTTACGAGGCATATGGAGACGGGCATGTTGTGTCTGTTTTGATCTGATCTGGTCGTTGCGGAGCGTGGCGTCTGGTTAATGTTTGGGTGTATTCTCTGGTCTAATCACGTCCGAGTTTGGGGAGCAAGTAAAGAAAAAAAAGGAATTGTTCATAACGCTAATTGTCCAGAAATCGTCAAGTTTCGTATATGTATACATCATTGCGACATGAGCTCCAGCATGTCCTTCATGCGATAGTCTAGTATAGGGGTGACATAGTCGTCCTGCACGAGGGCATAGGACTCGGCCGCGTTTCGCCGGGGCTTCCTAGGGTTGAGCGCCCAGTAGCCAAAGTCGGCGTCGTGGTACTTGAGGTAGCGGAACAGGTTGGCCCAGTAGTTTCTCGAGCCCATGCCGGGCGAGTGCGAGGCGCCGAGCTCGCCGACCCAGACGGGAGCAATGTCCTGCTCGAGGAGGTAGCCCCAGTTCCACTGCATGGTGGCGGCAAAGGACTCGTAGGTGCGCTGGACGAAGCGGCCGCCGAGGCTGCCCCAGCCGGACCAGCCATAGGCGTGGGCGGAGTAGACGAGGCGGTTGGGGACGTCGAGCCGGACGGGGCGAGTGCGGGCGCCGGAGATGTCGTTGCCGGACTCTGTGCCCTCGACAACGACGAGCCAGTTGGAGTTCATCTTGAGCAGGCGGTTGCCCGCCTTCTCGGCGGCAGCCGCCCAGGAGGACCAGGGCATGGTCCCCCACAGGCCGCGGACCTCGTTCCTCAGGTCGACGCCGATGACGAGGGGGTCGTCGACGTGGGGCCGCATGACGGTCTCCCAATTGCGGATCCAGTCCTCCTCGGTCTGGCGCACACGGCAGATGGGGCCGAGGTGGTCGTTCTGCCAGCCGGCGTCGCAGGGGTCGGCGCCGCAGCACCAGGTGGCGGCGGTGATGTGGTTGTTCATGATGACGGCGAGGCCGGCGTCGGTGAGGGAGGTGGTGACGGCGGCGAGGATCTCGAGGGCGGTCTTGCCGACGAGGTCCGGGTTCTTGGTGAGGAGCTTGGGGTCGACGACGGGGTTGGCGGTGACGAGCTCGTCGGCGTAGGGCATGCGGACGCTGTTGAAGCCGAGCTTTTTGATGGTGTCGGCAATGACGCTGCGGTGCTGGATGTTGAGGCCGCCCACGACAAAGAGCTCGTCCGAGGCGCCGTACCAGTTGACGCTGACGAGCTTGAACCGCTTGCCGTCGGCGTCGACGACATTCCTGCCCTCGGTGCGCAGCGGGAACCGGTAGTTGGACGTGTTGAGGTGGTGCGGCGGCGCGGCCAGGGGCTGCTGGCTGAAGCTGAGGGTGTCAAGGTCGGGCGTCCAGCGGACCTTGAGTGCCTTTTCGGCGCGGTACTTGTAGACGCCGTAGATGCCCAGGAGCAGGACGAGCCAGAGGAGGAACATTGCACAGCGGGGGAGGGGACGCCGCCTCCGTTTCGAGCTCCTGCGCAGGTACTGGTGCGAGGGGGGCGGGAAGTCGTGGTCCCCGAGGGACAGTGCCTCAACGTCGCCGTCGCCGTCGTCGTTGTCGTCGTCGTCCCGATATCTGCCAGCGATTCGGGGTGAGGAAGAGGAGGAGCTAGAGATGGAGGAGGAGGAACTTGACGATGAGGTCGCGGAAGCTTGGCGGTCGTGGCGCTCCTTCCTCTTCTGCTGACCACTGGCGGCGGCGGCAGGAGCCCCAAAGCCAAAGGGCCAGGCACCAGCGCCAATTGCCCCTAGCCGGTCCCCAAGCTGCGGGAGCTGTACGCGCAGCGCCCCACCAGTGCCCACCATCTTGAACATGTCGGTACGTATGCAATTAATTGAACGCGGACTTGTTTTAAACGTTGGGCCAGAGGAATTGGGCTCGTAAAGTCGGTCTCTCAAGCCGGAGATATTTCGTTTGCTGCGACTGCCCTTCCGCCTTGTTGTTCGGTGCCCGTTGCCCGACTGGTGAAGCACGTGCTTCGGTATCAAGACTTGAATATGTGAGTGTCGTCACCTACTACGGCTAGAAGGGGTATCGTATAAGGCAGGACACGGGAGCCAGCGACGGGAGCGATGAAGAATCAAGGACACCATCCAGACGCTGCCCAAGGCGAGGCAGAGCCGCCTTCAAAAGGAATCGAGAGAAAACACATATTGCGGCCCATCGAGTAAAAAGGAACAGCCATCCGGTACGTCCGGCTCCCACTCCCAGCCAAGGTTACCGTACCCATTTGTCATCTGTCATAGTGTGTGTACCCGCGAGTATGTGCGCGCGCGCGCGCGAGCACTCTCTTTCGTCCGTACGGCGTCAGCCTGCCACGACGATGGGGCTGCTGTCCCGAAGATGCCGGTGTCATCACCACCCCGAGGAAGACCGCGATCGACGCACAGGCAGGCAGCCAGGCACTAGGCGCGCGAGCGTTGGCTGCATGCACACGAGCAAGATACCAATACGAAGAGAGCACGTAACATAGTCATCGAGCGTCCTCTGCAAAACATCAGTACACAGACACTTGCTGAGAAGTGAGCACATGAGCAGACAGGCAGGACTACGAATACGTGCATGTACGTACGTACGTAAATACGGAGTACGTGCTTGTACAGAGGTATCATCGGGACTTTTTCTTGCTTGTCTTCTGTGGCCTAGGGTCTTGGCGCGGGTTCTCGGTCCAGTCTTCGACTCGGGCTATCGCAGTACTAGTGTAAACGTATGATCACGCGACATCATGCTTACATCAAAGCTCTAATCTCCATTTCGAGCTGCCGGATCCTTCCACTAAAGTGGTTGCAACAGCCGGTAGGTAGCCCAATCGATGACCATATGATTAGTATATCTGAGTACGGATGCCGGGCCAGTCTGCTCGGACCAAATGAACTGAGAACATCCTGGATTCATGACCACGTTCAACCAGGCCAGAGACAGCAATCGCAGTCGGGCCCACCATGCTTGAAAAAAAAAGTCTTGAAATACATTTCTTTATTTGTTCGATATCCTCAGGGAGCTAGCGACATGGACGCTACCCACCCTTGCTGCTCATAGGTGAGCACAACGGCATGACGGCATGACAGCTTTCTCTCTTCCGTCACTTCCGCCAACGCCAATCACATCATGCCTCAGCTTCCCCCCTCCGGACTCTGCGATCACTTCCGAGTCCGTCGACTTCTTGAATGTAACTCTCATGTCCGAGTCAAAGGCCATACTTGTAAGCCGACTTGTGTTGGTCCACGTCCGGGAGAGGCTCCTACTCGCTGCGCAAGTTTCGGTAGCTGCTCCCCTCATCCATCTGGTCTGACGCGATTTTTCGCGCACGCATCGACCAGACAGCCTGAACTGGCGCGCTCGGCACGGTTGGCCTACGCATGCTCTGTTTGTCATTTGGAGTTTCAACCAAGCATCAACAACTGCAAGCTCGACGGCCTGTCGCCGCAGGTACACGATGCTTCTGGTGAGCTGTCAACCTGGCAAGCGGACGTCCATTTGGTCGCCCTGCGCCAGTTGCACTCGTGCCTCGCTCGCGGGCAAGGTTCGGAATCGCATCGCAGACTCTCGGTCGTCGCAGAGTGTACCCATTCATGTTCCTCTCTTTTGAGTTCTTCACCCCATCACAGCTTGTTCATGCCCAGCGGATTCATGTCGTCGTAGTGCGGTGCGTGGTAGGCTTTCTGCGAAGTCGCAAAGGTCTGGCTGGGATTCCACCGCGGCGGACTGGGCGGGCGTGGGCTCGAATAGGAATGCTCTGGCGCGTGGTATCGCGCCGTCGTGCCAAAGTAGTCGGGCGTAGACCTTCCGGCCTCGGGCTCGGGAGGCGACTTCATCACTGGGGACAGTGGTGTTATCTCCACGTTCGTGTCTTTGGAGAGCATTTCGTACGCACGTGTTTCTTGCTTGTCATCGTGGCGAGCATCGGCTGATACGAATTCGTGCATGCGACGGCGCGGGATGCACGGTATCAAGTCGATCCAGCCCGTTACCATGCTCCAGCGGCCCAAGAGAAAAAGTACCCATAACCCGTTGAGCTGGTTCGTGTTAGTCTTGGGATTCAATGTGAGGGACTAGAAGCTCGAGAGGGCGCATACCGTCAGCAGCAGAAGGACCGCCCCGACCGTTGCCTGATTGACAACCAGGCTGCTGGCCTTGTCGAGGCACTTGTCCCTGTCGCCTTCCGACTGGATGAGACAGAGACCCCATGCCTCAGCCGCCTCGCTGGTGTCGCCACGGCATTTGTCCGTGTCGCCCCCCGCCTCCGCTATACAGGCCTCCCAATCCGCGTTCATCCTGGGGTTGCCCGTGGCCGACTCGACATTGTTATCCTGGAACACAAAGACAATGGAAAAGAAAATGACATCAGCGATGATGATGAGTACAATGGCTATACCACGCCACTGGAGCCCAATGACGCGGCTGACGCGACGGTAGGCCTGACGAGGCGAGTAGTGAGAGCGAGTGATGGACGAGTGTGTGGGCAGGTTGGAGCCTTCCGTCGAGGCGCTGCTGTCGCCGAGGGCGGAGAGGTAGACCTTGATGCAGTACCCAAACGTGGCAAAGGTAATGACGACAGTCGCGCCGGCGAAGATCAGCAGGGGAATCCAAAAGGCCTCCATGCTGTTCGCGTGGTTGATGTGGCACGTTTCCCCGAACCGGAAAGAAACGCCGCTGAACACCAGGGCCAGCACCAGGCCGAGGGCGGGGACTCCCCAGCCCGCCGCCTGGGCAAAGATCATAAAGTTTCGACCGACCAGAACTTGCCAGCAGATCTGGAGGTGGAGAGAGAGGGAGCGAAGGAAAGCCCACATGACGCCAGCCCACCCGCCCAGGAGCAGGAAGGCTCCAGAGGCACCGCAGGAGGGGTTGGTGTGCATGCTATGCGGAGTGATTTTGTCAAAGCACTGATCGGTCTGCGCTGCAAGCGGGATGATGAAACCAAAGGCCATGAGCAAGACGCCAATTGTAATGCCCACGCTCAGGTAGTGGCGGTTCGTCTTCTCCACGGGGAGACAGGCCCATGAGGCGAGGAGGAAGACGCAGCAGATGCCACTCGCTGTGGCGACCCAGTTGGCGGCGTCAGTCAGCGTGCTGAAGCTATCAGGATATACCCATTGTGTCATGGGGCAAGGCAGGCAGCATGACAGCTCGGCTGAAACTCGCTGACAGACCCGACCGTCTGTGACTGTCGCAACATTAGCACTCAGCGTGGGCATGATGGGCGCACGAGCAAACTCACAGCCGCCATCCCCAAAGAGATTCACATCAAAGAACGGGGGCGGGCACAAGTTCACACCGTCCAGGGTTAGGTTGGCCATGGTGGATGGATGGAGTGGTCGGGAGGCCAGGAGCCTACGAAAGACGAAGAGAAAGAGTGTGTCCCCGGCTACGACCGAAGTCGTCAACACAAAAGGTCGCAAGCAGAAGAGGAATGGATACAGTGTTGCAACGCCAGGAGAGATATTCGCTGAAGAAGTCGAAGACGTGAGTCCCAGATCTCGCCCGCGAGGTGCAGGGCGAGGTCGAACATAAAGTATCCATCAGCGCGAGGCAGGGCCTGGCAGGCAGACCGTAGGCGAGGGTCCAGAAGAAGGGACCCCTGCTACTCTGTACTCAGCAGCATCCGCCGAGGCCAGTCATGGAGCCAGCATGCAAGCAGTGCATCTTGCCATCTTCACCCGTGGAGGGGTGCGAGGGTGCGAAGCCAATGGCACCGTGGTGGGGGGCGCGCAGAGAGAGGTGCCAGGCTGAGGGAGGGGCGAGCAGTTGGCTGTGACAGGCACGCCTGCGGCGCCCATTGGTACGTGTTAAGGCAAGGTCCAGCCTGTCTCTGGGGGGTGGGATAATTGAATATGCACGTGAGCTTCGAGGTGAACTTTGTGAGGTGCGTCGCCCCGCTGGCCAGTTTCGGCGACGGACCAAAGGCTGGGCAGGGGTACCTGCATGGGCCGTCTGGCGATGGACTGGGACTTTACATCTGCGGCGGGTCCAGTCACACAAGTTACAGCGGCTTCCGCGCACGCGGCGCAGGGGCGGCGGACCAGTGAGCTAGGGCTATCGGCCGCCCCTGGCGGGCCCCAGCCAGTCCAGTCGGGTCCATGTCCTGAATTTAAGCGACCTGCAATGCTGTAATGTGTGCGTAAGACGGCAAGAGACTAACTTCAACAACTTAGACACAGCAGATGCCGCTCACCTATCGACGAACTACGATGGTGGACTGATTCTGCCAACGGTGAGGCGCGTGTGCGCGCTGAGCGTGGCCTTTGACGATCATTGTGCGAGTCATTGGGAGACACATTTTCGCGTCGCGTCCGGTGAGCGACTGAGGAGGAAATGTACATCATCATGATGATGGTGGATGAAGTGTTTGGCTTTCGAGTTTTGACAGTGTCAGGCAGGGTGAGCCTGGTGCGAGAGGTGGGTTAGAAGTCAGTGTGTCAAGTATCAGAGTTGCTTCCTGCCTTCCTTCGTTCCTTCCTTCCTCCGGCATTCCAAACCTACCAGGTACTTACTTACCCGAAGGCAGGTGCATTTTGAACTTTACCTTGTCATGGCGATCGCACGGCCTTGGCAAGAACTGAGCACCTGCCTTGCGAACTTGGGAGGCTTCAGTCTCGTGAAGCTGCCGCGGAAGTGGCCTTGAGGTGCCAAACTTAACTCATTGGCTCGTTCACATCTTTGCTTGTCTGGCCTCGTAGCACCATGAGCTGATCGAGAATGAATCATTTAATTACTTCTGGCGGATGCTGTCGATCGGTGTTTATGGAACGCAAGGACAGGCCCCATTCAGCTGTGGGTAAGGGTTTGCGAGCTTCACGACTCGGACAATCGCAATGCCAGATCTTGCCCAGATACTACCCGTGTTCGACTCATCGCGGCGATCTGGCTGCGATCTGGGGCCAGGCTACTGATCATGGATAAAGGTACGTGACCGACCTCGTGAACCGCAACCGGCCTGTTCAGTCTTGTGTCTATTCCTTATCTTGACTTGCATCATGGCAACTACCGGCACTTATCTTCTTAGCCGCGTTTTTTCACCAAGATCGACTTGCACGGCGACGACTTGGATTTCAGTCAAGGGCTAACGTTTGTGTTTCGTGCTAGTTGCCGTTCGGCTCGCATTGGCAGACCCCACAAAGTCACTGATGACCGAATGGTGGCTCGACGATTGTCTTGAAGCAACATGTGGCCCTGAGACTCGCAGGTGCCGCGCCACAGCCGGCCTATCGCGCACCACCAACAAAGTGTGCTATGGATCATCAGTACTGACTACTGAGGGCATGAAGAACGCTCAGCTACCGTCAACAGTATCTGTCACGCACAGGCTCACGCGGTCTTGATCAATCGCGTCTCGACAAGTTGATTCGACAATGCCACACTGCACAAGTGACTGCCGTCACCAAGGCGTACGACATTGCACAGATGTGCCCGCCAATAAGCACTGTTTGCGCTTTCGAGCATGAAGCTCACCTGCGGCTATGCAGCACGCCACACTCTTCTGATTTGCACCTGAGAACTAGGTATGCTGGTGACACTTCCGATTGGAAGCCAGACCCTTCACAGTGCCGCCGTAGGGCTTGATTCACATCTGTGCGTTCTTTGCCGTCGGCCTCTGCGTCTTTGATTGTGCGCCCACCATCGTCTTCGAAAAGAACGCAATTTCATTAGACGCCATTATGGCCAGTGACGGCATCACAAATCGAGTGGTGAATTTGCTCGTCGACCTCTCAAATACTCAAAGCTTGTGCCGCGTCCGTGAGTGGTCTGCTGGGCCCTGTGCATCTTTTCCATACATGCCCCTGACTGTTGTGGGGATGGTGTGTCATTATCACAGCTGACCAGCAAGCCTTTGTACACTTCAGCACCTTTCGCTGTCTGCCTACGTACCTACCTATTGTCGTATCATGTCAGTTTATGATGACGGTGCACGATACCAGTCGCAGGAACGCGCGCGATATGCTAATGGATTCATGATCTTCACACCAACAGCCATGCATATACTTGGTATTATGGGTTCGCTTTCACGATCCGTGCCCCAGTTGCCCAGAGCGATCATCCCCGCTTCCGAGGAAACAGTGTCCAGGGCCAGGGCTGTGAACCGCGAAGCTTTGCACTTGATGGTTTGGGACTGGGGCCATGGCATTATCGCTAATGTCGGCCCCTAGGCCCCCTACGAACATGGCTTGCGAGACGGAGCTACTTATTGCCTGCTAATAAAGGCTGAGGCGGAATCATCAATTGATCTTTGCCATCGACGGCCTGGTCCGAGGCTGCGCTCAATCAGCCTTCGCCAAGGCCCCCAGCGTGCATCGTCGTCAATATATACCTCGGTGGTGTAGCCGGAAACGTTGCTGATGCAGTGACAGCAGGGTTCCGAATGCCTAGGGTTGTTTGTTCGCGAACTGCGCTTCCAATACGAGTATTTGTACAGAACAGGCCCGCCAGTAGCAAAGGTTCCAGTAGCAAAGGTTGCCTCCCAGCGCATGTTGGCTTCAGAAGCTGTGTGGTAATCATTTGACACAGTTCCGAGCTGTCCTGCAACGTGGGATCGCTTGAACCTCAGAGACAACTAAGACCAGGCCACGAGGCTGAAAAATTGTCCCTAGGTGCGCGTCATAGTCATGATCGCGACGCATTATCCAGTCTCCAATCAATCCGACACCAACGAAGATCTCACTTTCTACAAATCATTGTGATAGCCTCTCAACTACCAAATCTGGCGCGGTGTCTTGATAAATTGCTGAACTTCCCCGCCCCCGCATGTCGAAGGCAACAACCCAGCAACAATTGGGCATTTTTCACATGGACAAGAAATATCTGCGAGGCACCCATCCATGGGGTCTATCCACAATCACCGAGCCGTGTTGCTTGACCAACTTGCAATTTACCAACGCCTCCGCCCTCGAGTGCATTGCTAGTCCCGCTCAGCACGGAACTTACTTTTCCGGCCCCCCAGATCGCTGACGACAATCTCTGTGCTAACACTCGGCGAGGAACTCATCGAGATGAACCGACGCAGACACGAGAGCGCGGTTTCGAAAGTTTGCAACAACCAGTTCCGTGGATCCCTTGTGGATGCCAAGATGTCAGACTATGGAAGCCCCTGCGTGGGCGTGTGGAGTCCCAAGATCCATCCATGTCCCTGGCCGCCGGGGCTCAGTCGGCCACGTTTCACCACCAGACATCCGACACCTCGACCGAGCACTGACCTGAGGATGAGTTTTACTGCCTACTTGTATGATAAAGCCCAGAAAGACGGATATGGTGAGCTGGCGATGGCGTGGTGTGTCGCTGAGCGAATCGGCATATGCAGGCTCGCCTTCAGCAGACCGAGTGTATCCAGAGCTTCAACTAGAGTATGCACAGGACATGACAACACAAGTATACAACAACGACTGTTCTTATCAACCAGCATCTGAAAGAGGCGGGCCACGACACACGTCCTCCTCCTGGCGATTGGAGACTGAGCACAACGATGAGTGGTCGGTGATCGCTGGGTGCAACATGCCGATCAAAGCGATAAGATATTCCTACCATCATCCGCCGCCATTGGACTAGTCACTTTGTTCGTACGGATACGCACTACGTTATTGCCGGAGACGAGGAGGGATGGATTTTACCTTACAATGCCCCGATGTGGTGGTGTTCTTCGCATCGCTGATGTCAAGCTACCTCCCTCTTCTAGCACCGAGGGTGCTCTAGCTGTTCATGCGTACCCATGCTGCGTTATATAGGCCCCAAGGAGTAGGAATTGAGAACGCGGGAGAATTCTCGGTCGTGTCAGAATGCAACAGCAGACTCGGAACGAGCCCTGGCCACGACGAGACCTGAGGAGGGTTCAAACGTACATCATATATGTACGTGCAGTCAATTTGGAAATGCAGTGCTTAATAGCACATGGTGCCCTGTATTCAGAATTGTCACCTATCATTTTTAAATGCCCGAGCCAGATCGTCCGTACTCGGCGCGAACACCATGTGTAAAGTGCTGTGGCACCTTTGCCGGACATATGACCGTAGTTGGAAATGGACCAGCGTTGAAGGAGGGGGGTGTTCATGTCCTGGCGGACAGGGTCTCCCATGAAGCCCAAGGGACGTCGGCTCGCTCATTCCGCTGCAGATAGGCAATTTTCTTCGCATCAGTCTTCTAGAACAGCCAAATTCCTAGGCTCCGTGTTGTCTTACGTTCGCTACCGCACCCAAGAATTGTCGGTTCAATGTGCTTCGGGCGCTACACATGACGCTACTGCAGGTCCAGCCGTGTCGACGATGATGGGCATCAATGGACCATCAGCACGCGAACGCCAGGCCCTGCGTTC